ATAGCTGATGGTGTAATTTTCAGGTACATGAGTAGTAGCAGTATACCTGCCAACTTCCATGTTTTGAGCTTGAGGATCATCTCTGGAGGAAAACCTCAAAGGATCTTTAAGGATCTTTGAAGATTGTCAAAGACTTGCTAAAGATCCCTAATGCCAAGGATATTTAATAATTGCAATAATTTTGTATCTCACATAGTAAGTTTGTGTTTCCGAAAGATGACTCTGGTGAGGAAATCAGTAATAATGATCAAAAAGAGCTTCCAACAGATGGGAAATATGAAGGCTTCGCTGAAGTAAATGATGCCATCATTACAGAAATGAAGAGTCTGTTGTCTACAGAAGATTTAACAGGTACAAAACCCAGTATGTTGATAAAAGTTATCTGTTTAGGTCAGAATGATTAAATCCAATCAAATTAGTCTAAACTTGTTATAACCTGAAATCATTTTCAACAAGAACATGTAATTGTGTTCTCTTGATCTGATTATTATGGATAATGTTTTCAACCCTTAAAATACCTGATACACTTATGCCTTTTCTAATCCCTATATTTTTGTTTAACAATGTAAATCAAAAGTAATCATGAATGTTTAAATTAGCAGTCTTAGAGAGATCTGCTTTTGTTGACCAACAGATAACCAAACCACTGAATTGCCTCCAACACTTCTTGCCAGTGCCTTAACAATGGCCTTGTGTTGTATCCTTATTTTAAAGAGGATTAACCCTTTAACTCCAAGAAGGGGTCAGATATATTATTTATCCTCATTATGAACACATTTACTTTGTTTATTTGCCAACAACTTATGTGAAGGGATGAGCTTATCAGCTGGTGAGAACTTAACATAACACCCAAAAGGAATTCTCCAAACCCTAACTAATTTTCAATGAAAAGTGTAATAGCACAACAACCTTTGAAGTGGTGTGAATAACATGTGCCCCAATTTTACTGGCCTTAAAGTGTTTCAGAAGAGATAAAATTATATATAACACTTAACAAAAATTAGATATCCACAGAGCTGAAAAAGAATGCCCAGGTAACAATTTTTGTTTTCTTGTGACCAACTTTGGTAGGGGATACAAACCAGAGGGCCTGTAATATTCTCCTATGGCGTCGTAGTTAAAAAATGTACCTATACACAATTGAGAGCTAAATGAACTCTTATCTTTCATGTATACTTTTACTAAACCCTTTTCCCAATAAATATACCTGTTTGGAAACACCACAGCTACTTAATAAACTACTGGGTATATTTTAGACACCCTCTATCTCAAACTAAAGCCTGCTGTGGCCCAAGTGATAGTTAGTTTTTAGTTCATTAGGTTTAGCTGTTTGATGCAAATTGTTTTTTAAACAAATCTTTCTTTCTAATTAGTTGGACAGAAGATCAAGTCTCGGATTATGGTAAGCACAACAAGGCAATAACCTGAAAAATGAATAATTTAGGTTAAAATATGTTTTGTTAAATGCAGTTGTGCCTTCTGCACTAAATCTGCATTTTTCTGTTTTCAAGTTTCCAAAATCTTTTACACTGTTACTCCCATAAGTGAGAAAAAATTAATGTAACTTCAATCTGCCAGTAATATCAATACATTTTGTAACAAGACTTATCTTGATTTGGCCCCACACCAAGAAAAAGGCATAACAGGGGGAAAGGAAAATTATGAATCAGATTGTGCAAGTTAAAGTTTAACCATCACTCTAATCTTTCATCTCCTGTAGGTTCTCAAAGCTGCACCCGATGTCTCTACACAGTATATGCCTATAATGAACTGCATATTTGCTGCTCAAAAAAGTGTGAGTGAAAAATTGTATTCTTTCATAGTCACATTGAAATTTATCTTTCTTTGATCAAGTGATCTGTTTTGAGATTTTTTAAAAATATCCAAGTGCGATTTCTAAGTATTTGATGCATATTTTCAACCTTCTTTTTCATTTGTTTGTAATTGTTTACTGATTTTTCCAGAATACAGTGATTGATGCTTGTGTAGTGGATGAGCACTCAGGATTCTTGCAGCAGGTGTGTGGTGCAGCACTGAAAATAAACTAGTAGATGAGTTTTTTTTTGAGCTAGTAATATTATTGTTATTGATTGAAGTAGTCACTGTGGTTATTTTGTCTTTGTAGGCTGCTGACATTACAGGTGGAATGTACCTAAAAGTGCCACAGACTCTTGCATTGCTTCAATACCTCCTGGTGCGTGTGTGATTGAAATCTATTTATAAGTGCACTGATGACATAGACACATTTTCAGGTGGAAAATTAGGAATATTTAGGTTAAAGGGAGAAAAAAGAGATCAGTGCTCTGGTATGAAATCAGAGCAGCTGCAGCTCCCCAACAGGAGAGATTAGTAGACAACCTTTAACTCAGAGGTGTTCCCAACAACTCTTAAGAGTTCATTGATAACGAGAAGGAGTTCAGGAACAACTTGAGGCTGTCCACAAACAATTCCTAAGAGTTCCCTTACAACTCTCACAAGTCTAAGGACAATCCATAGTAGGGTGGGGACATCTCAGAGGAGTCTACCAACAACTCAGAGAAGCTTGCTGACAACTCTAAGCAACTCACAGGAGTTTGTCAATGACTTACCCTTGATACCATCACCAACTGATTTTCATAATGAAAATCTGTTAGTTTCTCTCTTGAAATATCTTGTTTCACAGAAATACTCCATCTTTCATCTAAGTTAGTTTTACACACATCTTTTTTTTCATTTCAGTGGGTGTTCCTTCCAGAGCCAACAGTCCGTGATCAATTAATCCTTCCTTCATCAATGCACATTGACTACAGAGCTGCTTGTTTCTGCCACAGAAGACTTGTTGATATTGGATTTGTTTGTTCAGTGTGTTTATCAAGTAAGACTAAGTAAAAACTCATATTCATCTTTCAAAGACTACATTTATGAATCAGTCTTTAGAAGGTCTCAGAAAATGGTATCATTTTGCGCATTTCCCATGGGTTTGGTTGGAGAAAAACCCATGCAGGATTTTGGGAAATGATCAATTGAACTAAGATACTAGTGGGGTCTCCTGAAACACAAAGGATGTAATTGTGCCAGTAAACCCATAAATAGAGATGTTACAACTTTCATCTAGCTATTTGATATTCCAGTTTCTATAAGTTTACTGGCTCGTAATACCATTTAGTTTTTTGACTAATCTGAGCATTCATTGGAAATCTGTCATTTTCAAGTGGAGATTTACCTTCAGATTGCGCAGGAAAAATCAAGACACATCAAAGAGTACAGCTGTCAGTCTTCTTTTCAGTTGTTCTTTGTAATGTCTGGCATCACTCTTGTGAGCTCAATGTGACATTCAAAGGAACCACTGCAAAGGTGACTGTATGCAGCAGCCAACATACATAGGAACTAGTTATTGTAATTTTCTTGTTACAGATGTAGGATAGCTTCTTAGATTTTTTTTCATTTGACTTGCGTTGCAGTTTATTGCCAGTTCATTCCTGTCTGTCTCACTTGCCAGTAAGTTTACCTGAATTCTTGATCGAAGTGCCTTGTGAATAAAGTTGTAAACAAATGTACCGGTACTAAACAAGGTATTAAAAAATGAGAAAAACTTAAACAAGGATTGCAATGGTTTTGATTTAATGTACTCTGAGAGTGGTTCAGTAATGAAGGGAAATCAGAAAGCAAAGCTAAGACCAATTTTTGATTGGCTGCAAATAATCTTTTTTGGTTTGATAATGCTCACTTGAAAAAAACAGTTGAAACCACCATTGTCAAGTCATTATCACAGGACAGTACAATTTTTGCGGATGTCAGGCAGAGAGCCAATTTTCACTTCTTGCAATACTCTAAGGTGTTGAGGCTCCACAGGAGCTCCACTATCAGAGGTTAGGCCTCCTAAGAAATTTCTTTCAGATTTATGTTTGTTTACATTTACTATCTCTTGTACTCATTTCTTCTACAGGACAAGATTCAAACTTCCAGCACTTCCTCTAGCAAGACCAAAGAAGAAAAAGAAAGAAAACACTGCTCCTGGGAAATGAGATTTATTGTCCTTTCTCTTGTAGCTGTAACTTGTACAAATTGTTTAGTCAGACATATTTATAATAAAAAGTGTTATTTGTTAAAAATAGTCTAATTTTTTTAATTCTTGCTAAAATGAGTGAACCTTGATCCCAGATCAAACTTCAGGCTTAACAAGATGAAAAAATTTAATTGCAAGTTTGAAAAATCCTTTGTTGTAACCCATTTATATTACAATCCACAAATTAAAGTAAAGTTCAACTTCTGACTTTAATAGGCCTCAATCTGGTATTCAAAAAGGCATCTAAGGGGAGGAGGAGTAGTTCAAGGTTGCATGTGACCCCCCTCTTTGTCAATAATATGATGCCAGTAAAACAATAATGCATTACCCCCTTCCTTACCCTCAGGGTAATTCCCACAATGCCTTGATATATCTATAAATGTATATCACGATCAAGAAATACAGTGATCAAGTTAAGTGAAACACATCACTCTTCCTTTTCACCAATGAAGCAAGTAAGAGCAGAAAAAATTATTTATCCCCATAGACACTGTATCTCTAACTTCTTCATATACTAAAAACATACTTTAAATCAATAAAATAGTGCAAGGACAGTTTGGAAATTAACAGATATCTGAGAAATGAGGATGCCAATCCTGCAATTAATAATAATTAAGCATAATTGAGCATAACTTAGAGGAGGTGACTCTCATTCAAACAGACACATCAATGGAATACCCGGATTTGGACATGTTTTGAACACAGTGAGGACCAAAACAACAATCCATGATAACAGTACATGAATCCGTAAACACATGTCAACTGTTCAGCTAATCACCAATAAGTTTTAAATTAAAGACAACTGAGCATAATTGTGATGTTTCCCACATGGTTGACAATTATTTACACAATATTACATTTATTTAGCAACACCATGCTAAAGTTACACGACACTTAAATAAAGTTTATTATCACCATCATCATCATCGTCATCATCATCATCATCATCATCATCAGTATTTAATTTATTACAATGATACATATCTAGAGACATCAAGAATCATCCATTTCTTGGAACAGTGCAAGCACTGAGTTTGATTCCAGCTCTTTTTGAATCTCATCCATATCAACAGGAAGCATATCCTTGCCATCCAACCAGTCAGATAGCAGAGAAGCAGATAGTGAAGGACTGTTTGGTAAGCTACCAGGAAGCGTCAAGCAGGAATCTTTATAAGGGCTGGATCTACAAAGAGAAGATGAAAAATCTCTTGATAATGATTCTGCAATTAAGAAAATGGTACCTTCACTCAGGGTACACCCTCAGGACTAGAAAATGTGCCTCTTTAGTAAACATAACAACAAGTTAAGTCCAAAGTTAATCTCCCTTGAAGGAGGGCTTCCAGGTCTACCTACATCTAGCGTATTTAGAGAGAATTTTTGGAACAGATATAAGAAAACATTTATTTTGGTGATCAGTGTCAAGAGGGAAAAAAGCTAACAGTGGACGGACATGTATTTGATAAAATGAACCTTCTTCTTTTCGAGAGCCAGAGAGGCCCACTAATTGCATTAAACCATGGTTTAGTTTAATCACCTCATTTAAATAACAGGCTCACAACGTTCATCTGAAGTGAAGTACACATCATTTGTACAGTGGCATGTGGAGATGATACTTACAAATTGTTGAGAACCGGATCCTGAACAATTCCAGCTTGATCAAGAAGTTCCTCAAAATCAATTCCTAAACCATAGCCACTTCCAGTTGCATTTGCTTTAGAAGACAGCATACTGGAAAAGATTACCTCCTCTGATAACCTTTCTTGCTCAGTGATCCCATGAACATTGAGGTCGCTAAACGCATCTTGGATGCTCTCAGGGATTAGCTCATTGTCCTCTTGTGATGCTTCAGTTCCCTGTGCATTGAACTCGCTCTGCTGTGATATGAACTGTTCTGATCCTTTTTCAAGAGGTGATATCTTTGGGAAGGGTTCTGCTGCTGTGGAGGTCATCGTTGCTGTACTGTTTGCAGTATCAGCTTGTTTAAAGATGGGGGGTGGAATTACTGAAGAGTTAAGCATTGAACTCCAAAGAAGCTGGGCATCTGTGGTACTCAGCATGGTTTGTAACATGGCTTGAAGGCTTCTTGGACTCATAAGAGAAGGTGCTGGCATGCCGCACACATTTAACTCAGTTTCTAAAGGTGCTGCATTTGATACAGCTGAATCACTCAAGGAAAATGATGAACCATATTGTGAGAAAGTTGAATTTGATGGGAAAGCACTTGTGGTCTGTGTTATAGCAGAAGCTTGAACTGCTTGACCTGTACAAGTTTGCGCAACATTATTCCAAGAGATATTGCTTACAGTTGAAAGAGCAGTGCTACTCCCTGTGTGTGTAGCTTGAGTTGACAGAGATAGAGGTATTTGTAAAGAGTAGTCATTTACAGTGGACATGAATTGAGATGAGGCTTTTGACAAGGAATTACTTTTGTCAGCAGAAACTTTGACATGTGATTCAGTTATCGCTGAGGTTTGTGAAATTATTGGTAGTCGTTCCTGACCAACAGTTGCTGTATTTACCAAGTTGTTTAGAATCACAGGAATGTTCCTTGAGGGAGTACTCATTGCATTGTAGTCAGGTTTGTTTCCAGTTGTTGACACAATTTCCTCTTGGTTACTAACTTTGGCCCCTAAAGGTAATCCTGGCTGACCAACTACAGTGGGAGTCAAAAATGTTTGAGAGCTCCTGGATGACTGTTGCAAAAGAACTGGAACAGAAGATGACAAACTTGTCAACAGTGAGGTTGATGACACCGCAGTTGTTGGCAGTTGTGTGATGACACCAGTCACTGCACTTGATATTTCTACTGCAGATGAAACAGCAGTACTATTTGTTTGATTGCTTGCATTGTTACCGACAGCTTTTCCAGTACCTGTACTGCTTGCACAAGTGAGAACAGATTTAGCCGGAAGTGGCATGCTAACAGAATTTGTTGTGCTGTTATTCTGCACACTAGCCACACTTTCTTGACTGCTTATCCTTGTAAGAGAAACTTGTTTAGACGGACCATGGGTTGTTAATTTCTGAGAAGCAGGATACAATTGTTTAGTTGCCATTGGAACAGGAACGTTTATTAGCATGGACTGTGGTAGAGAAGCCACTTCACAGGGGGCTAGAAGAACAATCTTTCCTGCAACAACAGATATGAACTACATATATTAAAAATGGAATTAACCATCAGATGACACTGACTATCTCTTATAAAATTAGGACAGGATGCCAGTCCATTACAGGGTTACCACAGTTTTTTTCAGGTTTCTATGACAGTTTTCTGATACCCATTTCTACTAAAAAGTAGAGAGAGACAAGTATTCTGCCCAAGAACAAAACACAGTGACTTAACCAAGGCTTCCACCCAGACTGTGCAATCCCAAAACAAGAGTACAAACCACAACTGCCACTTCTCCATCCTATGACAGCAATTGATAAAAAAATAAATGTACGAGGTTAGACTTACCCCCTGGTGCAGCCATTCTACTTCCTGGTAGAGTTTGCATCACATTTGACCCTTGATTTGGGACCTTAACAGCTTTCAACCCTGTCACACAGCCATTTTGGTTCTGAGGTACAAACTGCGTGAACTGAAACTGCTGCTGTGCATGACTCCCAGGGGGTACAACTGGTTGTGAGGTGACTGTAGTACCTGGTTGAAGATCTCCACCTGTAACCTCATCTTTTAATTCCTTGAGGTCCTGCATGTATTTTCTGATTGGGTGTATAAATGGTTTGGTTTGTTTTCTCATGTTTTCCCATCTAGCTAACATTTCTTTATCTTTGTCACTGAGCCCAGTGGAGTCATCTGACTTGATTTCTTTGTTTTCAGATTGCCTTCTAGCTGCTTTGGCCTTCTTCTTTTTATTCTCTTCTTTCTCTTTTTTCCTCTTCAAATTTTGCTCCATCTTCTGTTTAACATCCACCAGAGTCAAAGAGGAAACTGGGCCATTCCCTGAAACCAAGAGCCAAGACAAAAGATATGTTATCCAGCAAACTACTACAAGCAACTTAAATGAAACTATAATTATCCAATCCACAATTATTCATTATCCAACCACCAAGCAATGAGAAAAGACCAAGTAATCACTGTGAAAATTTACTTGACATGATACCAAGAATGGTAGCAAAGTTACAATCGAGAAAATTCCCTGAGCACTTGACATGGTGACTACAGCTAAGTGAACCTACTGAGAGCTTAAGACTGATGCAAGAAGAAAAAAAAGGAACTGAAAAGATAATACAGGGAAGCAAGAAGGGCAAATTGCTATCAATAGTAATCAGTCCTCCTGCATTGAAGGTTCACTGTGGACATCAAAACATGAACCAAGGGGTGCTTAGGACAACCACCGAAAAAGCCAGGTTTTTAGAGGGTGAAGAAAGAAACAAGGGAAGAATGCTTGTTTGCCATCTTTAATTTTCCCATAGATATGACAGTTACTTTAGTTATTAACCCTTTAATCCCTAAGAAAGCATAGCATCTAATTTCTCCTCAGAATATCAACCCTGAATCATACATTGAGGTGACAAGAATAAAGGAAATGATCCCCAACTACAGAGGCTCTTGATTGTTAAACAAATTCTCCTTGTCAGCACCTTAGGAAATGTAAAGAGAACAGTATGGAGAATATGTGTACTGATGTTAGGGTATAAAGGGTTAAAAAGCATCCAGAAAAATAAATATTTGTATCTTAACAGCAAAAGGTTACCTTTCTTAAGTGCACTATGACCATTTTCATTTCTTAATTGTGTTGAGGAAACTTGACTTGACTGTAATTCTTTTGGAAGGCTTGAAACGGGAGACAAAATCAATGACTTTTCTTTGTGAAACTGCTCAATTTCTTTCAGTATCCTTGCTTTAAGATCATCTTTAGTAAAAGGAATGTCCTCAAAGTCAAATTCAAATGGTGGAAAGCACACTGGTTCATCGTCAATGCAGTGGTATTCTTTCAAATACTTGTGAGCCAGTGCATCACCAACTGATATTCTCTCATTTGGGTCAAGTTTTAACATTTTCCCCAGCAAATTCAGTGCTTCAGGATGGCATTTGTCTTCAGGGTAAAGCTTTTCCAGTGGGACTGGTTGTTTCTTTGGAAGTCGCTGAAGATAAGTCTTCACTCGTTCTGCCCCCATTCGCTCAATGAAACTCTCTGATGGAGTGCCAACAACACTAAGGATAAGCTGAAATACAGGTAATTTAAGAGAACAATTATGATAAGCAGTAATATCAAGGGATATTTTACCTGTTGAATCTAAAACATAAAATTTAGCTGTTCAATTATGCTATAACAAAAAAACACTTGATAAATTATTTGTCAAGTGTCACCTTTGCTTCCTGTGAATGAAGAAAAGGATGGAAAGATTGTGCAAGTTTGCTTGCTTTTACTTGTTTGCACTATTTGCTGCCTTTTTCTCCTGATAACTGTCCATCCTGCTAAGGGTAAACCCTTTCCCTCCTCTGACATCAAAGAAACTGCAATGAAGTAGGTCGTATCTCTCACCCTCCCCACCCTTGAGACAAATGTTAGTTCCTGCAATAACTGCATTGACGGCTTTCTCTTCTGTTTCTAAATGGTAAAAATTCTTTAAATCTCTATCTTTTAATTTCTCTTTCCACACAGTCACTTCCTGCATTTGGTAAATATAAATCAGAAAACAAAACCTTGTAAGGAAATCCGAAAGTGCTAATTACCTGCAACTGGTTGAGATAGTTCGTCCCTGGAAATAAATGTTTCCTTCCGAGCATTTCTGCGAAAATACAACCCACAGACCACATATCGATTGCTTCCGAGTATTCACTTAGCGACAGCATCAGTTCAGGAGCCCTGTACCATCTGGTAGCTACATACTCTGTCATTACCCTCTTCTGTTCTGAAGGAGAGGAAGATAGACCACGGGCCATTCCAAAGTCTCCAATCTTCAACTCACAATCCTGGTTGACCAGCAAATTGCTAGGTTTCAGATCTCGATGCAGGACTTTTGCAGAGTGAATGTACTTCAATCCACGAAGAATCTGATACAGAAAATAGCGAACGTGTTCGTCGGTCAGCTGTTGCTGAGAATGAATTATATGGTGTAAATCAGTTTCCATCAAATCTAGAACTACGTAAACATCGTCAAACTGCTCCAGATCTTCAGGAGGTTTAAGAATATTCTTGATGGAGATTATGTTGTCATGCTTAAAATGCTTCAAGATCTTGAGCTCTCGATAAGTTCGTTTGGCTGTAGTCACCACGTCGAATGCTCGGGGAATTTTCTTGATTGCAACTTTACTGCCATTCTTGGTGTCAACGGCGGAACACACAACACCATAGGCTCCATTGCCTATATTCTCCAACAGCTTGTAGCGAGTATCAAGCTCGAACTTAACCTCGAAATTTTTGTCTTTTATCTTGTAGGTGCGCGTTCCAGTGGCCATTCTTTCGCTGAACTCCGCAAAACTAAGGCATCGTTGAACATGTTTGAGATATAAGGTACTTGTCGGAGTGACCGGAATAATGAGCGGTTACCAAGCTAGTTTCGTCATTTATATCGAAGGCGGATGATGTTAAATATAGTAACATATTACGTAGCCAGCTACCAATCAAACTCCGACCGGAAACTCTATGGGAAAACCCCGTAAAACCTCTTCGTTCCACTTACATCTGAAAAAAGCCGGAAAAAGATATCAAGTGAAGTAATCACATACTTTCCCTTACAATTAAATTGCTTATGCCATAATTGCTATCAATAATTAGAGTAATAAATACTTGGAATGTGCTTCTTGCAATCACTCTTGCACCCAGGATAATAGGCAGTAGTGATTTTCAATGCATAAGAAAAAGCTTGTAACAATTGAAAGGCATGAATGCATGTTATAGGTAACAAAGACAACATTTTCCATTTAACTCAAAATAATCTTTAGTGTCAATTTGTTGAATAGGTTTCATTCAGTTCAGGGAGAAGCCAGAAGGTTAATTTCAGAGAAGCGAGGGGGACAAATAAGAGAAAGTTAACTCGTAAACATAGGAGTTTTCTGTATTCACAGTTTGCTGTCTTGAGCTTCTCTAACGGGTCAGTCTGAGATGCGAAATAAAAGCATTAAACAAGAAGGCCAGTTGATAGGTTGTTACCCCACAAAGTTAAAGGAGGCTTCATCTGGACGACCACAACAATATTCTCATCATTAAAATGCTAAAAGACAGTGCTGAAATTTTAATTTTTTTTTATTTGGTATCAATATTGCAATGGATCACACACATCATCTCTTGAAGGACAAGTATCATTTCACAAAATTCCTCTATGTTAAAAAAAATAATTGTTAACCCTTTCACTCCCAAAATCTCATCAATTACTTTCCTTACTATCTGCCATACAATTCTTATGATATTAGTTTGGAGAATTTGGTATTGGATCAACCAAAAATCTCCTAATCGCCATTCTTCTTTACTCTCATCACTTGTCTGCTTTATATTGAATTGACACTGTAAGGAGAAATTCCCTCTTGGTCACTCATGGGAGTTAAAGGGTTAATACTACTTATTCTTTTTTCTTTTTTCTATCTCCTTTTTCCCCTGCAGACCTCACTGTAATCAGGCTAATGACCAACAGGATTGCATTCACCACATATGTTGAAATACACACAACACATGTGTCATGTAAGATGTAGAAGAGAATGTAGCCTAGATATATCGATCCTGCACAAGACATTAGTGAAAATAGGAACATCAGCCAGGCTGCAAACTTGTTGGAGGACAGACCTGAGGCAAAAATTCAAAAAATATACCCTCTCAGTACTAGGACTAATCAAGGTAAATTTTCTCCTGGTAATGTTGAAAAAAGTGATGTAAATATGGAAAATTATCAATTTCAGAGAATGAACTTCATGTATTACTGCATATTACACTAGTACTGAAATTATAAATGTTATGAAAATCACCGCTCCGAAACTATTTTTTTTACCAGCACTTCAGAGAACTTATCAAAGAAGCTTACTTCATCTCTCTCAACTGCAGATTAAAGATTAAATATGTTTCTTTTTATAAAGTAATCCACTAAAAGTAGGTTAATTGACATCTTCCTTTTCAGATATAATTTTTTCTTCTTCTACATATTGGTAGATTAATATAGCAATTAGAGTCTTAAAATCTATCAACCCACTTCAATTTTCTACAGGCCCATTTTTGAGCACAGATTATAATCTGTCTATACTTTTTCTAGAGAGTACACTGATGGAAAAAAGTGTTGAAATTAATTGGCAGTAATATTGAATTTACCCTTTACACCATTAGATTGTTATGCATATTCTCTACACATTTCCTGATTTATTTAACAATCAAGAGCTTCTTTAGTTGTAATCATTTCCAGTATTTTTGATGTTAATGTTTGACTCAGGGGTGATATTCTGAGAAGAAATTAGATGTTAGTCACCCTTAGGACTTAAAGGGTTAAGTAATGACTATCCTTACCAAGGAGAAACATCAAAAGGTAGAAAATAATCCCAAAAATACTGTTAGGAACATTGAGAGGTGAATCTTTCCCCATGAGTGGCTCCACTAAGCCAAAACCAGTTCCATACCTGGAGGAAAGAATTTGCATCCAAAAGGAGATTCCATAATGAATAATACTACACAATGTTCTAGTAATATAGTCATGCACATTGTACTTGTCAAATACGAGTTTCATACAGAAAAAAAAAATTGTCAAAAACTGACACAAGAAAAGTCACATACTTTGACGAAAATACTTTTGAGCAGCTCATGTGTTCATTGATGTCACAGAGAGCTTTGTATTCTTTATTGTGTTCCTTTGATATCTCCACATGAAGAGCATAAACTGACAAAGCTATACCAGCAACACAGGCCAGGAAACGAATTACCCCGAGACAGCTTACCATGGCCAATAAAAATCGACTAGATTGTTCTCCTGAGAATAAAAAGGAAAAAAAAAGAAATTTAGACGTACACCTTGAATTTTCTTTAACGTTTTGGCCTGGAATCGTATCTAAGGAAAATCTTACTGCTGAAGGGATATGGTTTTTGAAAACATCATTTAACAGCTCCTCCCTCAATCCTTGATCTGCTGAACTTTGATGTTCGAACCCTAAAAAATTTTCTATTTTCCCCTTTCATTTCAATAAATAACACAACAAAATTAAGAATATTTCATCTCTTTACAAGAAACATATTTTACATGAAGGTGTTAATTAAGATTCCCTTAACAAACACCTGAACAAAGTTGAATGTACACTTATTTTAAGCTTACGTTACGAATAATGTTGACTGAATATTCGATTTGTGGTTCTAAATGAAATCACGGCTAGAATGGTGAGCTCCAGTTACTTACCAGTAATTAGACAACAAATTAAGCCTCAAATCCAGCTTCACGCAAACAAAAACAATTGAAAACCTGATCACGAAGTGAACAGTGCTCGGCCTTTGGTCGCTTGGTGAAAGAAAGTTGCAATTGCGTGGTCACTGATGGTTGCCTGGTCACCAAGTTCAAAGTGAAAAATAGCAACAGTAGTAACGGAAAAGCTACAGGTGTGGAAAGATCGGCGCGGATTTTGAGTTGCGATCCTCAGCAGTACTGTCTTAAAAATAGCTACAAAAATTTTTTGTTTCTCTTGATCTAAAATGTCTGGAAATGAAGATCAGAACTCAAAGTCGGCCGTTAGCCGTCCACGAAAAGTATTGAGGAAACGACAAAGTCGTGATGATATTTTTTCCTACAGAGGGAAAATGGCATTGTCATTTAAAGCAAAACAAATGAAATTGCCAGACTCTGACAGCTCCGAGTCGGATGATGACGAAGCTTTTCAGAGAGTGCACTCAGCACAATACCCCGAAAACGAGTCTTCTGAAGTAAAGGACAGTGACAGCGACGAAGATAACTGGTAAGTTGTAAATGATTGTAATAGTGAAGGTCGAAGGGGAGGGGGGTACTTCCTCTGATGTTCTGTGCGAGAGATGGCCTGTCCAAAAGGGCCCATTTTTACGCTAAGCATATCCAAGGTCATATGAAAGGCATATATGCGATTCTTATTGTAAACAGAAAATCCTAATCCAATTTGAGACAATTGAAATTGAAGCACAAGGAAAGAAGGACAACCGTAAGCCTGGAACCTATAAGGGGTATCTTACAATACTTAAGAAACAGATTCAGACGACATCAGTCAGAAAGAGAGTCTTGAATTTATGTCACAGACATGATTTAATAAGTTGACTCCGGAGAACTTTGTGTTATTGTTTAGGGCTATAAAGGACAAGTCTGTTGAAGAAATAAACAGCTCAGAAAATGATGTCAAGGAAACACATCTTACAAGGTCACCAACACCACCCCCTGCATGGTCTCCAGAACTTTGTGAGGCTACAAAAATGAGGATAAACTTGCGTCAAAATAAGAAGCTAAGGTAAGCAAGAAAGTTTCATGGGTTGATTAAATTGTTCGGAGAATTTATAAAGATCTTTGTAAGTTAAAAGAACACAGCTTCTGGTAGGTAATATCTTTTTGAGTAATTCTTTATACATAAATAGTAGAGAAAATTTTCTGACTCTGTATTTGTTTTTTTCCTTTTCTAAAATTATTTTTTCAGGGAACTAGACAATGTTTTAGACTCACTCAAAAGATCAACCAATACTAGCTGGGCCTCACCTGACAGTCACCTGTCAAACAGTGTGATTTGTGAAAATGACAGTGATGCTTTTCCCAGTCCATCAGAACGGGATATTGTTGTTAAAGTTAGAACAAGATCAGGAATAAAAAGATTCACTATGAAGGCTGTAAGTGGTGTTATTTACTTGCTCCAACAAGGCTCCCCAAGTTTCTAAAGAAACTGTGATGCTGCATTTTTGGGGAAGTACAAGATAATTTGGTTTTATGAAATGATGTGTAAAGTGGCCACTGTAAAGGGAGTCTTATGCTGATCTTTAAAGTGTTAGCCCTTAGTCAGAGTGGGTCAATGAATTTGGGGTTGTATGTGATTTATATACAAAAAGATGGAGCTGTAGTACTGGTAGGAACATGGTAACATGAAAAACACAAAAAGAAACTATTTGAATGAAAGTCATGTAAACCACACAAAACCAACAATTCCTTGATTCCCTCTGAGTAGGACTAACAATCAAAACATCAGCTTTAGAAACTCTTTACAATGGCCAGTTCACATTATCAAGTCAGTTGATAAAACTAAATCATCTTTTAACCACACAACCAAATGCTTTATTGTCAATTTTACAGTCAGTGTTCAGAGCTTTTAAGTTGAACACTTTCCATAACTATGGCTAATGTAGTATTCAAAATGATTTAATAGAATTTCATTGATATTAATGTAGAAATGTCTTTTGATCATGAATTATAATTTTTACAGGCAGAACCATTTGGTAAGATCATATCTCAGCTTGCTCAACTGGAAGGTGCAACAGAAGATAAAATCATGCTAAGTCTGGCAGATATCAACATCTTAGGCTATGATACACCCATTTCCATTCACCTCAGTGTAGCAGACATCATTGGTAAGTTTATGTCAACACCTGTTGCAATGCACTGTGTCCATTCAGTTACCTGTTGAACATGCCAGATGAAGAGGCCTGCCATGAATAGCTGATGTGGAGGGTTGGTTCTCAAGGCACATTTGGCAGAACCCTCCCCCCCTCCCTCCCTCCCCTTCTTTCCCCCCCCTCTTCCCCCCCCCACCCCAATTTGGCAAGAAAAAGTGACAATTTACAGCATAAAAACCTGAATTTTTCCTATTGCCAGCAACTAAAACACTAGTATAGGAACTCCTCATGGAAAAGCCAGCCAACACCCCTACACATTTTACTATTACCAGTGACTTACAAGAGATTTAGAGCTTTGTGTGAAAATCAGTTTTTCTCTCTCTAGAATGTGTAGTTGTTGATAAACCAATATTGACAGACAGTGAGGAAGAAGATAAAAATTCAATTGAGATAAAAGTTCAAGGAATAGAACCTGATTCAAAGAAAGCTTTCCAAATATTAAAGGTGTGTACAGAGGAAGCATTCAGTGTAGGAGCTTTGCACTGTTGTTTTAAAAACCCAGAAGCTCGTATGTTTTTTAACTTTCTGTTATGTTAGTTTGCAGGTGATGAAATCCAAACCATTATTTCTTAACCCTTTTACATCTTAACATCAGTCTGCATATTCTCCCTACTGTTCTCCATACTTTTCCTAAAATACTGACAAGGAGAAATTGTGTAACAATCAAGAGCTTTTTTAATTGTCCATCATTTCCTTTATTCTCATTACTTTCATGTGTTATTCAGTGGTGATATTGTAAAGAGAAATTTGATGTTAGGCAGTTTGACGGTCTTAGGGCTAACTGGGCGTGGTAACAACCTATAACTGACCTTTGTGTTGGACGCTTTTATTCGTATCTCAGACTGACCCGCTAGAGAAGCTAATGACAGCGTACTGTGAATACAGAAAACTTCCACGTTCAAGAATTAAGTTCCTCTTCGATGGAGAGGATCTGAAAGGAGGTGAAACACCGGAACAATTGGACATGGAACACGAGGATGTCATTGATGTCCGAGTCAAGTAGCTTTAAAGCAACTTAACAAAAGTTGGCAGTTCATTAACGCCATATCATTTGGTTGTTTTTCCAGTTGGTTTGGACCACCACGTTCTTGTATTTTCATGTATTTCTTTGTTTGTATAGTTAAGAAGAATTCTTTGATGCGGTGCTGAGACAACAGTCTGATGTGAAGTGCTTACTTTCAAGGAGGTCAATCGAAATTCTGCCGATGTTTTCATTACGTCTCGTTCAGCAAACCAAACCTTACTCAAGTAATTGTGTTAAACCACACCCATTAAAGCAGGGTAATGTTTGAAAGTGAGGTGGGCTACTTTTGTAATGCAGTAGCATCTCTCCATGGAACTCTGAACCTGTTCAAGGCGAATACACTTTGTTTCCCTCTTCTTGAAGATGTGAGTTAATCCTCAAACCTACGTAACGGCACAACTTTTTATGAACTGGATTCTCTGCTGGCAGAGATCTTGATGAACGCGTGCGAAGAAGACAGGGATTTTAAGTTCCTCAGCAAACATTTTTTTGGGGGAAGTCGCGCACTCGAAAAGATTGCTTGATTACCTGAAAAACCCCTGGGTTCATGTCATTTATGGTGCACCTTTTGGGTAAAACTAGAATTTTCTTCAAGCTGAGTAAGATTTATAATTCTCAATCTCCAGTAAAGGCGGATGAAGTTAAACAGTCTCACACTCTTAACACACCATTGTTTGTTGTTACTCCATTAGTTCTGTCAAACGAGCAGATCTCGGTCTTTGAAAGTGTACTTCGCAACCATTCTTTGAGATGTTGCACAACGTGCCCTTTCGCACTATTTTGTCCCTCCACACCTCCCTACTTCAATATTAATGTTGAGATGTCATCGACCAATCAAGTATGAGACAAGAGATCTATAAAAAACCGAAAAACCAGCTGGAAATGTTTAATGAAATCAAAAAACGCTGTCGAAAATAAGGATCTTGATGAAAGTGAAACAATTTGGCTTTGGAACAAGGATATCAGACATTAAAAACCGAAAAACGGCTTTTTCACTCAGACAAACCGAAAGCCGAAAACAAGATGAAGTGAGCTGTTAATACGACCGAAACATTAACAGTTTCACAGATACTCTAGTTAATGATTCTAATGATGATAGCTGTTCCATCTGTCTGAAGAAGCGCCGAAGCATGTCTGTAGAACTGTCACGCAACCGCCGAAGCGTGCAACCTTGTCCGCATGACTCGTTGAACCTTAATTATCTCCATTTGAAGGTATTTTTGAAAGAAATTAAAGTAAAAGAGTAGTTTTCGATCATTTCTTGGGATATTTTTTTATGATCAGATCGACCAAATAGTTAACAAGAAGAAATATAAACAAGAGTGTCGAGGGCTTTAAATTTTGCAGGTAATTTATGGTATCTGCAAACCTGTTGGCAGGTTGATTAGCGTGCAAGGTCAACCAGTTAATTAATATGATTTCCGCTAACAGTTTTCTAAGCGGTGAACAATGCTTTGGTTTACCCTCTCTGGATTATTTTTCATGATTCAAGGAATCTGTTGCGATCCTCAAACCCTTCTTCTGATCTCACTGGACGGATTCCGCTGGGATTTTGCAAGCAAGGCGAAAACTCCTAACCTGGATATGCTGGTAAAAACAGGCGTCACAGTGCCTTATGTTAGATCTGTTTTTCCGACAGTCACTTATGCAGGGCATCATAGCATAGTAACCGGCTTATACCCAGAAAGTCACGGAATAGTCAGCAATACCATGTACGATCCAGTTCTTAAGGAGTGGTTTGGGGCATCTCAGACAGATCCACGATGGTGGAATGCAGCAGAGCCCATTTGGGTAACGAACCAGAGACACAAAGGAAGAAGTGGATTGCTTTACTGGCTAGGGGAACGCGTCAAAATAAAGGGAATGTATCCTAAATACAAAATTGATTCTGCCTCGCCACATATTGACTTCACGAACAGCACAGGGAAGGTAATGAGCTTTGAAAAACGCGTGGAGAAACTAATTAGCTGGTTGACTGGTCCAAAACCGCCGAATTTTGTGGCTGCTTACTTTGAAGAACCAGACAAAACTTGTCATCACAAAGGGTGGCCAGATCTACCTCTTGCTATACAGCGAGTGGATAAAACCATCGGCTTGGTCGTGCAAGGTTTAAAAAAACATCATCTGTTCGATAAAGTTAACATCATAGTCACAGCGGATCATGGCATGGCTAACACGTCATGCGACAAAGTGATTGATCTCGACAAGTACGTCAACCCAGACAACTTTGAGTTTTGGGATTCCTGGTTTAATATGATGCTTGCGCCGAAAGCTGGCAAGACAGAGGAGGTGTACGAGCGGCTAAAAAATGTCTCACATTTGCACGTTTATCACAAGAAAGACGTTCCCATGGATTTACACTGCAGAAATAATCAACGCATTTCACCGCTTGTGCTCATTCCATCAGAGGGCTGGCTTGTGAGTTCCAGAAAGGGCAGGCTTATAAAAATCTCAAAGGACATGCACTGGGTAGAACTTAACCACGGTATTAGTTGCAAATGCAAGTCAATGTCTACTTCTTTTATTGCGCACGGGCCCGCATTCAAAGTCAATTTCACAGGCAAACCGTTTGAATCGGTCAGCATATACCCACTAATGTGCAAGATCTTGGGAATTCCCCCACAGCGGAATAATGGTAGTTTAGATGAGACTAGAGATTTATTAAGGCCCAAAGTGTTGTCAAATAATAACGTAAAAATGTGAGGGTTTCTCCAATCATTTGCAGTCCATATTTAACGCTGTGCAAACCTACCCCGGAGGTGGGGCTGGCGTATTTATTTGTAGGCATTAAAAAAAGAGGCAGTGAAAATAGGGAGGGGTTGAACGCCCTTGAGTTGCTCACAGTCGGGGTTAAACATCAGAGATGCAGCGGAGCGACAACTTAAGAAAGTTTGGGAAAGCGCTAATTGATCATTTTTCCTTTCCTCTCCTTCTCATTGTTTTACGATCGAGAGCCCGACACACTAATGCTACGACAGAAGAAATTCTTCATAATGTGGCCCTGCGTCAAGCAATACCGTCTCCGTTCATCGGAAAGCCCACATAATTAAAAGCTTTCACATACACTTGTCAAGGATAGGGGGATTACTAGCAACTTGAAGCTCCAAAACGTGGGAGAGGGAGAGGGAGGGGGAGGGGGCACCTATTATAGCGTTATGACTCGACTCGGCTCCAATCTCCTATGACAAGAATTAGATTTTACTGTTAGATGAGGTCATAGCATAGCGCTCCAATAGTAGATGGATGCAAAGAGCAACAAACAAAACAACCACAAGATCAAAATTAATGCAGCTTTAATATGAGGTACTCTTCCATGTTATTCCTATTTGCAGTATAGCGGTGCTTAGATCACCGAACCGAGGTAACTAACTCTTTAGAAAGCAACAAATTCTGCAGTGAATAAGACAAACCAGTCTTGTAATATTAAGCTCTTTAACCCAACACAAGGCCTTTTTAATTTTGCATAAAAACGAGTGTGTGTGCAGTTTAACGTAGGTTAACCTTACTTCAAACATTTTTCAAGCCACCAACTTGTTTTGGACAACAACTTAAACCAGACCCTGGAAAAAGTTTCCAGTGTCAGCTAATACTAAAATGAAAGTGTCAGCTAATACTAAGATGAAAGTTACGGACGGAGCGACTGTTTCAACGACCTCTGAATATAATGAAAAATCCTCTAAACTACAACGCAAAGCAATTATGAATAAGGAGACAGAGAATAAAACAAAACAAACATTACCAAAAATAATATAAAAGTAGTTCTTTCAAACCCAATGTTAGCAACAAGTTCTCTAAGATGACCTGAGATGTTGTCCCTCACAACATGAGAGCTTTCCGAATCTCTCTCTCCCTCTCTCTTTCTGCCGCTGAGGCTTTTTCGAAGATGTCCGCTGAACACGATAAGTGCAGGCTGGCACGTTCCAATTGCACTCACACTTATCAAACTTCCGTGGATGTATCTTTAAAAAGCTTCTATCTTCAAGAACGTTACATTTAAAGTTGTCAAAAGAAAAAACCCTCGTGGTTGAATAACGTTCACTAGTAATGAAATCTATAGTCGCAACAAATTGAAAATCCATTTATAAGAAATATAATAAGAAAAAGGTGTCAAAATCTTAAAATAACACTTGTGGACAACAGGGAATAAAATTTAATGCGTGCAGAAATTCCGAACAATTCATGGTAAACTCAACTAAATCGTGGCATCGCCATTTCAACATGAACGTTGCGTCTTATAACAGTATTTTTTTTTCTTTTTTTCGTTTTTGGAAAATTAATTAAATAAAATCAGATGTCATGGTTGTTGCTGGCGACTTTTTCGTTATTTGGTAGCAGTCTCGTTCCCAGGCAGTCTCTTCCTCTTATTTCCTTAGATACACGTGACCAGGCCGAAACTCCCATTCCCTGAAACACACGCCCTAAGGGTAACGCGGAAGAGTGAGTCTGGGTACGAGCTTGACTGGGCGGTTTGGTTGTCTTAGCGTTCGCATATAAATGAATCAAATAACAATTCGTTATACCAAACTCCACTAAAATATGTTTTGGTAATTTTAAGTTCATAATATTTGTCTTCTACTTTGTGGTGTTAAATGGGGATATTTGCCTCTCTCTTTTCTTAAATTCTATAACCTATAATATGTACAACGTTATTGAAAGTTGACCTCTATGAGTGATTGAACATGTGCGACGAATTATATTAAAAACCTCTTTGACTCAGACCATGTAATTAAATTATTTCCAATTAAAAATTATGCATTCAGGACCCCGTACAAAAAGTCCGAAAGAACAAAAATTCAATGTAAGCTTAACAATTCTGTATCTGACTCTTTTTATGTGGTTTGTTCACACATGTGTGGGATTCGATTATTTGAAATATTTCCTAACATCTTTCTCTCTCTCTTTTTAAATTGGAACAATTATTTTTCTGTCGGTCCACACAAAAATGTATGTCCTCTTTTTCCTTAGGAAATTAATTATAGTTTTGTTTCGCGGATGAGAATTTTCATAATTTTCCGAGCGTTAAAGACATTAAGGTGGCTCTTTACAGTTTATGACGAACCGCCGTTGCTAGGAAACACAACTGATGAGAATCTGACCGGAAAAAAATAACTGTACGTTATAACAATATATTTTTTTCGCTAAGTACAAATTATTTGAAAAAATAAGGCAAATATAAAAGCAATTTCAATAAGTCTAAAATTTCTTTAAAAGTCATTCGAGGTTAAATTGAATATGAATAAAAATTCTGATATTTTCCTTTAACGACCTCATGTTCCCCGTTGCTTCCTGCAAGGGTAGTTGCTGCACAGAACTGCAAAGAAAAAAGCTCTAACAAAAAAAAATCAGCGGTACCAAGGAGTATCTGATATTCATTGGAACATCAAAACACTAGAGACAAAAATATCAATTAAAAACATCTCTCGAGTGTGGCAAAAAAAAAGCAGTAGCCAAATATTCTAACCTAACCCTAATTTGCACTAGCCATTTACAAATTGAAGCTACTTCAAAAGAAGAAAAAGGCTCAAAATTTTGGGATCAAGTAAAAGGAATTACGCCCATAATCACCAAACGAGAACAGTATTAGTATTCAAATAAATTCTCCCCACTAATTAAAGAAGACATGTATGCAAATAGGTCAGGAGAATTTCCGTACTGATAACACAGTAAAAGTATTAAACAAGGGGGTGCGTACGCTGTGGAAAACATCTTAAATTATAAATACCGACTTGGTGTGTTTTAAGCTTACTAACAAATGTAAAATAAGACACCACTTGTGTGTTTGGTGTAAGGCATACACATTTTACAAAACAACGCGTCGCATTTGCTACCTTAAAACCTGATAACAATTGTTGACGCACATGTCAAGGGAGAAGGTAAATTTATCTGAAAGCTGCCGCTTTTGAGATAAGGTGAACAAATTTTAACTACAAAAGTAGATCGTGCAGAGGAATCAATACTCCAAATACTGAGTCAAAGTATGAAAAAAACAACAACAAAAACACAACTTATTCTCTCGAAAAGGAAAACATTTCCTTGAACAGTTGTCAACAATGTGTCAACAGTTTTGGGTAGCAATTACGGTTGCAATAAAATTCAGTGGAAAAATGTAAATTAGATGGAAAAAAAAGTTACCATAAGTAATAGATAACTTGTTTTTTAACGATATCATTTGCTCAGGAGCCTGTGAAGTTTGACTTCTCTCCACGAGTTAAGATTTAATATATCTATGATGTAGGAAAATTTTGTATATGTAGACAAAAGGAATCTTAGTTTAGACTCACTGCGCATACGAGTTTTGAAAAAATTACTCTAATATTCATGTTGTAAATATTTATGTAATATATTTATATATTTTGGGCTGGCATTTCAACCGCTCAACCTTGGGTTATTAAACGCTGGTTTTTACCAAGGCTTTCATCACCTCAGTGCATTCAATAAATTCTTAATGTAACGAGGGAAAATTATTAAACCTATAACTACAAATTTGAACCATAAACCTAATGCATGAAAAGGTGCCTTTAACTAACATTGTTATTCGAACTTTTACAACTTCTAAGCATGCTCATCACCAACTGTTCTGGGAGAGCGAAAACAAAGCAGTCGGCGAACGACAATACAACATTTTTGTTGACTTATAACGACCTAATGTATTTTTTTTAACTCTTCCCATTGATTAATAATTCATTTACCTGGGAGATTTCTCTTCATTCGAAGTTGAATCTGTGTTTTCATTTGAAGTCCTTTTAAGCATCGTGAATTACCGCTTTACGTTATCACAGCTGGTTGATGCTGTGTGCCAGTCTCCCTCCCTAAAGACTGGTACCTGATAAATGCTCTGGACTCAGCCCATTCCTCTCGGAGTCACCGTTTAATTCCTTGACACCATTCGTCACAATGCTGATGGGGCTTCCCGCCATACATCGAGGGTGCACCGGCGAACCGATAGGTCCCAAAGGATTGGCACCATTGCTGACGGCGACTGCAGCCGCAGCAACTGCAGGAGCAACGGTCGGAGCCGTTGGAGATATTGAGGAGCTTGGGGAGAAGGCCAATTTCAGGGTATAGGATCCGCCTCCTAAGAACAACAAAATAAAGAATGTTTGAACGAGTTTTCTTTTACACCATACAGTTTTCGACATAACCTTAACAAAAACTTCAAACACAACAAACCAAGGAAAATCCCCTCCTTTAAAACAATTTGGTGAATGGGGCTTATAATGAAAATATGTTTTACCTCTACAAAAAGTTGTTTCGAAACTATAAATGGTGGGTTAAGGCAACCTTTACCAGGAGGAAAAAGTTCCATCCAATAATAAATTAAAATAAAATAAATAAATAAATAACCAAAGAGTTTTATCACCTCATCTAACCTGGATGGGACAAGGACTTGACTTTACTAATCCCTTTTTATTATACAGTGCACAATGCTAAGACCGTCTGTCATGATGACGACAGCGGAAAGTCACACCACGAAACACAAATCCTATACAAACCCATCCCGCGTGGGGTGGGCGGAGGGTAAGGGTCCCACAACCGCACAACTACCACTAAAAGTACAGTCTCCCCACCCAACGGAAGATCGTTTTAGGGGGGTCCACATGGTGCACTGAAGGGCGACTTAAGTTTGTTACCTGGTGGGTTTATGGTGAAGTGGTTAGTAAGAGTTAACGCTTCCATGGCTGAACGAATATCCGGCATCTCCAGTAACCCCGCTGATGATTTGGCGTTCGCTAAAATTTGTACAAAAAATGAAGAAAAAAATATTTGTAAGTTGTTACTCTGCTTGGGTCTGTTACTATAAATACAAGGAACAGTTGTTTTGACTCAAGTGAACGCGAGATTTTGAAAAATGTCGTCATTCCAGAGATCTTCCCCAACCCATTCCCGTGAAATCTTCAAAGAGCAATCTTCGAGTTACATCTGTTCACAATTCTGTGATAACCAACACTGGTGTGTGGGGGGGAAGAAAGGGTTGGTGGGGAGGGGAGGCTGGAGGTGCTGCAGCTTACTATGAAAGTTTTCTACCAAATTGGACGTTTCTCTTCCACATTTTGTCTCAGACTGTAGGTGTGGCAGGGTCAGGGTAAAAAGTTGTTCTTGAAAAGAAGACAGAGCTCAAGAGAGCATGTTTAAATACAATACCAATAACATCTTAACTGGTCTTGCCTTTTGAAAAGAAAGTGCCTTTCAGAGGAGACAAAGATCCGGCAGTGATGAAGACCTGCAAATTAGATAAACCAATCAATTATTCCCAAAGACTGGCTAAGAGAACAGGGGCAAGGAGCGAGAAAAAGCTGAATGAAACATGACCCCTTGCCAGATAGCAGGAAATGCTTCTTTAACCTTACTCCCAAAACGTTATCGGGCAAATCAGCTCATTGTAACGTATACCTGTTGCTAGAGACTCACAACAAATTTAACCCAGATAAGACTCGAGCTCTGTCTTAGAGTCGGAGGTTCGCTCACGCTTTGAGAGTTGGAAATTCTTGGGCAAATTTCGGCATCAGTGAACGAAAAGCTGTTCTCAAATAACTGGTAAATAATCTTTGTAGACTGACCTCCTTAAGCGTTTCCACAGTACAGTTTGGAGGGGCATTGAAGAAGTGAAGCATTCTTGTTGGTGGTTGGTATCCTAGTTACAAGTTAAGGAATTTACTAACTACCTTTTTATCTCAATGGACAAGAGACTTGTCACATCCCCAACAAACGACTTATAATATCGAATGCCCCTTTGCTATGAGTACGTTCCAAAGAAAGGAGTTTAAAGGGGACCTTTTCATCGGTAAGTTAAACCCACGCGTAATCAACTTCCAAATTGACGAATGCCCAGAATTCTGCATTAAAATAGGAGCTCACAGCAAAAACCCTTTAACCTGTGCCAAGCGCAGAAAAGAGCCGTAACTTCATCGCGAGTTAGTTTTGGTTGGTATCTGATTGTTTTGGAAAGAATCATTAGAGAATTTGAAAAGGATACTATTCTTGAGACTCTGACCCTCAGGAAGACTACGAATAAAACAAAGAAACAAAATTAGAGAAAGGTAAGGTAAAGTTGTACCCGAGTCAAGAGGACTACAAGGCGCAGCAGTCTACACGAGAACAAAGGAAATGATCACCAACTAAAGAATCTCTTAATTGTTAAACAAGTTCTCCTTGTCAGCAACTTAAGAAATGTGTAGAGAACATGCATACTGATGTTAGGGTGCAAAGGATTCATACTCTTGTTTAGAGAGAAGCATAATGAGAGTTAAGGTGTCTTGCCCAGTAATACAACACAATGACCCGACCAGGTCTCGAACCAGGGCCTCTCGATACGGAGTTTAACGCGCTAACCATAAGCCAAACGCGTCACCTTATATGGGAATTGTGTAGCGGTATCAACTACTCATTCCTGTAAAGAATATGAATCAAGTTCGCTGCTCTAGGTATTGTAGTCTCACGTTGAAGATTTTAATACTACTATCACATTTGGAAAGATATCATGTGAAGACTGAGCCTGCTGAAAGCTATTTTTATCTGCCAGTAGTCCGCAAGAATAAAAAAGTGAAAACTTACTATTTAAACCGGTTGTTTCGGTTGTCAGCAAAATTCATGGACGAAGGCGTACCATCGGGTAAAGTCGTCACCACCGATGAATCTGCTATGAAAGGATGCTTCGAAAATCTGCAAGTAGTACAAAAGTTGCATTAGGTACACCCTTTTTTTTTTTTTGAAAGTAGTGCACTCAAGACACTGCTTCATAGTATAGAGACTGATAAACAATTCTTATTGTGTCGTTGATCGTGTTGGAAAGCACTGGTGATAGAAAAGTTTCACAACAAGCTTACATGATGTTGATTTTGGAATCGAAAAGCACGGCACCACTCAAGTTTCGGATGATCATTTCTGAAGCAACTTTGTCCGACATTTGTACCATGGCCGCTCCGAGTTTGTTGGTGAGGAATTTAACCTAAAAAACACAACCTTAAGTTTAGTTCAAGAAGTTTCTATTGTCTGCTTTTGAACCCTACATGGACGGCTTTTGCCATTCAACAAGTATACTTTTCCAGACTGAAAATTTGACCAAGTTGTAACACGAACATAACGCAGCCGACAAGGTAGCAATGCAAACCTACTATAGCACTTACTAGGTTGGAAAACGTTCTAAATATTCTGCAACACAGGTTAACCCAGACAAAACGCCTTGCTGGCTACAAGACATTTAGCCAAGTAATTGAGTGCTATTTACGGAATAAGAGAGAACTTTAAACTTTTCCTTCAATTCAAACTTTACCTCTATTTTTGTTCACTAGCAAAAAGAAAATGACAACGTGTGTAGTTTTTGTTGAGTATGTACTCTGAATGGGTGGTTACGTCAGGATTTGATGGTAGAATCACCTGGTTTACCCCGATTACTAGACTCGTCATACCCCAAGGTTTCCTCGAAAAATTTGACTTTGAAACATTAGACACATTTTGAGCCACGTTTCCCACAATTTTATAACTTCATTTGCCATCTATTTACCTTGACGACGTTGCCATATAGACAAAACAAGTTAAAGATTCTCTCACAGTTCATTTTTTCAGCATTCAGTCCGTAAACCATCAACACACAGCCAGTACCACCTTAAAACAGTTGGAATTTGTCAGTCTGAGTAATTAAAACTTAAATTTATAATTTAAGTGACCCTAAACATCATGCAAAGAAAATGGCCGTTGGAAAGTGGATTAAGACAGATTTGGCAAAGAGGAGGGTTTCAGCTAACAATTGTCAGGAAGCGTCTCACAAACCTGCGTTCAAAGCGCTAGAAATGCCATTCATCTGTTGCTGCTGTTGGGCCAGGCCTGGTAGAGCTCCTAAGAGTCCACCCTGAGGTAACTGGTACGGCGAGCTTCCAAGAATACCCAACTTTTTCACTACATTCTCCACAGGTGAGTTGCTACCTGATGTCACAGAGAAAGCAAATGTAGGTTCAGCAAACAATATTGTTGTAATTCTACGAATCAAGATTACGACAGCTTGTCGTTGCTATTTTAAATCTTCATTGTAACTGGTGACCACAGATATCTTGGGATTCAGTCCTCAAGCGATATCCACCCTCACTGCCAAAAGGAGAGGTAACACAAGAGCATGAAACCCCACTCAGGCTTTAACTTACGACCAACTGAACTTAAATTGACATCATCAAAATCTTGAACTCATCTTACTCTGAGCAATCGTTATTTGGAATCCTTCAAACACAATCCATCCTCACATTCGTTCATTTTAAAATGTGTTGACGCATTAAGTGTAAAAGGAAAAGACGAATAAGAAAAAATAAATTCTATTGTCTAAATACCTGATGTTGGACTCTTAGGCGGGTTCCCATGAAGAGATGCAACTTTGGCTAGAATACCTGAGAAGTGAGAAGACAGTTGATTCCAATGAGTTGCCTCTTTTATTCACGCAATTCCTTATTTTAGTCGATATATAACAGCATCTGTCTATGTACCCCTAACAACAGACACAGAGGAGCATACACAACAACCATTGTCTGGAAGAATCCTTTAAAATTAAAGTTATTGATGTGAAGGAGGCTCTGTTGAAAATTTTCCAGGGCTATTTAAGACGTATAAAATCAAATCCAACCAGACTCAGACATTCAAATTCATGCTCCATGGATCTAGAATAACATCTCATGAGAACTCACAATGAAGGGTAAACAAGTCTGAGGATGGTTGAGGGAGATTACACTGACCATCCACGGACACTTGAGATATTTGGGCAGAATTGTACTTGATGCTCGACTCAGACATGTGAAAGTTCCCTATACATTGATCACCTATGTGAGGCGTGGTCTAATAATACAATAAGTTATAAAATAAAATTAAATCAATCTCACTCTGTACAGTGGGAAACTGCGCTGCTCTTGCAATAGCCTCATTACTGATGGAAATTGGTGATCCATTCACACCTGACGGAGAAATTTAATGACATGAGACCACTGAATGTGATGAACACGTACTGTTTTCCTTACTTATACTTCCCCCAATATTAATATTCCTCCTTGAATCCATGACCCAATACCAAGACTTAAAAGGCCTGGGAAATGAATTATTGAATTAAAACTTTCAGAGATTTGCAGGAACCTTGACGTAACGGCAAATCATTAAACAAGACTCATGGCATGTGTACAATTGTTACTCAGTCATATTACCATTAAGAGTGACAGTGTTCGGTGGTGAACTTGACAACTGCGTCTCACTGGCATCATTTCCTGGAATCATAAAATGAATGAAAATTTCATTGTAAAATTAAAAGATTCAGTTACAATGTACTTGTAGCATGATAATGCATAAAGTGCAAATGAAAGTTCTGCCTCTGTTGGCATGTTTGTTTATGAAAAATAAAATGACACATCTTGTCATAATTTGTTACTACTAGTTTCCAGCTACTGTGAAAATCCTGCATAACCAAAGGAGGACAATACCATGATACTCATTGTAAAAGGGAGTATGGGAAAGGGAAGGTTCTTCTCCCTCAACATTATATAACCCCTTGTAAAACTGGCCCAGTATACATTCAATACTTGCAACAATGAGGGGGACTGGTAAAAAAGGTGAGAGAATATCCTGTCTTGCTTTGTCATCCCCAGGTTTCCTTTCAACTCATCATTCCCCTTTTCTTTAGGACTTTAGGATGGGGGGTGAGGGGTGATTACTTACTTCTAAAGCCTCTCAACCCAAAGATTTTTTGACCCTTGAAGTTCTTGTTTTCTCTTTTCCTCTATTTGTTTTACTAATTTTTTCCTCACTCTTTCCCTAAATTGTTTCCTCCGTGCTTGTGTAAAAAGCTACAAATGAATGCAGTTACCAGTGCTTACCTGAAATTGCAGACAAGAGCCCAGACCCAAGAAGAGCTGTCTTGCTTGGGATCCCTTGTAAGTGTAGAAAATAATACGTTAGTATGAAGGTGACCGAAAATCATTTCCCTTTTTCTGGTCAGCAGGTAACATCATTTCCTATCCTACCAATTATTTCAAATGAAAAATGTGTGCTTGTAATAAGGTCACCACACTAAGCATTAATTCACAGGGACAGATAATGTTGTGCATATCCTTCTTAACTTGTGATTGTTTCAAGGAAAACCTAACTCCGAGGAACAAAGTACACAAAAATTATCCATGTTACCCAAAGCAAATTGCCTGCAACTTGTCCTCGCATGAGGTTCCATAATTCTTTGTATATTACTTGTGTTTGCTTCTAAATTTTGCTCTTACGAGATCCTTAAGGAAGTAGCTTCTTGCTGGAAAATTATTGACATGGGTCAGGTAGGTCTCTTTGTAAGACGTTACCTGTTGATCACTTGTCTAAGTTAAATCTTACAGTTCTTTGGCTACTCAGAGAAGTGGTAAGAGGATTCTAGCCAAAGGTTTAAGGTTCTACTGCTTTTACAAACCTGAGTTATTGTTCAGTGCTCCAGTGTAATCCCATGTTTCATCATCATTTTTAAAAACATTTAATTTTTTAGCTTTCTGTTGAGAAAAGGGAAAAAAATCCATGATATGTCATCTGGCACCAAAGAGTATTTGAGGATGTTGTATCCAGTTTGTCCTTGCTATCTTTGCATCACCTGAACTGGTTGAGAATCATCTTTCAGAAATGCAGTTAAAAAGTTAAATAGTTAAATTTGAATTCTATAACCAATCACAGATGTGCACTGAAATGGGAAGAAGCCCAGAAGGACCCATAATTCAAAGCTAATTACCTTTGAATAATCAATCTTCAGTGTGCAGCATCCCGCATAAATATCTTGTCCATTGAGTGTTGCAAGAGCTCGCTGAGCTGCCTCGACATTGTCAAATGTGAAAATGGTCAAGGATAGGATATTTGTTAAATATATAGATTCCACATAGCAGTGCCTCTGTTCAGCAATTGATCGATGATTATGTCAAAATGGGGTAAAAACAAAAACACAACCCACGAAAATGTCACCAATGTTCTTACCTCAATTTTGACGCCTTCTGAGATCTTCCACTGAAGACGCACCCCACCATGGAGTCTACCTATTTTATTTTATTTTTTTTATTTCTATTTTTTTATTTTATGACAAGGAGAATTTGTTTGACAATCAAGAGCTGCTTTCGTTGGTAATCATCTCCTCTATTCTTGTGACTTTCATGTTAGATTCAGGGGTGATATTGTAAAGTGAAATTGGATGTTAGTCTCTTAGGGGCTAAAGAGTTAACACATTAACTGAACAACACATGACCTTATCCATCACTTTTAACACAGTTATGTTTTGGGGCAGATAAAGTAGATTTTTTCATTTGAAATAATGGAATTTATCAAAGGATATTCAACCAAAGCTTGCAATCCATTCTTGTGAAAGATCACAATTCTTAAAACTTTTCCATGAGGGCTGCATATTTTATGAAGTACTTTCTAGAGACAGAAACAAATTAAGGAGAGAAATGTTGTTAAAAATACATCAAACATCTGGCAAATATAAAGCAGTCACACCTGAAAGCTGAATTTTCATTTCCACTGCACAACTCTCATTTGAGAGAAACTGAACAGGTGGAATCTGGAGGAGAGGGGAACCTCTGTGTAATAAAGTGCCTCTAAACAGTAAAGGAAAGAAGATTACAAAACAAAGCACAGAATGCAGTGATCACCCTAACACAGGCTGTGCTGGTGAAATTGTTATTTCACCCTCTGAAAAACAAATTTCAAAATTCTACTTGTTTTTGAGTAGAAATTTTTGAATCTGAAAAATAAAAATCTCCCTAGCTTCAGCAAATATGCAAATCTTTTTGTTTATGGTTTTCTTTTCAAACATGTTTGTCTGTCCACAGAAATTCTAATAAAACACCAAAATCTCATTAAGATTTTCTGGCCAAATCAGGTTGTCACCTTGGATGTTCTCTACATTGTGTTTGATAAAAGTTCAGAAGCTAATCAGATATAAATTTAAAATCTCAGTGAGTTAGGTTTCCCAAGGTCATAATCTGTGGAATGTCTAACATTCCTAGAGTACTGCTTTTCTGTTATGCATAACAAAAAAATAATTTCACACCAAGATTTCTTTGATAAAGATACTTCTTATAATCTGTGATCAGTTTAATCAACTTATCGTCAAAAATGATCAGAACATCTTTTATCTGGAGGTTTGAGAAATAAAATTTCTAAAAAAATGAAGGGATTCATTTCAACTAAGCCTGCTCAGATAAGAAATAAATCTGTCTTAGAATTAACATGGAAAGTCCTTATCAAAAATTTTGTTGGAATATTTCCAAATTTAATTACAATCTACTGAAAATCATGAAAAGCAAATAATTTGTGTTGTTCTTTGAACCTACACACTTTCTTGTTGTTTTAGTAAACAGTTAGAGATATCCAAAAAATATGCTAATCAGTGTTGAAATGCACGCTGTGAAAACTATTACAAGTACACAAAAGCTTTCTAGAGGAAGAAATTAAATTATACTATTTTGCTCAAGGTGTTTTCAACATAAAGCCCATAATAATTAGAGTTATTGTGATTAAAATACCTTGTAAACAGATTTAATTATTGAAATAACCACCACCTGTCAATCAGACAGTTTTCATTAAATTTACTCAATCAATAATTGATGAACAATTGGAATAATTTTTGTTCATCATCAGTGAGGGAAGAAATTTAAAACCATGTACTACATCAACTGTGTGTTTCATAAATTTAAGTCTATTCCAGAAGCCAGTTAAAGAAAATCACACCACTATCTCTGCACCGGAAGACATAGGCACAAAGCCACTTTATCCACTCTAAATGTTTCATGCAAAAATGAGAAAAATTTAATGGTCATTTTGTGCTTAGTGTAGCCTCCATTTGTAGCAAAATTTAAACTTTCTGTTTCCATGAATTGTACAGCCAAAAGTATACCAACATCATTGGTGAAATTTAAGTTTTGTTTCAAAGACATATAAAGTTAGAACCATGCTACGTGAGCTTGACAGACTACAGTCCATGCAATATTAAGCTTCTCTTGTCAAATACTTGAAATAAAAAGCCACTAGCCTTCAGAGAATGCAGAATGTCTGGGCAGAAAAGGTGTTTATGAGCTCTTACATGTAAATGCCTTAAAATATTTTTTGATTTTGAAGATCATATTACTCTAGGAATATAACCTTATCAGCCCAAAAGGTTAGTATGGTTAAGTTTGACCAGAATTTAGCCTATTAGAAAGACATATGCATGGATTACCCAATACTAGTTTCTTTAACTACATTAATTTATAGACAAGTAACCTTGCCAATATATATGAAGTCTAGAAAATAATAATGAAGGAAAACTGATCTTCTAGCATGCCTGAAACAAAAAAAATTTCATTTTTGCATGTATGCTAACAACACATTCCACAAGACATTAAATTACTAAAAATTTCATGATTCTTAAAGAAAAATCTATGCACCAAAATTTTTAAACTTTGCAATCTTCAATTTTGATTTTCTCTTGGATCTTTATGACACTTACCACTGTGATTGGATGTAAAGGATTGATTATTGTGAGAAGGAGAATATTACTAGCTTCTGAAGAGGCTCCATTACTTTCACCATTGAGAACTTTATCCCTGTAAAAGGAAAGAGATTCTTGATTAGTCACAGGCATGATATGCACACAAAGTTTCTAAGGTTAAACACAGTTTGAGTAGGATTTAGCGCACATTTTAACAGTGTCAGAAAAACCAAACAATAGAGCTGTAGGTTCAGACCACACCCAGACCTCTCAATCTAAGGTTGGAAGCCCAGGGTCACTATTCAGCCACTGTTTATCCCTTTAACTCCCAAGATCTCATTAATAATTCTCCTTACTGTCTACCATACAGTTCTTGTCATGTTAGTTTGGAGAATTTGTATTGGGTCAACTTGTAATTCCCTCATTAATATTTTTTTCTTTATTCTCATCAAGTGTCTACTTGATATTGCGTTGATATTTTAAGGCAAAATTCTGTCTTGCTCACTCATGGGAGTTAAAGGATTATGAGAAAAAAAGTCAAGTCTTTGCAAGTGGCCCATCCAGCCTGAGCTAGTCCCCATTTCTGTTGCATGAAGCAGTCAGAAGTGTTGCTAGTACCCCTAGATGAGGTACACGTCCGGCCCAGGTTACCACCCCCCTCCCCCTCTCCTTCTCCCCTTCCCCTGTATTTCCACAGGCTTCAATGATAGTTAACTAGTGCCCATTTGTACATGTGGATGGAGAGAGGTGCTGATAGAGTAATGTCTCTTGTCTAAGAACAAAACTCAATGACCAGACCAGATATCGCACATGGACCCTTTGACCCAGAGTCCACCATCCTAAGCATTATGCTGCTACATCTGTTGCACACAGCCAATTTTACAATCCCTGAGAAAAAAACTTTAAAATATGGGACTGAAGAAAATAGAGACTACTGAGTCAACAGGAGAAAGGTGCAAAGTTTCCCTAATGTGTTTTGGTTTCATGTTTTGGATACAATGTAACAAACGATTCTTTGTTATCCATTTTACACATTATGGGTTGCAACATTTGATTAAAAAATATATTATTACAATTACTATTTACCTCTTTATTTCTTGACTTTTGGAGTAATTCACGAACATTTGTCTACCAAGTACAGTGAGTGTATTTGACTGTACAAGAAAGAGATGGTCATAGTTATAATTATTCTGATTCAAACAAAATGTTTTGGCTTCAATCAACCACACAGGGAAAAGCATATCCTTGCAAGCAACTCCTTTCTTTCGACACACTGTCACAGGGCAGAAACTTTTTCCCTGCAATCTGCACAATCTTTCAAAGAAGTTTCCAATAAATCTATCAGACAAGGCATTTCTAGATATGGGCGTCTTTTTCTACGGACTGTCAAACTGAGTTTCTGTAAAAGCAAGGCATTTTCCATTTGTGTACATCAACCTCACTCATTTTACCAGAGTTAAATCCTAGAGACACAAGTTACTAATGCTTTAATGTAAAGAGAATGCACATTGCTGAATTGCCTCCTTGAAAATGTACACAATCACATACGTCTCACCTGTGAAAATGAAACCAGAGCTACAGCAGAATCAATATCCTGTGGAAATAATGAAATACAAATATTTGAGCTGTTACATGCAGCTTTCTCTAACATCTTTCGCCTAAAAATCACACACAAACTCCACAAATTTAGGCATTGAGGTGTGTATTTTGTGGTTCAAACCAAAAGTACATTATTCAATTCATAATCACAGTTTTTAAATGAAAGAGAACAAAATCAAACTGGTTTGAAAACTTTCTGACCAAAATATATATATTATTTTTTACCAAAATTGATTGATATAAATTTTTTACTTATCAAGTAAGAAAAATGCTTATTTTTCCTCGTAAAATAAACCTAGAAATATACTTAGATCTGAAGTAATTGCCACTCCTCAATGCTTCTCTCGATGACAAATGATATGAAAGGCGAATGCTATAAAAGGCTTGGGAGTGACTGCTCACAAAGGAAATATCTTTTGACAGGTATCGAAGATTACCACACTAGTATCCTTGGGTTGGTGCCAGACACGAACATTTTACATAGCAGAATGTCAAATTCAGCAGGTAAAGATACATACCTACCTGCATAATCTCAAAGTTGCTTAATTACAAGGTGTGGTATATGTACATTTGTCATGAACAGGAAGCCAGTTTTAGTCATGCAATTTCTCCATCAACCGGGGATGTAATTAGATGCAAGAGCAAGTGGTTCAAAATGGAGTAAATACAAAAACTTATTTTGTTATTGTTTGACTTCTGTTCACTGCTGTAGTCGTGCCTTTTAACATGTTGTACTCCGATTTTCACAAGAAGAAATTTATCAAACAAAACCTGCCTTAATATTCACAACTGAGTTCCTAAATTTTGAATAAATTTAGAAGAAAACAATAAAATTTGATCAAAAACACATCTTGGCCCTAGAAAATTTCAACCACCAATAACTTAAAGGAAAGAAAACTTTTCAACCCTCATCCATACTTTTCCACCACAAGGAACTCAAAATGTGGAAAAAATTCCAGACATACAGATCTACATGCTTAAGTAAGGTTTTTAAGATGTCTAGATATTTAAGGCTGGCAAACCTACATGGATTTGTCAAAATGTGGTAAAAATTTCCCAACATCAAATCTACATAATACATGCTGAAGTAATGTTTCTTAGACGTCTTCACATTTATGGCTGACAAACCAAAATGGATTTAGTGGACTTACACAAAATTCCTTGCTGAGATTCAACCTCTTTATCAGTCCCACCTTTGGAAATTCTAAGCTCACAATCTTATTGCCAGTCTAGGCAGATTAAAAACAGTCCGCAACCAATTCTAAACATAGCAGATTTCAGTTTCCTAACTTAAAAATACATTGGCAACAGTGCTGTTGCTTTTATGCCAAAATGGTAATTTGTTTCATTTGTACAAAGGAAAGCGAGTTTAAATTGGACATTGAAATAATTCACTGCTCATTTGAATTTACATGTACTTCTCACCATATCAACAGAATAGTTGTAAATATCAAACTTGTCGCACATTAATTTCCTTAACATAACATAACATTACATTACCTTAAAGGGGGCAGAGAGCCCTAATTTAAATGTATACTGCCTTTAATAAGTATCTAAATTATGTATTACTTGGCTTTGCCAACTTACTTCAAATTCCACCAATGCTTGTCTAATTTTTGGCAATAAAGTCACATATCTGCATTGAAAAAGAAAAAACATATACATCAGGCATTGTCACATGATATGCATCACTAGATAATGCAATGCATTGAGTAGAGGTTAAAAGAGAAAACTATTTTAGCACTTCAAAGGAATTCTTAGATGTTACCGGTCTGTGACTAAGGGTTAGGGTTAAGGGTGCACATGCAAATTTCCCTTTAAAGAGTGATGTGAACATACTGACAAACCAACAAGACTATTCTCGACTAATGATAACAGACCAAATTCTACAAAACTTATAAACAAGGACATTTAAAGTGGTAAGAAATGACAATTGTCAAATATCATCCAAGGCGTCAAGGGGATAGGCTCATTTTCTCCTCCCTTTATTACTGTTAAATCTCTCACAACTTAAAAAGGCACATCACCATTCAAGCTCCCCACCCCTGGCCTCAGAACAACATTTCAAAAACCTTGACATCATGGACCACAGGTAGTTTTAGTTTACATGTAGAAAGTAAGAGGATGATGAGTACCACAATATTGCAGGCAACATTGAGATTGTCGAACAGAAATGAAATTGTGAATCAAAATGAAATTGTCTTCATCATGCCATTTTAGTTTCAGGTGAGGGCTTTGCTTAATGACTATCCAATGCTTTTAGCCAAATGGTTCCTGACTTCAGTTTCAATCTAAACTCCTTTCTACAAGATTCTTACCCTAAAAAGTTGTTTGACAAAGAAAAAAGAAAATCCTCAGGGAATTCATGTGGAGATAAAATGTTCCCCAAAATAAGTAACCACCCAAACACATGGGGTGAATCTTGTCCTGAGTAAGCAGCATCTACATGTGTAATTTTAGGAATGATTCCTGGCTCAAGAGCCAAAAGTCTCCTCTTGTGAGAGGACAAAACTGTTGATCTAATGTTCAACTTTCCAAGAAACTATGAGGCTAATTGCCAAGTTCACAACCAAACAAATTCTGCTTGTGACACAAAAATTAGGAGATAAAGGTTGTCTTAATTAAGAGACACACCTACAGAGATGAGAGAATCATCTATGTAAGACATGATAATAGTCCTCTTAGGTTTTATTCCTATCTCTTTGTGGACTATGCCCCAAAGTGTTCATAAAATTTTTCCAAACCTATACAATGATGTTTGTTAATGAATTGCTCTAACACGCAGTAGTTATTCTGGGGTGGCACAAAACTGAATAAATACAGTACCATTGATAGGAAACAAACTCTTGAAGGTCCCATTCTCTTTGAAACTCAGAATAGTTAAAATATCTTTTACTGAGCTCATTTATATCCTGGATGTAACATTTGTAACTTGTAAGTGATCCTCTGCCTTTTGCAAACAATATGTTGACAGCCACTATTAGTAGATGAAGTCATCTACTCAAAGAGTGAAGTAACTTTTCCTGTTATTAAATCCATGCAGGGGTTTCAAACTGTTTTAGACCTCAGAATCTGAAAAAGTAGGTGACTGTGCATAGTTCACTAAGGGCTAAAAGGTAATTATTTTGAGCACAATAACTGACAACATGTTATCACGTAGCCAGCGGAACTCCAACAGTCACCACACTTGTTTTGAAAACCCCAGCCATGGCACAAGTTGTCTTCAGAGCAGAGTCCACTCCACTAATTGTTCAGATACCATACCTTGACACCATGTGATGAACATTAAGTAGACAATTATGTATAGTGGAAGTTGCACAATTAATGCTGCAGGGCATTTTGTCTTTTTCACTCAGGAAAAAAGTTTTAAGGACATTTAGGGTATAAACTTTTACCTGATAGTAATGGTCAAATGTGAGCTCTTACAGGCAGTCACTAAAAGTATTATTTGAATCAATCCTTGACCTCCACAATTTTTATGTGAAAAAATTCCAGTTATGCCAGTTATGAAGTTTGGGAGTACCAATTCAAAATTTTTCAAGTGGGCCTTGTAGAGCAGTTGACTACAAACAACCAGCTTTTATTGAAACTCTTGTGGTCAGACAGGGAAGAGGCAAATAATGTAAGTTGTAATTTTGGCAGGGAGGCAAGGTGTTTGTAATGGACATTGGAGATCTAATAATTCTCTACCTACTAATTCACAAAATTCAACTGCTAAATTTCAGTGTGCTGAGCCATTACTTTTTCAGACACAGAGATTAGTTTCCTTCAACTTTGTTACTAAAAGAGAGTCCTTCTTATGCTGAATATGCAAGTATGGGAGCATTCTTCTCCTCTGCCATTTCTTGAGAATGGTAACAAGTTATTGAAAGAATATATATTGTTACTCCAGAATCCTTGGACTTTATGCTTAATTGTATATAATGAGCAATCTTTACTGCAGGAGGCTCCTGTACAATGTGATTAACTACAGTTGCTAATTACTAAGCTTTTAACCCGGCGCCACAACGGAAATATTCTCATTAACAGAAAACAACCAATTTCAGACAAAAATAATCCTGTACAAATACCTTTTAAATCAAGTTGGATCTTACATCAACCCCAAAAATATGAGCAGAAAATAGAACTTGACCTTTGCCTTGTCTAATTTGTTTTGTCTCTTCCAAAATTCATAAGCAGTGGGTGCACATACCACATAAATTCACCGACTCTCAGCTAATACAACAACATGATAGCCACAATTTTAAAGTATGTCAGACTAATTAGCGAGTCCATTAGTACTTTATTCTCAGGAACATGTTCCCGGGTGAGAAAAAGGAACACATTTAAAACTGCCATGTGCAGACAAAGAGAAGCTCCATGTATACATAAAAGAACAAAGCATCAGAAGTCATTTAGTAGATCTGTTTTTAATTGTGGAGGGTTCTAGCACTTTCAGCTAATCAAAGATAACTTGGAGATTATTTTAAACCCATCCTCAAAAGCTGACATTCTCCAAGGCATTGGCAATTCCATCATCCCCCCTAGCACCTTACGGTTTCCGGTTGAGATGAAAGAAAACAAAGCCGCCTGTTTGGACACAACATGAAAGGTCAATGGAAGAGAACAATGTAACATCTCCACATTGAACAAATTTCCTAATTGAGATAAGTTTACTATTCAAAATACGAATTGAAAAATAAATACACAATTGAACTTCTCACATCACAACAGAGAACAGCAGTGTCTAAAGTACTCCTACTACAGATTTACATTCAGTGTTAGGCATTAAGTTACACTATACTAGAAATTAAGGTGTACTTGAAAAGGCACGAAGAACAAGACACGTAAAGGCGAAATGCCACCCTTAAATTTGCCAAGATGAGGAAAATAAGTTTAAAGGCTGTCTAAATATATCTGATTGCTAACTCTTTAAGTCATTGTGTTTACAACTCTGATTGTGGCAAAAATTTTCATCTGTCTGAACATATGCAAAGGAGTGGCGTGACCTTTTACATGCAAATGAACATGTAAATGACGTATGTACATTATCTTGTAATCAACAAAACATCTGCATGTCATATCCTGTTACTGAATTCACAAACTATAATAATCATATGCTGCATGAACAAAAGTTTTAATAATAACAAAAAGTTCAAATAGATTGAAGTATTACAGCCATTAAAACCTGACAAAATAATGATATAGCGACTAAATTTTCCTTGGGTCAGCATGGCCACTTACAATAATATTCTGTTGATATCAAAGGTCAGAAGAACAAATATCAAAGTACTAAGTCTGCTATACTATAGTGGTGATTGACATCCAAGCTATTGGAGCAAAAAAAAACTGCCCTAGTGTGGGAAAAAAGTAAACATACATATGTACTGAGATTCTGGAAGAATCTTGCATAAATGCCAAAGATTTGAAATTTCTACATTTTGAAAATGTTTGATCTTGCCAGTTGATAAAAATCCACTGACAATATTCCAACTACAATCTTGTAGCTGCAAATACTGGCTTGACAGTGAGATAATGATCTGTTTTTAATCTCCAAGGAGTAGTGAAATAAGAAAGCCATTAGGATCTGTCAGTTGCCTCACGTAATTTTCTGACAATTCCAGGTATTTAGAAGATTAACATGAACTTTGGTTGCAGAAAAAACAGCTATCACTGAAATAGACAGCTGCATACAATCAATTATTTGAAGCGTGACTGAAATTATTTGAAGAGCAAGCATTGGGGACAGATATTTAAAGCCTTCCTTGGAGCAATGCCAGAATTCTTATTCTTAGCTATGTGTTGAAAATGTTCTCTCACTTTAGTTTCAAGATTGTTATTTTGGATCTATGACACACACATGAAGCTTTCAGAAAGACCAACACCACTTCAAAAGCTTTTTAGATTATCCTTTAGCTGTAAAAACTTTCCTCATAATACTCAGAATATAGGTCTATGCCATGGAATGAACAGACAGAGAGGAAGCAACTTTAGGAGATCAAAACACAACAGAAGAGTTTTACATTTTACAAGCAATTAACAAAAGGAAAAACTCACATTCACCCAAAGGCTTGCAGCTGACAAAACATTTTAAAAGCAAGGCATAATACATTTTTTAAGACAATTTGGTGCCATTTCAAAAATATATCTGGCACAAAAAAGGAGTTACATGAACTATATCTTGAGACAGAAGTCTGAAGGGTAGTAGTAAATTATGCCTATAACTTTAACTAAATGAGAAGTGATTTATGTTCTCGTTTCAGCAAAGCTCAGAAAATTGGCATTTTGGTTCAAATAAGGTCCATGTGGTATTAAAATTCATGTTTTGCTACCTGAACAAGCCCTTGTTATTTTAAAGCCTTTGACAAGGAATTTCCGGATTTTTCAAAATTTCATTTAGTTGCACACTGGAATCAAGCACGAAACAGTCCTTTTTCATAGAATACCTATTCATAATAAACACTATCAAAGAATCAACCTGAAAACTCTTTAAGGCTGCAAGATTATTCTATCCGAAAAATTTAGACTGAGAATGAGTAATCTATGACCCTTTAACTCCCAAGATCTTATCCAGAAACAGCAATTCTCCTGTCTAGCTCCAACAAATTTCCTTGTGAGTATGTCTTGAGAATTTGGTACTACATCACAAGAAAACATGATAGTTGGTAAGTTTGTACATACTCAACCCTTTTTGTTGGATAATATATAGAGTTAAAGGTAAGATTGCTTATCAGAATTAAAGAGTCAAATGCATTTCTGCAGAAGGCAAAGAATTTTTTTTTTTCAGAAAAGTGTAAAATGTCTGATCTTTGACCCTTTTTTTCCATGAAATTCAGACCTCTGTCAGCTTTCAGCCTTAAAAGGATATCAAACTCTCAATTTTCTTTCCACTGGTAATGAACAGGGCAAAGAGAATGATTTCAATGCTGAAGAAATGCTTTCCAGCAGTAAAAGTGCTAAACTGAAGAAATATCAAACATGGTTTCAAATGTAACCTACAACTTATGTTTTTGATCAGTTCATTTTTCCAGCTTTACCCAACATGCAGCATTATTTGGGATTGGAAATATAACAACGCCTTACCCCCCCTCCTACCTCCCCATCATAAATGGCTATATAGCACAATATTTCCCATTCCTGATGCCATATATCAGCAAAACCTTTCACAATTTTGCCAAAATATACTTTAATATGACGCCTCACTTGAAAAAAACATGCAACCCTTATTGAATGCTAAATTTAGAACGAAAATGAAAAGGTGACATTTAATGTAACATCAAGAAAGTATTGTGCAATCAAAAGGAGACACATGTTTTACTAGGCAAGAAATTCAAGAATTATTAGTAACACAATAAATTAAAGACATATTCAATGACTTCTTTTTCATTGAAAAAGTCTACCTTCTATAAGCAGGAGTAAAAGCAGAAATATTCAGTGGATTACAACTCAAACTTTGATTAAACAATTGTAATGAACAATGATTAAAACAAACTCATAGAAAAATGCCAAAAAGTAATTTTCACCGCATCATAATCAGTTTGAAACACTTTTATACCATGAAAACATTCCTTGTCAGTAACTTCCTACAAAAAGAACATCTACTGGATAAAATATTCTCTTTGTACTTACGTAATTTTCCCAAATGGCTGAAGAACGTTTATCAAGTCTGTTTCTTTACAACCGTCTGCAACTGCTCTACAGTGAATAACACGCGAAGGAGGTGTATTGTGATGTGCCGTAGAATTTAATGTCAATGATTGTGAAATATTGAGACTTGAAGTTGATGTCAGCGCAGAAACAGATGAGCTTGGAGATAATGAATAGTCTGAAAAGAAATAGGTGCAATAATTATTTATGAACCCAAGAGCTCAAATAATGAAAACTAAATACATACAGATCTTGCTTGCCACACTCAAATCTTCTGTGTGGATGAACCCCCACAAATCTGTAATTACTAAGTAAGCAGTACAGTGAGATGCAAAAGTCTTCACATTGATCAAGAACAAGACATATCTGTTTACAACTTGTTATTTCTGAAAAGAAGACTAAGCAGTAAGCTTTTTTTTCCTGAGAAAGAGTCAACAATATTTCTGAATAACAGGATTTTGTAATCAAGTGTATTTCTGGTTTTCATAATATTCTATAGATCTGATGACTTGCATTGTAATTTTGGCAGAAACCACCACAACAAGCATACAGCTGTATAAAGCATCTAGATTCTCTGCAGGCTACTCAAGAACATTAAAATTTAAGCACTGTACACACTAAAGAAAAAATCCACTTTTACCTAAAAAACATTTTTCTGCCTGAGGCAAGCATTTGGCACTTAAATATAAAATCACTAAGTATTCATTTCTATCCAATAAATGGAAGTTGAATGGGCACATGAACAATCACAGAGCTACAAATCAAACCAGTGCTTTAGAAACATCTGCTCAAAAAGCAATCAATTTTTACAGCCAAAGTTTTGTCTGAATAATGATATGTCTTGAAAGCAAAATTAAGACATAACTTGCACTTCTTCTTTTTTTTTTAACTGGCACATTTGCAAAGTGTCTAGAGCAGACACCAGTCACATACAGCTTCCTTTTAATTTAGAATTCAGATACATGTCAGAAGACTGGATATTAGAAATAATTTTTTATGAGGTCTTACATAAAAAATTATGTACTGGGTATGAGAGATGAAAATAATAATAATAATAAAATTATACACTGGATATATAATTCTAGCATATTTGCAGCAAGTATAGAATGTATATTCCCCTTAAACATGTTCTTCATTACGTAAAAGACTAAAAGAAATTCAAAGTAATGGCCAAATAGTATACAAAAAAAATTGTGATAAAAATAATTGAACAAAATTGGTAACACCTGCACTATTCACTAAAGGAGCCAACTTCCCAAGTCAAATGCTATATAATGGGCTGTCACAAATTTTATTGATGGTCTTGACGAAAACGTTGGTTCTAGATAAGTTGGAAGAATTAAAGGCCATTTAACCGTGGACCATGACAAATGTGAATAATTTCACTTTCTCTTGTTCACTATTTCTAACCAGGGGGCCATAATTACTGAGAGTACAACTGCATTTTTAAGTTTACCTAATAGATCCTTCTAAATGACAGAATATTGATTTTCTATGGTAGAAGCATAAGCAAATAACATTTCTGAACAAATGAAAGTCTGAGACAAATGCAAATTTAGAACAGTCTGAAATAAACAGACTTTCTATTGGTTGAAGGATTCTGATGATTAAGTAATGCCATTTGTCCCAGCATCCTATACACAGCAAGCTTTTCTTTAGACTGAATGACTGCAGTAGTGTTAGCACCAAGCTTAATTATGTATCATCTTAAAGGAAATCTTCCCTTCTCATTTCAATACAACATTGTTTTCAGAATGCATTCCTTGTGGTCAAAACTATATTGTGGATTAAATATAAGGAAATATTACCTGACTAAAAAAAAATGTACCTCTTTGCAAAAGACTGATAACAAGCAATGGTGCTTACTGGTTCACCAAAAAAAAAAAGGAAGGAAAACAAAACAAAAAAAGAAATTAGGTTTAGGAAAGGTCTAATTGAAAGGCCAAAAGCAAGTGTTCAAAGACATTCTTAGAGAGGAACAAGACACAACATCTAGGTTCTCTGGGGAAGAGCCCAATATTTCCCTTTATCTCATCGCAGAGTCCTTAATTAACAAAACCATTTCAAGAATACTTATGCATGTGTTTTGATTACCAGAAGTCATTCAAGGTAAAAAACAAAATAATTCTGATAATTCTCTTCTAGAGAAAAAATTGAAACACCCTTTAACCGCTGAATTTTGATTTTTCAGTAGGATTATTTAAAAAAAAAAAAAAAAAAAGAAGGGAGACAGAATCAACCATTTAACACACGCAGGATAGATTTTTTTAAAAGTCTCTAATCAAAGTCAATTCATATTGATGTGGTATTTCGGAGCCATAACAGAAGTGAAGATAAATGACATTGTAGTAAATCTCTTTCCATTCACGATTTAAATAATTTCCATATTCATGAATTCAAGTACATGCACATTCCAGGCCTATATTCCAAATATACACTCGTCGATGTGGATCGAAGAGTTTTATTATTCCTAGCCGGACATAGTTAACCAATAATTTCACGCTTTAGCTGTTGTCTTCTACGGACTTAGAAACGAAAACACAAGTGCTAACAATTATCTGCTCGAGCAATAATTGTGTTCAATGGCTATAGAAGTGGATTTCCTTTATATTTTAATCAAAGTAACAAGAAAAGAAACAGCATTGTCAACAGAGAAAAATAACGGTTATCAGGACGCCGTGGAAAAAGGTAGAGTTGCAGAGCTTACGAGCCAGAACAGCGGCCCGTAAATTTATACTAGTAGATTAAAAACCCCGATTACTCAGCGAGAAAAGCCTCCACGATTTCTGCATGAAAGTAAACACGATATTGCTTTAAAGCTCGCTCATTAACATTTCCATTCATATCAGCAAGGCTAAAGAAGTGTACCATGTACAATTCACACGTCAGGCGATCTGCGATCTCTTTTGACTAAAGCAGATTATCAGAAAATAAACAGACGCATTCCACGATTCGTTGTACAGCTGGTTTTCAATCCACGTATCAGTGAAATATATCCTTCTTACAACCTTTCAGGAAAAGCCGTGCCAGACATAGCGTGGTCATTGAGTCCGTAATAAATGACAAGGCACAGTAACAGCCTTCAATAGTGACATTTCCTCACGAATGAAACACGCACCGCTAAAGGTTCGAATGCGCCGGGTCCCAGAGCAAGCTTTTACTTGTTTTTTAGCCAAAGCGGTACAGCATTCATAGTTTATTGACTAAACGTGACATTCATTTAAAAATAGATGAATTTCAAAGTTTAACAACAATATTAAGACAACAGACTAGGAGAAGCAGACGCGCTCAAAGGTAATAGTGTCCTAAGAACATTAAACTCTTCTCGTGCACGCCCTTACTCAAGAACACATTACAGAGCTAATTTCCTCTCACGAATTCATTCTTGTGCCTAAAAGCCTATATGTTCGGCCGCCAAAATGACGCTACAAAACAGATTACCCTCCTTTTACGATGAAACTGAGTACGCCATCTGAAATATTTATGACTTCTCGAGTAACGCATTAAGCGATATCAGAAGCGCAAAAGCTAAAAGGAAAGTCGCATACCGCTACCTGACGTCGAGGAATATTCTGTGCTGAAGCCATTCAGTGCGGTGTAAGGAATGCCATAAGATGCGGGATATGTGTACAAAGCTGCTGCGTCTGTTTGTCCACAAGGATACGTGTATGATGAGAAAGAATTCGAGTACGTGTAGGGGTATGAATAATATGCTGATGTATCACTGACAACTGGTCCGGAATGTGAGCTTACGGGAGAGCTCACTGTGTCCGTTCTGTAATATCTAGCGAATTTAGATTCATCGAAGTTAGTTGCTGTTAGTCCACTATCCATTTTCGCCCGCTTGTTCGGGCTTTCGATTCCTGGAGTCGCTATCATAGCTCCAATGTCAGCCATGTTTTCACTGAAAAGTTTCCTTCTAATAACTACGATTACTCGAGTCAGCGGATAATAACAACAAAAATGTCTCGTTCCAGGCCCGCACATCTGTGTGTTACAACAATTGTGATTGGCTTAAAATTGCTCGAGAATATTAACCAATGAGAGGTACTAATTAATGGAGGCAGTAGCCAGACATTTTGCTCGGATAAAAAACGCGCCATTTTGAAAAGACAGAATCATCAGGCTGATTCATAAACAATCATAAAGGACATGTCTCGTCCTTCAAAGGCCCGGAAAAACGCGGAAACTACAAATGGAGATTCCAAACACACTGATGAGCCGTCTAACTGTATAATTTGTTTGGAAAAAGTTATCTGTCGCGGAAAATTAAGCGTTTGTAATCACTGGTTCTGTTTCCCATGCATATTGGAGTGGTCAGAGGTCTAGACATTTTGTGAAATTTATTCATCGTGATGCTCTGAAATGTCAGGAGAATGATATCTGACTTATTGGATTCATGGATAAATGCAAATCAATTATTTAAGCTTTCGCTAACGCCGAGCATGTTTTTATTTCTAGAACACAAATACCTGTCCGATATGCAAGGCCCGATTTCGATGCATAACAAAGGTAATACCACCAAACATGCAAAAATCATGATTCGATTAAAAATAAATGTTTGTTCTATCAAGATCTTACACAGTGGTGAAGTTATTCTGATTCAGGAGCAAACAACTTAAATTGTATCGGATCTTCTAGATCGTTTTAAGCTCGCGGCATGTAAATTTGCTAAAGAATTTTGTTTCTTGTGCTTACGAGGTAGTTATTGATGAGTTAACACTGGTGACGAACGTGTCGAAGAAGCGATTTAAGATATGTAACAGATGTGGGCCGATGCAGGTGTTACCCACAGGGAATGATTGAAATGAAAGCATATAGTTAATTAGTGGGAATACCTTTAAGTCAGTTTTACTTCAAAAGCCATTAACATCTCAACTTTAGTATTTTACTTTTACGTGGAATTAAGATTGCCGTGATTATTAGTGGTCAAAGCCGTTGCCTGTTGTAAGTGCATGCTTTTAAACACTTTCCTTTTTGTTACCAATTAAAATGGGATGGAAAATTAATCCCAAGCCAAAAAGCTTATGTATATTAAATGAGTTTTAAAGCAAGCAGATGCTAGAAGTGTCCTCTTGCTTCTGAATGTATTCATAATGAAAAAAAATTACTGGATTTTTCAAGTGCAAGGTTTTTTTTGAGGTTTAAGCTAACCTCCTTTTTGTTACCACAGCTGTAGTTAGACATAATTCCTCAAGTGTGTTTGTAGTTAACTGTTAAAAATAAGATCTACTAGAAATTGCCTCACACCAAAGTGTTTCATTATGCATTTCAGGTTCATCTGAGCCCTTTCAGATCCCCACCAACAAAGGTCCGTGTAGGAGACAAGGATCAGAGAGTTTGGAATGATGATGATGAGTTAGTAGAGGAAGATATATTTGGTGCATTTGATTTGGATGATTTTGATGATGATTATGAGCCTTCTTCTCACTACAGTAACCCTTGGACAAGACAATCCAGGCAACAGGTTTGAAAACTTGATACCTTGAAGAGAAACTGACACTTCACTCTGTCATTTGCTTGATTTGACAGGTGTTTTCTCCTAATTGCCTGTAGATGACATTTTAAATTTTAAGTGATGGAATTGATTTAGTTTTCTTTATCTCACAATATCTGTTATGCCACAAAATTAAACAAATTTATTTTGAAACAGTGATTACTGTGAAATTTGGATTTCAAATTTTAAACTTCAACTTTTTTAGAGTTCCAATGTGAAATTAAGGTAACAAAGTAGACTTTCTATTTATGAAACATTTGAATAGATTAATTAAATAACTCTTCATTTGTGACTCTAAGATGAATACCAATTTAGAGAGTTCAGGAGGAAGTCACATATGTGCTTCAAGCCAGCTGCATCTTAATGAGTATGACCTTGAAGATTCCTTTATAAATGATGACAACGATGATGATGAGCCCCTGTTTACAGCATATCACAGTACTGATTCTGAAGAAAGCAATGGCATAAGTCCATTTATAGAAAGAACCAGCCCATATCAGTTCCGAAACAGGCATGATCCAAGAACAAGATCTTCTAGAAGTTCAAGTGACATTAATAACAGGTATTAAATTGTAGTATATTTGTTTGAGACTTACAAAAAAGCTGCTACTCTTTAGGTAAAGAGTTCACAGCATTTAACTTTGTTAGACCTTGATAATTATTGTTTTACTTTTGAAATTACCTGTAAGATTGTTTTGAAATTTATGAAGGGGTTCCCTTTTACACTTTTTTTTATTCAAAATGCATTTTTTTAATGAATAAAAAAATAGATAAGGTATTTTATAGTTCCATGACAAGAAGCTGGTATGATTTTCCAGTGTTCTCCTTTTCAAGCAGTAACCAGTAACATTTACCGCCTTTATTACCTCTTATTACCATTTAAAATTGCTTGGAATTCTTGAAAATTCGACTTGTAAAAGGATTGCTTTACCAGTTTGAAAATTTATTTTACTTGTTATGCTTAAAATAGGGGAGAACACTGTTCTTCACCTAACCATCCATACTGTTAGAAATTTATTTTTTTAATGTAATTTTGTTATTTTATCAGAACTAGTGTCATAGTATACCTAATTGTTCAAAATAATTCTTAAATCTTAAGTTTTCCCAAAATTGAAGATGCATGCTCATCCCAAGCAAGTCTTGGAAGGTTTATAGTTAGCAGTGATGATTCACCAGGTAAGTGCACAGCCAAAGTAAGTAGTATGAAATATGGTCTTCACTATAGTCTCCTCTAAAGATTCTTCAACTCTATTAGGGCTTCCCTTTTGTGATATCAAAGTTGTCTTTAGGATGTGACAGATAAAAAAAAAACTGTATCCCCCTGAGGTTTAGAACCCTACCCATCATCAGGCGGTCTCCTAACCAAGCTTCAGCAAAAAATGGGCTAGTTAGGCCATATAGGGTTCATACGTAGAAATAATCCTGCCTGCCACCAGGGTCAACAATATCTAAATTGAGTCCTGTCTGGAGATAGAGAGAGGAAGATGGTCTCACTCTTGATGAGCTCCTCACCCTCACTAGAAGAGGGGGAGTTTTTCATTTTTGATCCATTACATGTCACAAACAATGATTGCTAAGTTTAAATACATTAGAATCATCACATTTTCATGTTTGTAAAAAAATATTTTCAGACTTTAAGATTTCAGTCTCAGAAGTTTTGCTAGGATCCTTTTTTCATGTCACTTTTTCGTGTTTATAAGGGTTTCTTTACTGCAACTACATTTGTTTCTAGCCATCGATTACAACCATTATCTTAAAGCATTTCCTATCATGTTTTATTTAGTGATTTGTTGGTACTATAAAAATTTTACTCTTTGGTTAGATGAGCTGAACAGTGACTGGGTACCGTTTGGCAATATTGGAAACAATTCAAGGACTAAAGGCAAGTCAGACAAGGTGAAAGCAAAGGAATGCTGTTCCAAGAGAACAAGAGCCTTAAGGAAGTCCAGAGCAAAAACCCCTAAGAAACACAAAGGCTGCAAGCAGAAAAGTAGCAATGGCAAAAGGAAAAGACAGGTTAGGACAGTACTGTTGCAATGTTTGTTTTCTCAAAATAGTGAACGTCCAAAGGCAAACTTAAGTCTTTAAATCCCAGAAGCTATATAACCAAATTAACACAACTTCTCTCCAAACAAACACAGGTAACGAGAATAGACATACAGGCCAGTGATCTTGATAGTCAGTCATAAGCATCTATCTACTTGAAATATTACTACCTAAAGTGTGACTCTGCTGTAATTATCAATTGACTGACTTCTCATAATTTACCTCGGGTAGTTAGACTAAATAGACACCTTTGCATGTAATATCTTTAGTGGCTAGTTTTGTTCTCAGTAACATTATCTTACATGAACTGACTTAATAATATACAATACAGGTGGATGAGGAGGATTTATCGTTGTATTTTTTCTTTCAATTGTCCTTTTTTTCACAAAAGTACTAACCCAAATGTTGAATTTGATACATTTTGTTGGGTGCTAAAAGGTGGTGTAACCATGATTTGAAAATGTGCCAATAACTTTAATTCCATTTTATTTTGTTCAACAGCAGTCTACAACTAGGAATGAAAGGACATCTTTAAGTCATGGAGAACCCGGCCAGTGTTCTATGGATGGCTGGATCAGCATGGCTTCGAAAAATGGAGAACGGCTTCCTTTGTCTTCATTGTCAACTAATCTAAGGACTCCTAAGTAAGGCAAAGATTGATTACAATATATCCTTACTCAAAATCTGTAAAAATGGCTCTGTGATAACTATTCTGAAGGATAAATTCTCAAGAAAAGGGCAATTTCAAACACGTTTTGTTGAGCTGATATGTAAACATAACTTTCTTGTACATGAAAAGTCATGAGATATTTATTATTAACTAGTAATAACTATTTGCATATTCTGAAATTCATTTGAATTTTAATCATGCAGGAAAAGGACTTACAAAGGAAAGAAAGCCACTAAAAATGAAGATAACTCAAATTATGGTGAGGTGTATGACAGAAGCAGTGCTTCTGAGGATGAATTTTTGATTGATCGAATCAACAAAGGAAAAAAAATCAAGACTTCTGTGCATAGCTGGCAGGAAAGGAAACCTAAGATCAAACCTAAGATCAACAAGTTATACTCCAGATGGGCACAACAACAGGAATCTATCCCTTCTGCTTTAATGCCATCATCCAGTGTGACAAGTGATGATAGAGGCAAAATCAACTCTGTCGATGAAGAAGATTATTCAGATGTTATATTTGTACACCCCACTCCTCAACCAAATGAAAAACGATCAATATTCACCAGAAGGAAACACAGGTCTCCTGGTACATCATTTGATAACATGGATGTTATTACTAATAATCCTCCACATTCACAAATTCAGACACAATATGGACATAAAATTACTGACTCTCAGAGTGATACATGTCGTACTCGTGGAAGAACAGAGGCTAAATCACGACAGAAGAGTCCTATCAAGGCTACTATCTCTCCTGCTATTAAGAAGAGGAAAAAACCAAGGAGGGTGCTATTGCTCAGCAGTGACAGTGATTGATTGAATGCAAGTTTTGTTTATACAGAAAAAATCTTCAAGTTAACAGCTCTCATTATGGGTGTCCTATTATTAAAGCAATAAAAAAAAATTACTAATGAACATCATTGATCATACAATACATTTTCCAAAACTCATATTTTGAAGTACTTCTTTCCTTTATGTTAACAATTTGTTAATTAAAAGCTACTTCTGCCAATTTGATGTTTCTCTCTGGAAGAGATAAGTAAGTAAACTAAATTAAAGACTTTAGGCTCAAAGGTTATTATCAAAAATTCTTCTATTTTGATAATATGTAAGATATGTAACAAGATCACAACACAGTAATGCATCAAGGCTTTGAACTTGAACAAATCTGTGTATTATTGCTTTTCCTTTGAATTATCGCTTAGGATCAATGATATTTGAACATGTGCTGCATTTCCTTGGTTAAAAAAGCAGCTACCGTAATTAGGGAGGAAACCAACGTAGAGTTTCAGATACAAGGATGTTTTGAAATGAAATGCTACCCAAATGTACTACAATATTACAGTATAACCATCTTCCAAAAGCAGTATTACTGAAACCAGCGTTTTTATTTTAAGGTTTTTGTGCAAGGTGGGGAGGGGGGGAAGGAGGAGAGAATGCTGCAGTAGTCCATTACAGGTTACCCTCTCGATTGGCCAGCACTCAGTTGTACTCCTTCATAGGGAGAGGTAGTGTTACAGTAAAGGATATTTTGAATCCTAAGTGACTAGCATCTAATTTCTCACAATATCACCCCTGAATCAAACATTAAGGTCATGAGAATAAAGGAAATGAATACTAACTCAAGAAGCTCTGGACTGTTGACAAATTCTCCTCATAAGCACCACAGGAAATGTGTAGAGGACAGTTTGGAGAATAATACATATCAATTTAGGGGGTTAACTGAGGAAAAAAAAACATACTGTGCCTATGAACAAACCTGAACCTTATTAAGGAAACAAAACTCCATTGCTGGGACAAAGAAAAAAACAATTTTTAAGGTACTGTCAGTGATTGCACTTGGTTTGATATTTCAGACAAAACCAAAGAATTTTTTTAATAAGCAAACATTGACCAGTCTTTCCCTATAAATTTCTTTATTTGTGCAGCAAACATACTCTGCATTTAAGCATAAGAATATCAAATATACAGTCATTTAGCTTATGCAAATTTTTTAGTGCAGACACAATCATTACAGCTCTTTACTGAAACCAGACATGGATATTATGTACATCATATTCACTAGCTTTAAAATTTTGGAACACTTTTATTTCAGTTCTACCCACTGATTAGATTTCACCGTCTGACTAGTCCTGGAATCAGTAAATGAACTGTAAGTTTTCTACCACTGAGAAGTATTGTAATAACTCATTTACAGTAATATTTATCATGAAATTATCTATGGTTAGTTTTGCTATGAATGAAATAGCTGCAAGTATAGCTCTGATAATGACAATTTTTAGAGCAAAGAAACAAAGTATAAGGATGCAAGTTGAGGTAAGTATCACTTTCAGACCATAGGTTTACAAAAAGGAAGAGACTTAAATTTCATGAGTTGACATAAAAAAAAGGAAGTGAAAAGGAAAATTGACACCTAAGAGGGTCTCTTGGTAGTTACAGAAGTAAAGAGAAAGGTGTATATCTGCTGCTTACCTTAAAAGCAACATTTCTTTTGTCTTGTTACAAGATGTTAAAGAGATGTCAGTGGTGTTTCAAAGTAGGCATGTTTAGGAATACCATTTTCCATCAAAGAGTATGAGAGAGATATAGTCATGAGTGGTATTGGTATATAGAAGTGTGGTGGTTTTGATAATCTGGGGGAGCAGCCCAGTGAATACCCACCCCCTCTGACTAATTTGGACTTCCAGATAATGTCCACCTTGGAGAACTTTACACAGATTTTACAAACTTGTGTTCAAAGACCTGTTTCCTTAGATAGAAGGTGAAGCTGGTTCATACTGCAACCAGAAGGGTTTTGAAAACTTAATAGAAAGTTTGAGTAATACCTCAAACTTACAGAAAAAAGCTATCCTTTACATATAGCAAAAACAAAATTTAAAAAATTACTATGAAATATGAGCTGAGTTATCACTATGGAGCACCGGCCACAAATGCAAAAATACAATAATTACAACAGCTTTAACTAAACTTGTATACCACTAAGTAGTTGGATTTGTATGACAGCAATCATGCTTCTGTTAAAATGTACATAACCTTAAAAAAAAAAAAAAAACACTTATTTTTAATTACAATGTAGCATTATTCTGAAACTGGATTCAAGTTAATCAAATATTGTAATATTATAATATCTTCCTATTAGTAATTAAAGAAATCAACAGTTCATGATTTTTTGTTACAAGTGACAAACAAATCAATATTATATTTAATTATTAGTATATGTAAAGTTGCCTTAAGATTCTTTCTTTATTGCAATGTGTGTGTTGTAGACCATTATCTTGAAAATTGGAAAGTGTTCTTTCACAGAATGTAAAAAAAAAAGGGCACTAAGTGGTAGGTGTCACTTAGTGTCAAGGTTCTTTTGTTCAGCAGAGAACTTTTGAGAGATTTTGCAAATGGCAGAATTTTTTTGTTGATTTTTTTGGCTACAATCTTATTCCAATGTGTACCCACAATTTTTATAAAGCCAGATTGATCTTGTGAAAACAAATTTCATATATAACACAGTAGCTAAGATGACAAAGAATGGAGTTAAGCCTTCTCATGTCATGATATTCTCTATCTGTCATTACGTTGCTCAAATTTAGGTCAATAAAAAATTAAGGGTTATTATTCATGTGGCTTCACCATCTTGTTACTACAAGGTGTGAATCTAGATTACTTGTTGGCATCAAAATGATGTGCTGTAAGCAAGCCCCAAGCAGGTGAGCTACATACTACTTCATAACAATGAATATACAATAAGCAGTGAAAAAATGTATATCACCATGAACAGATACAATGTACATGCAAACATTAATATTTCATAACCTCTATCCTACACTTCCAAATGAATAATTTTACAAGAAAGTTACACACTTAATGCCTTATTATCAATTTCTTATCAAATCTGAGATATTTTTTCAATTTGTTAAACAGCAGTAATCAGCTCACAAGAGTGCTAGTAGATACATAACCCTTTAAAACCCTGCTAATGATAAAGAACTTGTAACAGAAAATATTGGAATAACTAATATCAAATTTTAGAGTCGACTCTAGAAGCAATAACATACTACAAACTCTTCAGAAGTCAACATTCTTGACTTTTCCGTACACACTGTTTTACTTTTTTCTTAAAAACTCCATTGTAATCTTCCCTCCAATCTTTCTGCAAAATAAAACAGGAACAGAGTTAAAACTTCCAAGTGGATATCTGCAAAAAAAATAACTACACTGTATCCTTCTAAAAGTTTCAAACCTAGCTTTGCTTGCTTATTATGGAAATCTTCAAGGTTTGCTACCCTATATATGAAATCAGGGGCTTGGCATGTCCTCAACAATACACTCCAGTCACCACCTTACTTCATACAGTCTGAGTTTATGGTACTGGCCAAAAGTTGTTAACCCTTTAACTCCCAGATCAAATTTGTAATTCTCCAAACTGTCAACAATACAATTCTTATAATATTGGATCAACGAATTATCCCCAAATTGATATTTTTCTTTATTCTCATCACTTCTCTAGTTGATATTGTAATAATATCATAGGGAGAAATTCTCTCTTGGACACTCATGGGAGCTAAAGGGTTAATGGTCTAACACTATCTTAAAGAAGGTATGAGAAGGATGAATACAAACAAGACTAAACAAGACACAGTCTTACTCACATAAATCAATAAAATTAAATTATTATAATTAGTTTATCTCACAGTATTGTTGATGGATTTAACCACAATTTTACTAGTATCAAGATGGTTATGTTACTTTGCAACTCTGTAGCCTGCACTGCAGACATCTTATTAGGGTGAAAAGACACCTGCCCAAAGATGCTTTTAAAAACCAAAACTCCCCCTGATTAGTTATGCATCACGGCATTTCTTATGTACATAGAAAACCTAACAATGGATAACACGCTAGAATGGGTTCCCTTCAACATAGTAAGCAGTCAAATGACTAGCGATGCACCGTGGAAGTAAGATGAGGTATTTTTATTGAGAATTTGTCTTATTTTTTTCATTCTTAAGAGTGGTCGTAAATATTCCCATACAAACTCTTATAATTTCACCATGACCATTATTTTGCAACATGATCATCTCATAGCTAGAGCTTAGGCAGCCTGTGGCTGAGGCAAACTAGGACAACTACACTTGAAGGTTTCCCTGTCATAATTTCTTTCATACAAAACCAACACATGAAGTATCAGGCTAGTCCCAAAGCCAGTGTAAAAATTGCTTCTTTTTGTTTCGATTTTAATGCAGGAGACATATTTTAATATTCCAAAAGACACTTTAGAGCTTCCTCAAGAGTGCAATTAATTGAAAATAACAAATTCACCATTAACAGAGTTTGCCATCTTTCACATTTTCCTGTAGGATCACAATGTCCAAATGACACATTTGGCTTGTGATTGACAGCTGGAGCTTAAAGCACCAATCAGGAACTCTGGTCGTGGGCCAACAGAGTTTTGCAAAATAACAATAACCTCAGGAAGGTGTAATCTTCACTCCCACAACCCCACCACTCTCCTTATTTTTGACCATCAACTGCCTCCTTAGTACAAATTTCTTTCCCAACCCTGCCTTCTGCTGCCATCAAAATCAAAGATGGGAACCATAATTTCGCACTTGCTGGCCAAAATTACGCCTGCTCTACAGGCTAGCAACTCTGATAACTATAATTGCCTATTAATTATCCTGTTTCACAAAAAAACATATATCGAAACAAACGTTGCAGAAAAACTGCAATTCATTGAACAGATGAAGGAGTTATACTTACTGCAGCATCCACATTAGCTGGGGATTCATCATTGGGTTCTGATATCATGGAGATAACACTTATCAAGATTGTTTCAACAGTATGGATTGGAAGCCAGCGCTCTGATGCCTTCTCATAGCCATATTTGTCTTCACCAGGTTCATGAAGAATAGAAATGCAAACTTCACCATCCTTGTGAACTACAAAGAGACAAAAACTACAAGTCACTGCGTTTCAATTTACATTCTATTATTCACTCATAGCTAACCAATAAGATTGTTCCTTATTGAAGTTAGTAACTAATTCTCTACTGATTAAACATAGGGAATTATTAGGAAGTATAAAACTTAAAGTTAAGGAGAAATGATGTAAAAAAACTTGTGATCAACGTAGGAATCTATCTCCTGATGTTCTTGAATTATCATGACATTAAAAAATACTACATCAAAGCGAAAACTTACAAGGTGAAAAACATTGTTTCATTGCTTAATCAAGTTAATTCTTCCAAAGGTGAGGCACTTCGTTGATAGAATTTATATCAAAACGCTTCATCTGTCACTAACTTACCTTTTAAAAATTATTTTCAATATGACGATGACAAGAATGGCTTTAACAAACACTATTACGACACAAAACAAAGAGCAAAACAACGTGTCCTGGGAAGTCATACATGTTCTTCAATTCGTACCTACATAAGTACCTACCATTTGGGTGCCAGAATTCTGATATAAATCTCATTTTTGGTGGTTTTTGCGGATATTCCCTAGGAAAATACAAGTGTGCCTTGAACAGACCTCCCTCACTATAACAAATAGTAAACAAAACGACAAATTTTAGTGTTACGCATCATATAAGGGGGATGATGAATACGCATAAGTGCGTGTTGGCTAACAAAGTGTATGTATCGCAAATCACGAGTGTAAAATTATAAAAATAAGACTTACTAGAAAGTATCAGGAGGTCCTACCACCATTATTTCCCATTTGAACAAATTATCATCATCTATAAGGCCAGCAGAAAAGCCCTCCGAAGGGTTCTTGTCGAGCTCTTCAGAAAGAAAACGACGCCATAAGTATGCATTGGATTGGTAGAAACATCGAACTGAAATGCCGGGGTTTTGGGAGCAAGGACTAAAATAGATCGTATACCTGCAAGCTGTCTTTTGAGGAGAAGGGCACCTTGTTCAACTGAGTTCATCTAGATGGCCACAACGAGAATTAAACGGTAGGGCAATTGGATCTCTCAAAATTTTTCGAACTTCTCACGCACACTCGGTGAAAATTTTCGCTCATTTTACCTCGTTTTCACGCTTTTCGCAACCGGAAGTAGCTCGCTTTTCCTGTGCTCCTGAAAAATGATAAATATTTCCATGCAGTCAGCGAATTGATCAAAAAGGGTTCAGCAAACAGACAAAAAAAAATAATGGAACAACATTAGAAACTAAGAGAATAAGAGATTTTTACTAAGAAACAAAAACTTTTAAAAGCTGGAAATAAGCAACCTCAGGCAACTTTGTGTGTTAATCATATATGACGTACTCACATGCTCACCTTTGCACTGCTTGCCAGAAACCCCAAGGGCACGTAAAGGGAGAGATTTTCTGCCAGTTTTATGCTTTAATACCAAACCTTATGTGTAATCTCGAGGTCATACGCTCCAATTTCACTGAAAGGCGGTTCTTCTCGATGAAATTCGATAAATACGCAGATGAGCAAACAGTCTCCAAACTTACAAAAACTCAAAATTCTTCATCACCAGAAACTTAATTGTGGTTTATCGGAAATAGCTCTTGTAGCAAATGGGTCCGTTGTAACAGATAGTCCAGACGAAGAGATACCTAAAAAAGACACAAAACCTACAAGCTCTGCAACACTGATACAAAAAGCCGAAGAATTTTGCCGAAAAACCCGTGTAGTTGCCAACAAGTGCAAGGTTTTTGTTGGTAACGTTAGCTACAGAGTGAAGTCCAGAGAACTGAAGGAATTTTTCACCTCTTTTGGAAAAGTTATATATGCCCAAATCATCACGGATCGTATGAAAAAACGTTCTCGGGGGTGAGTAATTTCATCCCAACAAATGTTGATGTAAAAAAATATATATATATACATATATGCAATCAAGCACGAGAATGTGTAGGTGTCCTTCAAATTTCCTATTTACCCTTCTGACCTTTGAGGATTTGCACAGAAGAATGGATTTGTTTGTTTTTTATTTGTTTGTTTTACTATTATTTTATTATCATACATTGATTTGTTGGCTGATAAGACAATTTGATGTTCATTAAAATGTAATTCTGTGTTCGATTAATCTTGTTAACCCTTCAAATTACAAGAGTGACTAAAGTATGCATAATTTATGTATTTGTTACAATTTTTATAATGATGTTCTGACATGTACAAATTGTTGGGGCATCATAGTCTGGATATATGAAGACCAACATAAAATTCCCATGATCAGCCAATAAAAAAATGCTTCTTTTTATCATTGCGAAAATTGCTGCTCACCACCAAGAATCATTGCTTTACTTCATTTTCATCTGCAGGTTGAGTGAAATTTAGTTATTTAGTAACAGTCGTGATCAGATTCCTCAACCAGTGAGGAGAACCCTCTAAAATTTGCCTTGCCCCTAACAAAGCTTCTCTTCTGCAATTGCTAAAATTGTAACTATTTCTGGAAGGATCATTGCTTTACATGTTATGAGTAATTTAGGTTTAAAATGGAAGAACTATTATTTCAAGGACTAAATTTTAAACTGTAAATAAATATTTCCTAAGGGTTTTTTCTTTTTGATGTTAATTGGTTTACTCGTGTATTTTCTTATTGTTTATTTGTTTGTTTGTTTAGGTTTGGATTTGTGACCTTTAGTAATGAATGGGAAGCACAGAAAGCCAAAGATTCTTCAGATGATGAGAGAACTTTAGAAGGAAGGTATTATGATTATGATTTGGATGTAACATGAGATGTGGCTTAGGGATGAGCTCTTTTTTTCTCAGTTTTATAGACCAAGAAAAAGTCAACATCTATCAATAACACAGATAAAAGAATGAAGCTCATTTCAAAGCAATTAGTACAATCAAAATCTTCACAGTGTATATAGTCATAAATCAGAAATCATTCTGTCTCCTATCTTTTTGAATGATGGTCTGCATGTTTTTTTTTTGTTTTTTTTTTGTATGGCTTCAGAGTCATGAAAGTTTGCACTCCAGAAAGAAGGAAGAAAGGTAGGTGTACAATTATTTGTTTTAGGGACTGTTTTGTGCTGATAGGTTTAATAATAATATAGTAATAATATAATTAATATTATTAATGGATGACGTTTTGTATTATTGAATATAATATATCATATTCATTTGATAAGCACCCATCTTGAGTAAGTACCCACCCTCCCCACTTCTCCCCCTCTCCTCCCTCCCCCTCCCAAAAAAAAAAATAAAACTGAAATGGACAAGAGAAGTATTGATTAGTATTTCTTTACTGGCAACAATCTCTAAGTTCCCTGTCTATGTTACATCTTCATATTTTGTTATTTTGTTATTGCTTTGTTGCAAAATAGAGTTACTCCCTTGAAAGCGGGGAAAATTCAGCAAGCATTCACCCTCAAATTCAACAATTATGGGTGTGTTATGAAATAAATATGGTACTTAAGGTCACACTTGAATTATTTTAATAGAAAGTGCCTATAAAAGTATTCAGTGGTTGCATTTGTTCAAAGCATAGGACTTTTAATTTACCCTTTAACTCCCAAAAGTGACCAAGACATAATTTCTCCTTACAATATCAACACAATATCAGTCAGGTAAGTGATGAGAATTAAAAAAAAGAGAAAAAATATAAATTAAGGGACTATGTGTTGATTTAATACAAAATTCTTCAAATTAACATTACAAATATTATATAACAGACAGTTAGGAGAGTTTGTAATGAGATCATGGGAGGGATTGAGTGTTAATAGACTAGACTGATCTATTCTAGAAAGAAGTTATAACTATACTTCTTTACTTACTATAGTTGTAAGAAAATAATGTATATATAATCTAGTTGAGAATGTGAAATGGATTATGCTGAAATGCCTCACAATAAGAATCTTATGTTTTTTTTTAATTTTTCTTTTCCATTTTCGCATGACAGGTTCTAAAAATTTCATTCAGGAAAGCACTATTGAGGTGAGGATGTATATTCATTTTAATGGCCAGTTAGCATCTTTAATAAGAGATAAATTCTTCATGTGAGATTGATGCACAAAAACTGCAGTTGTTGCTTACCTTGGTTTCTGCTGCATGAGGTACCAGCAACAGGCTGATTAATTACATTTGTCGAAACATAACAGTCCTATATTTAAATATGGCATTTGGAATATAATAATAACTATTAATCCTAGGATTTTACATTTGGAATGCTTATTTTTGGAGAAGAAGGGAAACTCAAAGGCAAAAAAAATGTTATTTTCAATAAATGTTAGCTTCACGTTCAATGATGATGCAAAATTAAAGGTTGTCTTGAGGAGAATGTGCACCAATTCTGGATTTAATTTTCCATTTGGATTTCTCTCTTTTTGTGTATTGTGGTTTTAAACCATTGACAGATCAGGTTCTATGCATAAGTAGTAATTGACACTTGATTTGTGATTGTGTTGCCAGGAGGTACTTGAATCTTATCGTGAGAATGGAAATGACAAGAAGGAAGCTGGTGAAGAGGCAATGGAATCTTGTGATTGCACTATCAGTGGATCCAATGAACTCAGGTCTTTGTATGTAACAAATCGTGGCCTAACTTTTGATAATAACTATTAAGTTTTCACTCCCAAGATCTCATTAGTTTAGTCACTCTCCTTACTGACTGGTGTATTACTTTCATAATGCAAGTTTGGAGAATTTGGTATTAGATCAACTTATAATCCTCTTAGTGGTATTTTTCCTCATTCTCATTACTTGTCTCCTTGATTTTGTATTGATGTTGTAACAAAAAATTCTGTCTTGGTCACTCTTGGGAGTTAAAGGTTTATGATTTTCAGGTAACAACTCCTGTTCAGTATAGAATCAGTTCTTGAATAATAGCAGTAATATTGTATGATATGATTAAGGAATCTGTAAAATAAAAGTTAAATGAATCCTCCAAAACCAGCATCCTCAATTGAAAATTCTCTAAATAAATATTAAAAAAATGGAAATAACAGAATGATACGAAATAAAATTTACATTGAACTGCAATGAGCTTTACATGGTTAACTATATCAGTTTAAAGAAGTGATTTTTCATCCACAGGCCAGAAATTTTTAAACTGAATGAGTACACCATGCTCCACATCTTCTTGTATTTAAGTCCTAAGGATAGGATCAGGATTGAAAGAGGTACCTTCAGTACATCAAATTATTTCCTTGCCAATAATCAGGCTGGACGACATATATATGTTCAGTTTTGCTTTCCAATCTAAATAACATGAGATTCATAGTACTTGTAGCAGTTGAATTTTTCATAGCTCTCCACTCAGCCAGTAGGAACAAAGGTTGTTCTCTTGATCATGGCCATGGGCTTCTTCCCTCTTCTCATGACATGTTATCATTGAATTCTTTATTTCTCTCTGGTCATGCCTTGTAGGTTTTGTAGAAGGGTATAGAATGTTGTATCTGTGAGGGGTGGTCTAGCCCTACTCATGGTCCCAAATCACACAAAGATCCAGTCTAAATCACTCTCTGACTCAGTCTCATTTTTAATGTGCTGAAATAACATAGGACACCCTGTCATTAGCTAAATATGTCAGTATTCCTGAGAATGCTATGATGTTACAAGGAAATGGATAGCCATGGGGAATTGGATTGGAAATGTCTAAGACCTAGTGGACTTGGTGGACCAAAAAAGTTGCCATGCAATAAAATGAAACTCTTTAGGCTATGATCAAGATTGCTAATTGATTCTGAGGTAGTTTCTATATTCATTAATATTGTCTTATTTCAGTATGCAGAAGATGGAGACTACTGGCCATTAAGTCATGGCATCGCATAACCCATCTTGACTTCCAAGGAGTGTTCACATCATTTAAAGGCATGGGAGGTACAACTATTAAGCTCTGTCTCTCATTTCCTTGTTGTTTTTGGTGTACTTTTTATAATTTTAAAGCTTCCAACTCTTCAGTCCTTTGCTTATTGATTACTGCTGTGCTCTGCTTTTCAGGCCTTACTGATGAAGTTCTGTGGTCCATTTTAAGACGAGGATGCCAGAATCTGACTTCTCTTGACTTGTCCCAATCACCTCACTTCTTGACAGAATTTGCAGTCCTTTGTATTGGTAGGTCCCTTGATATTTTTCTCCCACAGAATTCCTTTTTACTCAAGGATGGCAATAGTAACTGTGGCATGCAGTTTATTGTATGTGCTAAGCCTTGGTACAATAACCTCACCAAGGTTTTATCCCAGACCTTTTGATGTAGGATTAAGCATCCTTACCACAGGCCATCACATCTCCTCCATAGTTTGCTACACCAATCACAGAACAAAATAAAACACAAAGCCATGCTTTTTAAACTCAGTTGTAAGCAATCTTCAAATGTTGCTGTGAGAATTATTTCAAAAGGTAGCCAAAAAATGACACAACTGTTGCTCTAGTCAGTGAGGATGCTGGTGGATTAAGATGTTTCTTTATTTATCCAACAATTTATCTATTTATTTGTTTATTTTATTAAACAGGCAAACAATGCAAGTTGTTGACAGAGCTTGATTTAAGTGGAGTTAAAGTTAGTACATCATCATTAAAGAACTTGTCCCAAAGCTGTAAACAATTAGAGGTACATGTTTACTCATTCTCCATAATTTATTCTTTTATATATTTGAATTTGTAATTTTCTGGATATATCCTTTTGGTGGATAACTGTCTTGTTGAGTAACAATGATTATTACTTTTTCATATATTTTGCCTATCCTGCTTTCATGTTAGTACAATTCATTCAGTTTTTCAATCAATCAATCAACCAGTCAGCTTTTCTTTTAAATTTACTTACCCAACACCAGACAGTTTTAATGGACTGAATATTAAATTACATGACTTAGTTTCTTTCACCGAAGGATAATTTTTACCTCAACAGAAAATTACTCTTCATAGATGTCACAGAGTTGGCGAAAAAGCGTAAGTTTCCTAAAACATGTTATGTACATTATATGGCAAGAACATTCTCCTTGGATCAGCAAAGGAGTTTGACTGAATGAAGTAGGGATCATAAATTTGTAGTCTTGGTTTTATCAGCATTAATTTTGTTTGCCTTTTTATTTTCAAGATAAATGTTTTGTCCTGATTTTTAGCTTGCATATATAACAGGTCCTTGTATTTAGGGGAATGTTTTTGGTTCCAATTTATTTTTGGATTTAATCTTTTTGAACTAGTTTAAATTTTTTCAAATGTCTCTGTCAGGAAGCTGTTCATGGGGTTACTTTGCTCCATTTTCCTGTGTGCTGGGTGTGGGGATGTAGTGGTCCAGTGGTGAGTGATTTGAACTCCAGAAAAAGAGGCACTGGTTCAAGTTTTGGCTGCATCGTGTTTTCAGACAAGATGCTTACACTCAATCTGCAGGCTTCAAAATGTAGCGTTGTTGTGTAAGGACACCGTGAGTTGTACTGTGAACATGCTTAGCACATTCTGCTCATTTTTCAGACTCTGGTGGCTCTTCAAGAATTGTCAAAAACTGCATCATGTCAATTTGGAGGGAAACAAAAGTGTGAGGGGACAGGTAATGTGTTTACTTAGTAATTAGTTGCAGTAAAAGAGGGCAAGGTGATCCTTAGATTATCAAAATAACTTAAGATTATTCTTTCTTTCCTAGTGTTTCTTTATGCTACCACCAGCTTGTGAAAATTTGTACCTGAATGATTGCACTCAGGTAAAGTTTTGAGGGAATGCTTGTTTAGAATTTATGAAGCCTTTGCATAATGTCAAACAACATGATAAGTTTACTTCTCAAATTGTTGAGTTTCTTTGTTGCTATCACTGTTGCTTTATGTACATCATAGTACTCTCATTTGTTTGATTAGGTATGATTTGTATGGCAATATGGCAATGCCAGAGCATACATTCTATATAGGACTGAAGGTGTGTGTTTTGTTTTGTAGTTGACGGACAAAGGAATGATATACATTGGTGATAAATGTAAAAACTTGAGAATCATCAATGTATCAGGCTGTATCACTTTGACTGATGAGGGCATCCTTCAGTTGACACAGGTTATTTCTCCTTTACTTGATTATAGTTAAAAGAGAAATTTTTGTTTCCAATACGCTGTGTGTCTTTACTTTGACATATCAGGTCTTTAATAGCCTGCCAGCAAGCTCTAACTTTGGCACTGTAGTGTACATGACAATCCAAGTCCTATGAAGAGACAAGCTAACCAGTGATGTTTGGCTTTCTCTCTTACAGCCACTCATTTAGCAGTACCAACTAGAGCCTATTTGCTGGCTAACTTCACAAAGAGCTAGATATTACTTGTTGCCAATAAGTTCTTTTGTGTTGCTTTATTTGACTAAGTACTGCATCATGTGATTTTTGTTTCAGCACTGTTGTATGATAGAGTCATTAGTTTTCTCACAAGCAGGACACAATGGTAAGTGAGAAAGAGTCATTTCTGTCTGGGCTGTTCTTTGTTATTTGTGCTGTGGTCAGAAAGAGAGGTGATATCTTGATTACACATTATCAGCAAGGTGGACCTTGGATGGAGGTTCTGCTACAATATGATTTGAAGGTTAAATAAGTAAATTGTCCAGAAGTTGAGTTTTTTGTAGCTGTTGTAGTTTTTTGTTTTGTTTTGTTTTGTTTTTGTTTTTGTTTTTGTTTTTGTTTTTGTTTTTGTTTTTTTTAACAGTGACTGTCAATTATCTATTTCTGTTAAAGGGACTCTGACTCCTCATGGCCATGTTACTTTAAAAAGTTTGAACCCAAGTTGATTTCCGCAACCACTTTAATAGGGTTGAACTAATGTGCTTGAATTATATTTTTGTTTTAAACAGTGACTAGTCAAGGACTACAGAATATTGCTAATTTGTCATTGCTGGTAAGTTTGGAATATGATTACCAGTGACCTACAACTTCTCCCACATCTTATGAAATACACAAGCAAACAATTGTCGCCACTGATGATTTTTTTTAAACTCAACTTAATTTTAAACTTCAATGCTGAAAAAATCTAACACTGATATTGACCATCAGAGCATTTGTTTTACTATTTCAGGTAATCCAATGCAAAAATTTTATTATTACTGCTCACGTTTTGCTGCACTATGTACAAGCTATCGCCAATAGCTAGTGCCAAGTTTTATTCAGATGTATACCCTAAAACCATCATTTTGTCTAATTCTTTTAGAAAGAGTTGGATCTATCAAAGAACGCTGTGGTCAACGATGAGTTGCTGTTTAGCATTGGAAGAAGTTGCATTCATTTGAAGTAAGTGTATTTGTTTTCTTCAATGTTAAAAGTATGCATAAATGTATGGTGACTGTTAGTATATGTAATTGCCCAGTAGCAATGAGCTGTAGTACTCTGATTGGGTGTTCATACCCTATTTCGGCACAAAAAAGCGCGTTTCTAGCGAATGTCGCCGGAACAAGCATACTCATCACAACAGCCAATCACAACAAAGGTGATATTACAAGGAGCCAATGAGAGCTCGAAGTAAAAACAAGTGAACCTTCTAGAAAACGCGTGTGACCAAACGGGACTAAGTTTTGCATGTGATTGGTCGAATGGATGGCACGAGTTAACTAGCCAATGAAAGAGCTTGTTAAAGCAAAACCAACGCAATCCCATATTAAAATCAGCACTTGTTAAAATCTAGTTTCTTCAGTTCTCCTCTAGTTACCCGTATCAAATAGTTAAAAATATTTAAAAGTCGGTTACCTAGCAGCCGTTATGATTCTTTTTATAGGTTTCTCAACTTGGACTCCTGTGAAGGAGAAATAACGGATGCAGGATTACAGTGCTTGATCTCTTGTTATCAGTTATTTTCTCTTGTCATCAGCTACTTAACAAGGGTAAGGTCCCTCTGACACAAGCTGTCTAATTTGGGAGAGAAAAAGTTTACCATTGGTGGGTAATATAAGCCTTTGCCTCAACTTTAGAGGAAGAACCAGTTTTCCTTGTTTTGTTGAGTAATATGTGATTCAGGTTGATTCCGACTTTTGTTTCACTCAAAGCTATGATATGTGACAATTCAAACCTGCGCTAAGTTTTTGTGAAGTTTCGCCTTGTGGTACTGTGTATCCTCGCACACTAAGTATTTGTACAATTTCCTTCTTGCCTGAAACTGTTAAACAAACTTCAGCAGTACAACTTTAAATTTTAACTGATTCGTTAATTTTCCTTACCAGATTACAGACGAGAGTGTAATACACTTGTCCTCTAACGGAACCTTGGAGAGGCTGGTGGCTAGGGCGTGCCCAGGACTCACGGACAAATGTAAAGAATGAAGGCCTTGAGAACGAGTTTTCCCAAAAGAAAAAGTTTAGGCTATATTTAGAAAACCAGAAAAAACAATTCCACAAGGCTTGAAAACGAAAGTCTGACTAACTGATGGCGCCTCGAGCACCACCTACAATTTGGCCACATAAAACTGTTTGAAGTTGGGTTTTGTCTTTTTTGAGGCTTCTGTATATCAAAGATCATCTGAAGCTTTCACTACGAAACGTTTCCAAATTAACCTCCATATATTTTGTCCACTTACCAACATTTAACATGCGTCGTTGTATTCCGTAAGTTTGGTTTCTATTTGATGATCTTATTGATACAGTAACTTGATTGATACGAAGTCTCTTAGGGCCCCAGGTGACCAATTACAAGTATTTAATAACAAAACGCTGTTATTGGCCAGTTGTAAATGCACGTCCCTAAGATAGTGTAGAACCAACAAGAATCAAAAACTTTGTAGTTGGGGTAAAGCTGTTAGTTTCGTGTAAATGTTTTTCAGTCCATATGACACGTTTTCCTCTGTTTTTGTTTTTGTTGTTGTTTTACAGCTATCGAGAGTCTGTTACAAAGTTGTGGCCAATTGACTATTCTGGACGTTAGTGGCTGTAGTGGAATCACCAACGCCTCTCTTGAGCTGCTGAGTCTGCATTGCATATCAGAGGACCGACCCGTCATCAACTGCACCGTTGGAGGTAAGGACTTGGAAATGAGATTAGGCAATAGAACTGTGGCGTTTTTTTTTCAGTTCATAAGAATTATACGTGGCTGTGAGTAATTATTTTTGTCTTCTGGTGTGTTGGTTTATTTTGGCTCTTGAATTAAAAAGGCAAAGGGAACCTTATTTCTTTGAGCTAGAATCGAACCTGAATATTTAACGTACACTTAAGTGGAACTCTCAAGCTGCAATTATGATGTCTCCCAAGGAAACAGTACAAATGTTATTTTTTTCTCTTTCGACCTACTCTCTGCAGTGGCACATTCCGAAGCCGAGAGATAGATACTGAACCTGAAAATTGGCGGGAAACCTTAGCGACCGAGTCCTCATTGGTTTTAATTTTGAATCTGATTGGTCGAAAAGGTGGGGCAAGTTTTCTAGACCAACAACAGATTGCAGTCAAAGAAGACCAATGCAGTTCCAGATTAATTTCAGTTCTCAAAGGAAATTGGTTCCCTTCGCTTCGATGTCCCTTCACACTGAAGACTCACTAAATTTTGTTAAATAAAACCTTTAGGTACAGCCATAGACGAAGAAGCAATAACTCGATTTCGGGAGACATCTTATCGATGCTTTGTGTTTTGCATCGACTATTCTGTTAATCCAAGGATTGATGCTGTTCCGTCCCATGGTTCAGGTATGACCAGCTTTCAGCGCAAGCTTATTTTCTGCGAGCGAACAATCAGTATTATATCATCAAGAGGTTAGCCGCTATCGTCGGCTTGTAATTTTTTTGGATTAGTGGAAGGTTAGAGAGACCAAGACGATTTTACCAAGGTGAGGACTATAAACTAAAGAGGAAGGGGGGGGTGAGAGGTGGGAAAGAGACCCGCTTTCTTTGCTCAGCGATTAGTTAATGTCTCTCTGCTTTGTTCCAAGGAGCTTTCTTCCGCGAAGAAGACGATGACGAGTTTGATGAATTTGATGATGAGTTCGATGATGAGGATGAAGAAGAACATGAACATTTTCATAACATTGTTGACGATGAAGAGACTTGGATGGCCGAGGACTCGTTATGGTGGCGACCAGGCGATGCCGAAGATTTCCTGGAGGCCGATTATCCTTCGTTACTGGCGGAACAACTGTACAGATCGTAGCATATGGAAATAAAACTGAAGCATTATTATCGAGTGAAAAGGTCTACGAGGTCTTCACTGTTATCTGCCTATTAAATACCTCTTTGGGAGAGGATGATTTCCCAAAATGTCTGGGCGCGTGCGCTGAAAACTGGGTCGAGTACACGTTGTCGTGGCTCATCTTCCTAGGCGAAGCATACGAAACGACGAACTAGTATCTCTCTAAGGCTCAACTGTCAACCTCGTCACACAACCAAAACGCTGTGCTGTGAGAACTTATCGCGGGTTTGGAAGTACCCAGTGTGGACTATTGAGTGATGTTATTGCGTGACTCATTTCAGACGACCAAGGGCCTTAGTCACGCACTGCACAATGAATGATATATATGCAGCGAAAAGGACGTTGGTGACCATTACAAGCGATCAAGCATTTGGCGAACGAGTGATTTTGAGACAGCGTTTCTGTATCTGCATGACGCCCATGAACAGGTGTCTTACAGAAAAGAGATGTTTGCGAAACAATATACTTAAAGGATCGACGTCTAAATATTCGGAATAAAATCATTGAAATTGACCGAAAGGGCAAGGAGAACAAACGCTTTTAGGGCTAGACAAAAAATGAATCGTTCCAAAGTTTTTCATCAGCCATTTGTGTCATTTTTCATTTTTCTGAGGCTTCATCTTTAACCCCTAAACCCCTAATAGTGATTTGTAACTATTTTCACCTATCAGTCACACCCCTAAAACAAACATTGAGGTCATGAGAATCAAGGAAATGATCACCAACCAAAGAAGCTCTTGATTGTTAAACAAATTCACTTTGTCAGTACCATAGAAAATGTATAGAGAGTAGTATGGAGAAAGTGTATACTGATGTTAGGGTGTAAAGGACTAATCGTCCTTGAAGGATGGCTAAGGATGAAGAAAATTGGCAGGGGACGCGGACGACTAACTTGGAAAGTTTAGGCTCAGTTGTTCAAAGTTTTTAAGCGCTGACTTAGCCATTAAAATGGACGTTTTTCCTCGCGCAGTCGTGTGTAGTGTATTATGAGCTTTCGAATGGGTTCAAATCACGTCAAAAACGTCCCTTGCTATGAGCAAGACTGTTGTGATTCAAACTTTTCGTTCCAGTAGTTCAAAGAAAATACCTCTTTGGGGAGTTAACCTCCGGTTATTAATTTAAATTATTTGCCTTCTTGATTGTGCTGCATAAAGCTACGAGTGGATTTTATCTTTTTTAATGAAGACTACACTGAGAACAAATAAGAATATAGACTAAATATATAGACTAAATTTTTTCATTGTCATGTTCTAATAGTTATAAAATTCTCTTCAAATATTTTTATCTCTCATCAATCTAAATGTATATTCTCGTATGTTATCTGTCAATGTGACCCTTTCAAATATTTTGTCTCTTTTCCGCCACAGTTTTATTTACAATTCTATTTCATTTTTTCCTATTGAAATCGCAAAAATTTGATCAGAGCAAAATATCACATGGGATCCAGTGCTACCACAGGTAAAAGTAAAACGTAAAAGCCGCAGTGTGGCCTGCAAATCCAGATTACTTTGACGCCCATCATAAAATTTTATACAGTTTGTAACTTCCTCGGCAAAGAGCCATCGCCGCTCACAAGATGAGTTGAAAACCTTTCATTGCTATCGTTGGAGCCAGTTGGCGCCTTCTGATTCTCTTTATAGCAGGTGGAAAAAGGACAGCGTATGAACTGAAAACGTTTAGGGCCGACTTGTCTCGGGCCCACATAAGCCAAAGTACAAGCTGCGGCGAATTCCACTGCGCGATATAACGTTTGAAATATCAACCAAGGCCAGGGCTTTGGGGGCTTATCTCTGTCCAAGTACATGTTGTTGACGCCTATGATCGAGTACAGCTGTAGTGCACAGCTGGCAAATCCCAAGAAAACCGTGATGTAAGTGATCTTGACGAGTTTTGATACGTTTGGCCGATAGGCTTCTACCTTCCCATCGGCGCCTGTGCGTACGCTTGTTATACCAAGACGGATCACGTGGGCATGGTTCTTTTGAACGGACTTGACAATCTTCCCACCACTGTATATGAAGCTAATGGACAGACAGAAGTAGAACACGATGTAGAATGATTGGCAAAGTATGCCGAGAGTTTTCCAGTCTGCGAAAAGAGAAACCATTGTCTCAGCGAAGATAGAGAGGCTGAAATGGAACACAATGACGCCAGTGAGGAATTTTCCACTCTGAAGTCTTTCTGGGTAAAGCTTAAGCTTGATCACTTGAAGGAAAGCGTAATGAACCAGTGAAAACGACGCCGTAATGCACGGCAGCGCGATTCCGAACAAAATCCGACTCACTATTATCGGGCACTTCGGAAGTAAGTTGCATTGTTTAGTCTCGTATGGATTGATAAACAAAAATAATCCACGCACTAAGCCGAAGATGACCAGGAGACTTGTGATGACAAGCGACAGTTTCCCTCGTTTTGTTCGCCTTTTAATATTGATAGTTTCAATGAACGTGATAAAAGAGTATACAGCGAACAGAGTGAAAAGGGAACCAAACCCAATCCAATGCAAGTCCCAGGCCCATTTCCAGGTTCGCAGAGCAGGGCCCCAGTCTGGGATGGGCTCGACAGCAACTGCTCTTTCTCCAGTCTTGACGCCCCGAGGCTCCACATTAGCCATAGGTGATTGTTTTCATAGACTTCTCTGTAGGAAATCGATAATAAAGCAGTATAAGACAATGTAACCCACAGGGATAACTAACAACTGACCAGGTTAAGATCAGAGGAACACGAATGTGGCTGTAAACTAAGTAGGAGAAGGCGGTGAGGAAATATTCCATAAAAACATATCTTACACCAATAGATATTTAAGGTTTAAAACGAGCTTTACATTTAACTACCCACCGATCAAAACTAACCACTTATAATGTCTTACTCAATCCCACCACACCCTTGCAAATTGTAATAATCCCGGCATCTGAACTGCTTCCACAAATGATAAAATTTAATTGGCTGAATGGGGATCGTTCAGACTTTGGCGCCAAAATGAGACGCGGCTGGACCAATGTTCCTGTCCCAGATCATTTCGTTTGCTCTCCATCTTGTTAACCGACCTTTAACTGGTGGCTTTGTGCATGAAAGCAGTTAAAAATTAGGGGTATGTGTTTGAGAGAAGTTATTCCAAAGGGTAAATAGATACACCGAGGTAGATGTTGAAATTGTCTCAACTTTTCCAATATGAATTTTCAAAACTCAGGAAAGCGCCATAAGAAATACTCGAGTCTACGTGTGATTATGTTCATTTAACTCTTAATTTGTTCACTTGATGTTACTTTCAACAATGAGCGTGATATCGAAAAGAAAACGGGTTTTTCTTTGAGCAGGTAGGAGTTAATTTGTATCAAAAACAGCTGGAATTAGTCGCTTACAGCAATACTCGAGGCAGCGTGAATGATAAAATATTGTATCATGTATGTTGCAACACACGCCTGGTGAAGAAATCTCTGGCTGACCGCATAGCGAGTACTTCTGGAAAAAAAATCTTGTACTCATGCAAACAATGCTTTATTAAGCTCGATTTACCTGTTTCTTTAAGTACTTATGCAACATGTAATAATATTGATAGGGGGACTGAAATTCGTTGGAGACAGAAAGTCTTCGAAATTATATGTGCAAGTGTAACTGGAGAGGCTGAATACGAAACTTGTTCTCAACGATACAATATTTTTCTTCTTCAAATTATACATTGTGTAATTTCACAATTTTCATTAAATAGAATATTAGATTTTTGTCCTCGTGACTGAAAAATTTCGAGATTGTTCGACATCTGCATGAGACGGTGAAATGACGCAATCAAATAATACAGTTTTGTCCCGCTCTTCGCCAGCCATTTTTCGTGTAAACGATAAAACATCAGCTTCTCTCGTAAACATAAAGCTCTGGAGTCAGACGGCTCTCGATAAAATTTATTTTCTTATTGATGTGCATTACAGCTTAAACAGTTTCTTTCTCTGCTTGAATAATTACCCATATTATCAAAGTCGGACAAAATACTTAGCCCCGGTTCTTCAATAAAACACAGAAGTACCGGTATAGTTTTCTTACTTGACACATCTGTTAATTTGTGAACTGATTTTCGGCTTCATTTGTAACTATAATCTGTCAGAAAAGACTGTAACTAGGTTATTGGACTAAATGTATTGTTGCTGAAATTCTCAGTGTACCTTGGCTGAGTTGTCATTAGAAGTGAATGACCGATGCATTCAAAGTTTCGCACCGATTGAGAAATGACTCATACTGCGTATTGTTGATTCTTCTTTAGAATTATTATTATTTTCGGATTTTTTACTTCGTTTCGTTGGCGTTTGGCTGGCTTAACGATTTCTTATTGCAATTTTTGTGAATGACGAATGATATAATCACTTGGCTTCGGACTTTGTTCCAACAATAAATTCTATTTTAAAAACGATGAAACAAAAGTAGAACTGACAAAAATTTCATCCATTTCAATGTTTTTCGACATGAATTTCATCCACATTTTATAAAATGAATTACACTAGATTTACTTAAAAATTGACGTTAAAAAAAACGTACAGTGCAGTGGGAGGCTCCACTGGCAGATCGGGCAGAATCAATCGCTATTTCTTTTTGTAGATGGTTTTTAAGGGATAAATCAGAATTAAAAACTAAAAACTAACCTAAGTTTTCATCAATGTTTTATGACAAAAATCTACCTCTTTCTTTTGAACATGGTTAAAACCTTACCGCAACCGTCATTCTGCGTGGGTTAAGTAATTTTACTTTCCATCTCGGCGTATACCTCAATCACTTGTCTTTCCAGTTGAACACATAATATTATTTTTAAACCGTTAAATCGTTTCAGTCAATCGGTTCTCGGCTGATCTAACTTTCCTTGATACATGATAAATTCCGCTCTGTAAACTTTATGAATGCTCCTCGTACTAATTTAGAAGGCACCTTTACAGGCCTTCTCAAGAATGACCACCTAAAGACCGCTTTTTAGCAGTCTTGTTTCTTAATCAAATTTTGTTTTATGAATTTGTCCTCAGGGATTTTTGTTCTGTGCAGGAATTACGCTTGCTTATGAAAGTAGTCAGTTGTCGAAATTTCGTATTTCCTTCAGTTTGTAGGTGAAATTTAGCCATTTACAAAATATACATGTCTTTTAAAAGCGTGCAATTGAATCGTCTAATCAGTATTCTAAAGTTATCTGCTTCATCCATACCTCAAATAGCCTCCAGAGGGTTTATGCAGAAGTGTGATTACAACATTGAGAGACTAAGTTAACCCTTTGAAAAACTTCTGGTTTTTCAGTTAATATACCTTGAACAGAAGGGTTGAAATTAGACAGGAATTCTAAGGTCTGATGATATGACGCACAAGTGGGTCGATTGTTTTGAATATAAAGGAATGACGAAGGCAAGTTGTCATGATTTGTTGCTTAAAATACAGACTGGTCAAATCAAACAGGAAATGTCTCACAAAACACTTGACCCGCCACTTATGACGTTTGAGCCGAGCGGAGCAAGGAATGACTAAGAGGCAAAAGTGATTTTCAATGACAAGACCAAATGTTTCGCTGTTTGGACAATCTTTGGTTTGATAAAGTATCTGAAAGGCTTGCATAATATCAATGTCTCCAATGCACCTGGAATCGCATGAGTTCAAGCCTGACACCAAGTTTACGTTGAATATGCATCGTTCGTTGATCGTTTTAATTCATTGAATCGCCTCAGGGACTAACGTCATTTGAGCTTTACGAGCTTGAAATTGACAATTGACTCTCAAGGTGCACAAAATTTGTCTTCGTAAGATAAGGGAGGAGATCAGGAAAAAGAACAATAGCCGATTCGTAGCTGAATAGATCGCTCAGTTCCACTTACGGGTTTTAAGCTCGATACTCAAAACTGATTACGAGAAAGATGAGCAAAAAATTGTCTATAATTAAAGCTGGTTTGTTTGACCATAAGATTAAGATAAATCCAAACCGTGCTTTGAATTGTACGATGAGCGTGTTTCGTCACTCAAAAGCGTCACCAGCCCCATATTTATCGAAAATAAAAGAGCAGGACTTGAATTATGATTTAAACACAATAGCTGTATTCTTCTTTACTGTTAAATCATTTTGTTTACCATTTGTATTGATGGAGGCCAACCTGAATATTCAAAAGTCTGTGTGGTGGATCAATGTGTACAGTGTAGATTTTGGTGAGAGTCTTGTATTCTATCCGTTCGTTAGACTTGAGATTAGGTTAAGGTACCGCTCAATCTAGCCCAGATGTAAGAGAGTTTTGCTCGAGTAATTTTCAAAGACGTCAATTGTTGTTATCGTCTAGGTGTGCGTCAAAAACGACAACACCCATGTCCTCAGGGCCTGAGAAACTGTACATTTGATATTCCCTTCAAAGTCATACATTACTTTTTAAGTCATTTCTTTCCCGTCGATTTATAAACTATGAATTAGTGAAGAAAACATTGCAATTTTAGTCGAAACAAAATCAAAATCTTCAAGTTAATTCTCAATATTCTCTTATTAGCATTAATTGATCTGTTTTGTAAAGACTAACTCTTCTTTTGAACTTGTCTGCTCCTTTCTTCTTATTTTTTCCCTTACTTTCTATAACCAATCTATTTTCGACTACAAAGATAGAATACATTTTGATTTTTTGTCGCATAAATCGCACCATTTTACCGTGAGGTCTAACGAATTTAAGTGGTTGTATAATTACATTTGAGAGGGTTGAATAAAAATTTGACTGTTTGTTTCCATATTTACGATACTTTTTTTGGAACTGTCCGACACGTTCTCGGAAACAACGATTAAAACAGAGGTTTCATTAAGAGCCCGTTACCAGCGGTCTACTACCGCGTATAGGACGTCTTAACGCCGTCTTTTTAGCGAGCGAACAGGCTCTTCTGTTTGAGTTCAAGTGGGCTTCCGCACGAAGTAGCTACGAACTGGCAGTAGGGTGTTTAAAGGAGAGTCTCCCCGCAAGCCATTGATTTTCGAAACGCCTGCGTATATCCGCAAACGCAGTACACGTATTTTGATTCCTTAAGAATTACGCAAATTATAGAGGTGTCAAAAAAAAGTATTATAAACAACACTCTGCGATGACCAGAGTACTGAACTTACTAGATTTCAAATATTTAATTTGTGGGAGCATCCCCTCAGCTGCCCCTCTTCCGGGCATAACCGCTTTCGGGAAAAGTTACTGATTTAAGCCCACGTTGAACGCAATCGTCTTCTTTGACACGTTGGGCCTCCTGGTTATACTTACGTAATTCCGATGGTTATTCTTACGTAATTCCTATGATTTTTTTTTTGTTTTGTTTTGTTTTTTTTTTATGGCGTATGTTTAGCAGTTTCTGTAGTTCCTACAATGTTTTTAGATAATTTGTTTTTTGCGTCTGTAATTCATGTAGTATCATTATATAATGCGTGCGTGATTTTTTTGATATGTTGATCAGATTTTGCAACTTTTTTGTATAAATTAGGAGTTGCAAATCTGTTACTTCATGTCAATGATGACTTTAAGTTCATACATAGTCATGACGCGCAGGCTTCCTTTTAAGAAGTCGAACCTCAGGATAAAGACTTCCTATTCCTGTTCTTTACACTCATAATTTAAAAAGTCTTCATTGTCTTTAAATCAATCGATGCTCTGTTAGAGCATCACGGAGTGCTAACTCTTTTAACAACAAGTTCGTGAGCATAACCGCTTATCGTTTCATACTGTTGATTTAACCTCAAACTAAACCGCGGGAAACTCTGTTTATTCGATTCACTAAAAGGGTTGAGCGGGATTTAGAAGTTTTTCAGCTTTTCTCGAATTTATGTTCACATCCACCACAGTTATCGGGCTTTTCGCCTAATTCAAAGACTTTAAACACACGGTGTCGTACATTAAGTTTGGTAAGAAGTTGGAACAAGAAGGAGCTTACCTTGATCTATGCGGTTCATTTGAGGATCCTTTCGGCAAATTGTATCTCGATTACCCACCTGCTGCTTTGATTGTTTCAGTGGTAAAACTTTAAAATCTAAAGCTTTGATTTCGGATAAGACTTCCTTGAGGTATGTTTCAGTTTGACTTCCCTGTCACTCTTTATCACGAAGTCTTAAATCAATTAGCTATGCAAAGCCACCACATTCCTTGTACAATAGACTCGTTGAGGCATCACTGCTTTCAACCAATCAGGCAAATTCTTTTTCGGCGCTTGAGGCATGTCTTTGTTGACATTCTCAAGCTCCGTGACTACTGCTAATTGTTCCCTTTTTTATCTGGGATAAAATAAAAAAAATAAAACAATGATGGGTAGCAATTCCAAATGAGTTTTTCAATGGAATCATTCCACCGTTTTAATTGGAATAAAATATTTTTTTGTGCTCTTCTATATTGGTTTCACACTAATTTACACAAGTCACCTACCTCAAAGAGACCGAGTCTAAGATGAGTTCTTTTTTCTAAACTACCGACCTTGGATAACAAATCCTTTACCAAAAAAAGGTCACAAATCAGTGAGGTTTTTCTTGTTCTTAAAATCATCGAAGAGAATGATGTATTTCTCTGACACAATGGAATATGGAAAGGAGGTCGAGTTATATTGTGTTCAATTCTAAGCCATTGTATTCGGAGACTTGTAAGAAATGTAGAGTGAATTCATGACTTCTGAAAGGAGGGTAATTAAGTAACGAAAGCGGGTTTGTCTTTACGAGAAAGGCGCCGCATTGTTCTGACTCAATATTTGTCGTTATACTAATTATTCTTCCTTCGTAATGCGGAGTGGATAACGCTTAACAGTGGAGCGTTAGCGATCAGTTTATTTGTTTAAGAATGTCATGCTGAGCATTGCTTTCATGGTTTCGTTTCTCAGAGTCCTTAAACATAAACAATACCGCTGATACTGACAAAAGACAAGAAAACGAGAGAGCTAACTGTATCAAAAATTTATGTTGCGTATAAATTTTATGTACGATGGAGTGAATAGCTTTCCTTTTGTGTACTAAAGAAGATAGTCTCGGTGTTTTTACATGCAGATACCTTATGACCATGAACCATTCTGATACGCATCATTGTACAAAGGATTGCTGTGTTGGTTGTAAAGAAAGATGGAAAATCGGTTATATTGGCGGTTTGATCATCACTGCCACGAACATAAACTTGCTTTATGTAAATATATTGCAAAAAGGATTTAAAAAGTGTTGAATATACTTGTCTAGTGAATTAAACAGCCCCTCAATATGATCACATAAACAGGTCTTTTGTCTTTTTTGTCGTTTTTGTCTTGTTGACGTTTTAAAGGTCTTCATGTTCTTAGCATTTACTGGTTCCTGTGGACACGACGTTTACTAATAAGTATTCTTCTTACTCAGTGTAGTTTCCGTATTCTGTTATAAAGGCATCTCTCATGAAATTCCTTTGATTACGCGGTGAACTGTAGCACAAAATAACAAAAAACGTAGACTGCTCAAACTAAGAATTTGCGAGTGAGAGTACAAAATCAACGCAAAAGTAAGGACATATAATGGTTGCCGAAGAAACGCACAGTGAAGCTCACCAACTGCAACATGGAATTGGGAATTCAAGAGCAACAACCACGGATACCTCAGGAACCACAGGAATCCCCAAAACTACACAAACTACAGGAAGCGCGATCAGGAACCGGTTAAAGAAGTTTGCAAGAATAAGGAACATCATGAAGTACTGAGCAACACGGCTTAGGCGAGAAAGATCATGTTCAGGGACATTCTTTGATTAATTAAGATGATATATTTTTTCCTGACGATTGTCGAAAAATGTGTTAGTTTAAAATTTGCAAGAAGCCTGGCATAGTCTAAGAGGCTTAAGCTCTTAACCCACAGCCCACATGATGCCTGCCCTATTATTTGGACGCCATTTACACTGAATAACAGTATGAAACATGTGAGAGAGCTGAATGAGCCCCTTTATCGAATCTCCATGATAAACTTAATTTAGCTTTTTAACTGAGCTGCAAACGAACTAACTTTAAATCAATTTCTTCTATCAATACTTTCTCTTCTACCTTTCCCTTTCCTTTTTATTATCATTTTGATATCTTTCTGTTATTCACTTTGTGTGCAAGACAAAGTTGTCATTTGCTTTAGTGTCAGCAGCACAGATGATTCCAATGACCAGCTGACTTTGTAACTACATTTTTAGTCAAATTGCTGGAGCACCAGCGGTCATTCGAGCAGGAAACCTTCATTTTGTGATATTTATGAAAACAGGTAATTCTGCGCCAGAGAAACTGTTAGCATTGCCTTTCTATCCTCCTGTATTCTCTAAAGTTGGCGACGGGAACGGAGCAACTGTATGGCTTATGACTTATATTTCTCCTTTCCTTGTTTCAACAACAGCACTATCCACCGCGTTTTTAGCCCTGGTCGATAGCCTCAACGGAAGATTACTTGTGACCGTATTCAAGGCTAAATTAGCGGCGTTCAAGGCATTGGTCGCTGAATCAGGCAACTGCATTCGCATTCGCTTTTGCCTCTCTTCGATGATAGCACTGACCGAGCAAAGGACACTGGAAACAACACACAGTCCCACGGTGATCAATACAATTGTAAAATTAACCGCAAACGTCTTTGCGTGGTTTGTGGATTTAAGCTCACCGTCATTGACAACATAATCTCCAAACCCGATGGTAGACACACTGATGAATGTGAAATAACATCCTTCGATGAACGTCCAGCCATCTGTATGTGACGTCAGAATGGCGCCAAAAAAGATCATTAGTACCATGAGCAGGAAAGTGACAAAGAAGCTTTTGAATTCTGCACTCCCCGATCTTACACTACTGAGGCAAGTTCTCTCCAAGAAGCGGATGAAGACCCGAATGGCCAAGCTCACGTGGTTTCCAACGCTGAGTAACATGATGCCAGCGACTGGTATGGCTATGAGACTGTAGAAGATACAGAATAACTGGCCTTGCCATGTTTGTGGGGACATGTGACCATAGCCTTAATGAAAGAACCATGAAATTATAATCGTTTTCAATATGGATTATTATTAACAGACAATCCGGCTGAAAAATTATCCTGAGACCAATTTTAAACTCTGTCAATCGATTGCATAACTTTATGTGAGCTCTTTGTCAATCTCTCAGATCACCGAACTGTGTTTGATTATCGCACAACAATTGGCCTACGTGTAGCCGTGCCCTCCCCGCCAAAGGTGGAACGGAAGCGAGGGTTACCTCGCCTCCATTTTACCTTGCGGCGCGAGGGTACGGCTACACGCAGGGTATACAACCATCGATTTAAAAACGTGAAAGAACTCCTTGACAGTGGAGCACAAGGTCCTGAAGCCGTTTTTAAAAAGCCTACCAGGGTTTAATCCTTTTGTGTTTGCATAGATAAAATAATTTTGGTACCGCTCTATCCTAGATTTACATCGAAGATTTAAATAGCTGAGAGCGAGGAAATGCAATCCAGTGGTAATTGGGAGAACCTTTGACGCGGTAATTTCAAATTTTTTTTATTTGGCTGTTTCGGAAATTTCCTACATTAAATGACTTAAATTTCCGTTTTTTAACATTTTAATCCTCATTTTTCTCGCCGATAAATAACGCGAGAGGATTGCATTTTTGCAAAACACTTTCGTTAGAAGATTTTACAGAAATTGAGGACTACGAATCAATTGAGGAGGCGCCTCATAGAAGGTTTAGTTATGTTGCCAATTTCTTTCATTTCTTATTTATGCGTATTATTTTGAGTCAACAAGGAATCGATTGCCATCCAAATGCTGAGAATTGGATGCACTGAGTCACGAAAAATTGAAGAATAAACTGTTAATCTTACCACAGGTACTAATTTTCTACCTTAGCCCTTATAAGGAACGATGACTAATGAGCGCAAAGTTTTGATGGTATTGTTCAGCCCGTTAGGCAGTATTTTAAGAGCTGTTTTGTTAACAAGATTCCTTCATTTGTATTCATATTATTTGAAATGTGAAAACTACAAATTGAGATGAAGCTGGACCAGCCAAGTCTTGTAGATAATCGTTATCAGTTGCATCGCTTGAAAAATCGCTTTCAAATTATGATTTATCTGGTATTATTGATATACGATTATATTCCAGTTCAAACAATATGCACTCACCAATCGTTGTCATAATCGTGAATGCAAAGAACACAGATTTGCCGTAAGTCCAGCGATTTAGCCCTTTGGCGTCTTCCTTTTCGGCCGCCTCTTGTCCGATGGCGGTCTCGAGTTGTCTCAAATCGGTTACACTGATATTGTATTTTTCTGCTAAGCTTTCTTTTAGTTTAGTCGCGTCGGATTTTTCTGGAGTTGGGTCACCTTTAGTTCGCTCTAATTCCATGAAAACTGCAGCTCCAACCAGCAAGACGAGAATACCGATGACTATTTTAATCGAGAGCGATTTTGGCTCAAATCTTATGGGATTGTCTGTCTCATCCATTTCTGTGTTGCGCTCAAAGGCACTAACAGACAATTAAGTTGTTTCGTGGAGTCTTCAGTTCAACACGGCAGCTGCCTCAAATTCAGAGATAATTTTGCGTTTAACTGGTAGATTAATGAATGATGCCAAATTATTACTCGGCGTTATTCTTACTTAAGTCAACCAACACCTGTTTATTTACAAATAATCGCGACAGTCAACCAACTATATCACTGTAGCTAATTTAATCAGTTATATGAACGAACCATTCCTTGGATGATTTCCGCCGAGAGCCTCAAAAGTAGTAGCTGAGCTGATCTGGGGGCTCGCTAAGACTCTTGTAGCTTCTGCTCCCCATAAAGCATTCCCGACTCAGCAAACCACACGGTCTTCATAATTATTTTGGAATTTTGATTTGCATTCTACAGGACACCTGTAGTTTTCCTTTAAGAACAACTTCGGAACTGATTGTTTAATCACTGACTTATCTGCTCTGTAATGAACCTGTTAATGTTCCTCTAATTACAAGATTTTTCTGTCTGTCTGACTCACACTTTCAAAGATACACACAAAGAAAGGAGTCGAGCTCCACTAAGCAATGAAAAAAGAAATTCAAAAACCGTGTAGCTGTTCCTGTCGTATGCTTATCTGAATAATCTAAAAAAATTATAAGAAAGAAAATTCTGCACTTAATAATTAACCACGCTACCGACTGCGGTATTCTTACAACCGCAGACGGTAACGTGGTTAATTATTAAAATAAACTCGGTGTAGATATGAAACTGCATCTCTGCAAGACGAAAGTATCCTGGCTGGGATTCATTGTGTAGGTCACACAACAGTGCTCGGAATGTTGTTTTAAGGCAAGTTCAGCGGACGGCTGTCGGGAAAATGCTCCTGAGACTAACCAACAACGACTTCGATTTCCTATGACGTATAAGGTCCGAAATCGGACAGGTCCGACCGAAAACAGACGGAAGCGTCCAAAATTGTAGTACAACATCCGAAATCGGAGGCTAGCCTGATAGCTTTCTAGGTCAGATGAAAACATCCTAAATCGGACAAAAGCGTCCGAAATTGGATGAGAGCGCCTGAATTTGGACAGTAGCCTCAAAAATTGGACGATAGCGTGCAAAACCACGCGATCTCGACCAAAATCGGTCGGAAAAAGACGAAAACGCCTAAAATCGGAAGAAAGCGTCCGAAGTTGCACGAAAGAATCCGAAATTTGTCAAAACGTCGGACAAGACTCTCCAACTCTTAGCAAGGTTCAATTATTCAAAGGGCGGATAATGCTATCCTACAGCAGATAAATCGCTATCCAGGGTATAAGTGTCAAGGAAACGTACTGCGCTATCCACTGGATAGAGATTTATCCAGTGGATAGCGTTTTCAACCCCTCGAACAACCGGGACCAGAACTCTTTGAACTCAGACGGTGAAATCGGTTAAAATCTGACATATCTGTGTAAAAACAGAGGAAGATGGCTTTTCTGCAATAAAATTTCCATCGACTTTGGCGCAATTTCCTGTTTCTTTCCGTGGCAATAAACTCGGGGTGTGTTTACAGAATGCATTTTATATTTCCAATGACTTTTCTAATTGTCCTTAGATTTTCTCTGTATTTGTCATTTTGGTTTTGTGAACTGAGCAACTGGCTTTAGTCATCTGAATATAGTTCGTAAAGTGGCATTTCGAAGTTGTAACAACTCTTCTAGAAAACGCACACTTTTTATTAGGTTTATTTTGTACGTAATTGTATCATTTCAGTTCCTTTTTTTTCTTCAGTTGTCATCAAGACTGGATGTTAAAACTGTTCGCGCGTTTAGAGACGATCATCTTTTGGCAGTGTTTCCATTGAAGTCATTGTACTCTTGATTTAAGTCGAAACACCATTGACATGATTAAAAACCAACGCAGCTTCTCATGACGGTTTGTACAATTTACATCCTGCAAAGGTACATCAGTTTCAAGATCGGAAATTCTCGACATTTTTAGCCACAGAGGTTGTTGTTGTTTGATGCTGATAAGGATAATATAAATTGTTCATAGTCAGTTTTTGCGAGAATGCAATTCCTTCGATGATATTCTTGTTTCACTGTACATTCATTTTATTTTATAACATAGCTAGTAAATTTGTCCGATCAAATTCAATTGCGCGAGCGTGCTTCATATTCCTATTGTGCACGCTCATGACGTCAGCAAACAAACATAAACAGCGCGCGCGTTAAATTTAACTATACGCCTCGAGCAACTCTTACGCATCTTTCGTGCCCTCCAAACTTCCCGCGTGCTTCATATCTCGATAAACGCACGCTGACGTATGAACCAATTGTAAAATAACTAATAGTTAAATTTAACGCGCGCGCTGTTTATGTTTGCTGCTCCGCGCGCGCTCCGTTTGAATTCATATATCGTAATAATTATCACAATGTTTGTCGCGTAAAACGTTTAATTTAAGACGCTTAAACTAGTTATTCAGTTCAGTTTCAACCAAGCTAACCAGTTATTGTGATATTGCTAACCAGTTATTTGCCACAAGTACGGAGGCAGTCAAGAAGCAAGTTCTCAGTTGATTTCAGGTTATTACGGTTAACTTTCTTTTTGTTTTGAACACTTGTAAGGCCGAGCGCCAACCTGGTTTCTTTGTATTTTAGATCGAATTGTGTTATTAAATTAAATACGGTTCTTCCTGCGAACTGGCTCTTTGGTCTTATTTTCGACAGAACAATGCTGTCTCGTTCCTATGCTAATAATAATAGATAAGTACGCGCGCTAAAATTGGGAATTTCGTTTTTCTAGTAAATATGAGTCTCTTTCAAAAGACGAAAGAGAAATGGTAGAAAATTCACCACGAGCTAAAGAAGGAAAAGGGAAGGGAAGGTCAATAGTGGAGAGAGAAATGGGGGAACCATGAAGAAAAATCTCATAACCAATGTATCGTTATATTCTTTGAACTAACTAATTGCATAACTTTGTAAACTATCCCCAGTGCCCTTCGCTGGTTGGAATTCTGAGCCTGCTCAGATAAGACAAGTAATCAGTAGGAGTTCTGACATGTAAGAGTGCAGACTAATGATGCAATATGGCGGCCATAGTGGATGGAGATGGAAGGTAGGTGAAGACATTTCTGGTTTGAAATATGTTTATCGAGCGTAATTATCTGTACCTTTTATATGGTTTATATTAACCATAAGTCTATTCCATAAATTTGCAGCTATTCTCTCGAAGAAGAGATTGAATTATTGTCGGCTATTTACATTCACGAGTTAACAGTGGAAAGTGAAAAGGAGAGGTAAGCGCGCAGCGCCTAAACATCTCCTTTATAGATAATTACCGATGGAGAAGGCTGTTTGGGTTAATTATGTCTGTGTATAAGGTTAGAGATTATTTTTAACTCTACATAACAGTCCGATAAGTGTAGGTATAAAGAGGGCATGGTACACGTACATGGTTCTTAATTTTTTTAAATACTGGTAATAGCACTAACCATGGTTTTATTTTTGTTTGTTACTATTTTCCAAAACGGAAAGGCTACCAAGCCTGTTTTGCAATACTTAATGCTAAATGTGACTGCCAGTGATTTTCCTTTTAACTTTTTCTTCTTCTACTTTTCTCTCACTAAAGGTTTAGTGGCAATTCTGTTATCCACTGGATTTTTCATTTTAAGCACTTTTACTCATGAATACTATCATGATAAGGAGCGTGAAGGAAAGACTGGTTTCTCTACCCTAAAATCCAAGAAATACCAAAATACTTTTTCTGGATTTTTTCCTTCTTTCAGACCCACAGCTGTTAGTGTTCTGCTTCATCCAAGCACAGGAGATGAGGAGGACAAGCGTTTTGTATGTCTAACATTACTTATTCACCTTCCAAAAAAGGTATGTAACTTTATAGTGTAGGATATTTCTTGGTGACTCAGCCCTCAGCTAAGGTCTAGAGACAGAATGAATTGACTTGTTTCAACAAATTGTTTTTCTTAAAAGGAAAACAGGGACTTACATATGTGATCACTACCATATACCTATTTAACATAAGTTTGAATGAACTTCTTGAATTAGAAAAACTATTACAGGAGAGTTATGGTATGCCCTCCCATTCTCCTGATCTTTTACCCAGATCTTTGTATATTCCACAGTTTGAAACTGCTGTTAAGTTTTTCACTTCCATCTTATAAGCCTTAAAATTTCCCTCTGTTTGTTCTTGCTTATTTTACTTGTTAAAGTTATAAGTATCATTCTTTGCTACAATTGTTGTATCACAAAATCAATTTTATATCAACCTTGCAGTAACATTTATTGTCATATTTAACAGTATCCGTGTGAATTACCTTCCATTCACATCAAGACACCCAGAGGATTATCTGAAGCCCATGTTGACAGGTAGCAAAATTTAACAATTGTTTGATTCTTCAACATTGTAAGAAATCAAGGGCATGCTGATAAGCAATGATCATTAGAAATTCCTTGGATTGGTGATTTAAGAGCATTCAATGACCACTTCCTTTTGGTAACCTGAGAAGCCCCTTTTTTTTCATTTTTGGAACTCCAAATACACAAATGTTCGAATATTTTTGTAAACTGGGACAACATGTTGACTTTGCATTGATTTCTCAAAGCATGTATAAAGACAGTGTCACCTACTTGAACAAGTGTTCGTCAGAGTCATTAATCCTTTAACTCCCAGAAGTGATTAACATAAAACTTCTCCCTACAATATCCATACATTCTTTAGCACACACGTGATGAGGATATTCAAACTTATCAGGTAGAAGCTGTTATCTTGATCTAGCACCAAGTTCTCCTAACTAATTTACAAGGAAATGTGTAGCAGCTATAGGGGAGAATTGACAATCAGATCTTAGGAGTTAAAGCATTAACTTGAAAGGTCGCATATTAAGTAAGAAGATTCTACACTTCCAGCTTTTAAAATCGAATGATTCTGATGGCCATGTTTTTGTGCATTTTGTAGCATTTTGGTCAACCTTAGAGCACTCGCAGAGGGTTGTCTTGGAAGACCTATGTTGTATGAACTTATTGAGGTCAGTTCATTGAATCGATTGATTGGTTTACACTGTAGGTTAAGTGAAATGAAGTGGTTGATTCTAAATACAATCTTGTTAAAGGAAAAGACTTTTGTGTTTGTGTACTCTATAGCATTAATTACTATTGTCATCATTACTAAGTGGAGAGAAATAGTTTCCTTTGCATGAACTCTTTTGCAGCATGCCAAGGACAGTTTAACTGACAATAACATGCCCAGCTGTGCTTGTGCCATTTGCCTCAGCCATTTTCAGGTGAGTTTAGGAAAATGTTTTTTGAAACCTTAATCAATAGTTAGTTTCAATATGTGATGGTAAAGATTATTCATAAATCAAGTTTTAGATAAAAGAAATACAGCCACCTCTCCAACCCAGCTTGAAAAGATGTCAAAAACATTTTGCAAAGTCCTGGTCATCAAATATAATAGTTTAAGTTTTGCCTAGCAAATACATTCTACCTGGTAAACTTCAGAATTGAAATGGTCAGAATTATATCAAAAGCCACATTCTGCTTGCTCAGCTAACAACATTTATAGCTGAACCATTTATCCATTATCATGTTAGACCACAATATTTAATTGCTAAACCAAAGGTCAAGTAGAGTTTCAGTTAATACAAGAGTATGAAGTATGTGGGTGAAGTCTCTGTTATTTTCCAACCGTCTGTTACAGTCAGTGTTGAAAAGTCTTCAGTCCACTCTTGTCACTTTTATGGTGACTTTCATGCATAAAGTTTGATCACAGTAACAACACTTTTAAAATTTTTTTTTCATTCCTCAATGTATACAGGATACACACAAATTTACAAAGACAGAGTGTTACCATTACTTTCACTGTGGCTGCTTAGCAAGATTCATAGAATTTTCTCTCCAACTAGAAAAGGAAACTGAAGATGACACAAAGGTGAGTTTATCAAATTAGTTTTTTTTTAATAGTAGTGATCAAGCAGATATTGGAAGGGTTACTAGGTTCCAAACAATTGCACAAGATTTTAATCACAGAAAAGCTTGTGCATGAAGCAGACTTAAAAATTTTCCCTTTAAATGGGTATACTTTATCCCATATTATATCAAAAGCGCAGTGATCTTTTCAATCAAAGAAACAGAAATCAATATTCAGTTGGACCACTCATGTCTGATAGCTCTGGGAAAGAGAAACCTCCTTTATGGCAATACTAACTTTGTTTCATTGTGAGACAAATTCCCCTAAACCACAAAAGACACAATTTAAGTCACAAGGGTGGCCTCTATATGAAGTTTCTAGCATAACAGCATGGTGCACTTTTCAGCTGAACCAGTATATATTGTACTGCTGTTGTACTAGTCAGGAAAACAATAAATTGGTAAATGTATTGTCAAATTTGTAGGTAGAGTGTCCTATGTGCCGGATGGCAATTGCTTACAACCTTGAAGAACTCAAGGCTCTGGCTTCTAATGATGTGAATGAGGAGAAGGTTTGTTGATAATAATTGCTTACTTTGTCATATCATTTTCCATCAAACTTTAGTTTGTCTTTTGACCAACTTTTATCTTGGGATATGACAGTTCTGTTTGATGTTTATAATTCATGTACAGGACTGCAAACACCTTCGTCATACTGAGTGATGTTCAATGATAAAATTGAATCCCTTTGACCAGTTCTATCCTTCTTTTCATGTTTCATATACTAAGGTTGTTACGTTGTGCTTTTTCTAAACTAATTCTCTTTCAGTCATGGAATGACCAGACTAATTCTTTCTGAGTCAAGGGATAACTAAAGTGATGAATCTCCAAACACGTTTTTGCCCGATACGAAGCTTATTTAAAGTTTATCTCTTGTTTAGTTTGTTTACAAACCCAGTGAAGAAATCAAGAAACTCCAGAGAGAAATGTCCTCGCTGTATGAAAAACAAAAAAGGAAAGGAGGAGTGATTGACTTGGAAAAAGAAAGAAACAGATTTTTGATCGATATAACGTCGGTATGTATTATAATTTCCACAGCGGACAAGTTGACTTAATTTACCTCACTCCTTTTCCCCCATCGTTATTATTTTATTGAGAATTCAAAGTAATAGTTTACTTGCTTGAATCGCCGCGGAAAAACGCAAGTGGCGAAGGTGGAGATTTATTTTACTTCGACATCTTATTGGGTTGAGATGGTGGTGGCGCTAGTTTTGCGAACCAATCACAGCGAAGTAAAGTAAAACCGAAGCAATCCAAGGTCACTGTCGATACTAAACTGAAAAGCGTGAAGATGAAAGCGATCTTCGTAGTAATGAACACTACTTGAGCAGTAGTGAAAATAAGGCCTTAAAAAAAAATTCAGGCCTGTACGGGATTTGAACCCATGACCTTTTTATCAGGCCTTATTTTCACTACTGCTCAAGTGGTGTTCATTACTGCGAAGATCGCTTTTATATTCACGTCTTTATCCGCAGTTTAAATATATGACTTTCATATATTCACAATCGTTTATTGTTATGAGCGTCGCCTTTTTCATCAGCGGTGACATTATCAACCTTACTTACTGGGGCTTCAAAGATTTCAATCTTGAATTACATTTTGTTACGTCTTAATTTTGTTACGTCTTAATTTAAGTATTTTGAACGATTTTTGTTTTGTGCAGAGAGAGTTATGCTCATACCACAAGTGTTACATCTCTCTCTAGCAGATTATTTCTGATCTGCAGCTGTAATGAGGATAAATGATCTCAAAAGAAAAATTGTGCTTAGTGAATATTGGTGGAGCTAGGTGGTTGCATTTGAGGTAGCACGGTTGTTTAGCGACGCTGCTTACTAATCTTTCTTCAGGGTATCATGATCTTCATAGGTGGATTTCTTGAAATTTCTCCTGTTCTTAGAACCTTGTTACTCACGCCTAATCATTTTTTTTGCTCAACAGGTTCGTCAGGAGGAGGCAGTACATGAAAACGAGCCCTCTGCGGGGCCCGAGACAGCAGATATAATAAATAACTCCTCAGCAGAACTCACTCAAAATAATCCTCACAAGCAGGGAGGCATAGCTGGAGAAACCAGCCAATTAAGTAATGTTGTCTATAAAGACAGATCAGATGGTAAGAAAGAGTTCTTGAAGCACTCAGAAACCACTCGGACTCGTCAGCACTCCGAACACAAAACTAGAAATCGATCGGGCGAAGATAAATCGGACCATTGTGGAAAAAGAATCGACAGAAAACGCCAGTTCACTAATAATAGGTCGAAAACTTCCGAACAGAGGCTAAAGAAGAAAGAACCTGTAAAACCTTCTGAAAATCTGGGGGGAGGCTTCGCGCTTTGGAACGAAGATAAATCAGAGAGTTCTCAAACCCGATTTGAAACGGAGGTGAACACTCCTTCAGATAACCTGGAGAATGCTGTGACGAACGTCAGCAACGGGAGCAGAAATAGTGGCTCGTCCCAAAATTTCCACGGAGAAAAGCCAAGATCTGCCAGGCGGGGAAGAGGGAAGTCTAGTGGAGGCAGGTTTTCCACTGCCAGTACCCACGGAACCACGGAGGGTGGCGGGGCTGCCAATACACATGAGACCTCTTCTGGAGAAGTGGTTGGGAAACTATCCGAAGGGGCTGCGCCATCAGAAAGTGGCAAAGCTAAACCCGAGAAAAAAAACGTTGACCAGCAACTCGAGGAAAATCGAGGCGACAAACGAAAACAGACAAACGGGAAACACAAAGTTCGCAAATCACCCCCAGGTTTTGAGAATTTTAAGACGATGAAGGAGGATGCGTGCAAACCACAAATAATTATAGACCCCTCCGTGGTTTGAACACCGTTACTCTGCACCTTCCCCAGGGCTTGGCTACCCAGTAGAAGTAGCAGGGCAGATGACAAGTCCGCTAGTCACAAGCTGAACAATGGCAGCTTACAAAATCAGAATTGTTTCCTTTATTTCCGTTCCAGTTAAAACTTAGTTAGTTTGCGATAAAACCGTAGCATTGAATTGGGTTGAAAATAATTCTTACTGGAATGTTTCACTTTCAAGAAATGCGAAGGAAAACTTGTAGTCTAAAAGCGGTTCGTTCTACTGATTAGATTGGAAATTAATGTCCACTTTAGCCAGAGAAACTTTTGTTGTCTTAATTTTTTTTTCTTTTTAGGTATCGCAGGTAGGGCTGTAAAAGTTTAGGGCGTAGCCCCATGTGCTCGCTGACGCCATCAATAGAAGTAAGCTAGGTATACTCATTAACTCATTAACCGATTTCGTGCGGGGGGGGGGGGGGGGGGGGGGGGGGGGGGGGGGGGGGAAATTGCGTACTTAATGCAAGACGCGGAGAAAATGGGTAACTGCAGCAAAGAAGTGATGGTAGCCTTCTTTTCGGAGACCTTTTCTGGTTTTTTTATGTTTGTTTGTTTGTTTGTTGTTCTTGTTTTCTTTTTCTTTTCTTTTTTTTTTTTCAGGAGAAATCATTTTTTCCACGGTAAAAATAAAACGAACACTAAGAACTAATGAAGGCTTTTCTTATGAGGTATTTTGCTGCGTTACTCTTCAAAGATCACTCTCATATCTTCATCATGCAAGTGCAGAAAACTTCTATATTCAAGATGCCAAGGGCCTTTTGAATTATTTTTTTATTTACTTTAACACTATTCGGAAAAAAAAAACTCCAAAGCGTGTTGGAAAACCTTAATAGCTTGGCTCCCTGATTGTCTTCCGTTGAAATTGGTTTCTGCGTCTGAGTGTCTTCAGACAGAATTCGGTAAAGATAGATAAGCTTCTTGGTACAAGTGTGTTTACACGCGTCTAAGCTACGACAACCAAGTAAGCTACTTAAAAAATGGAGACCTTATGAAAATGTTCACTGCGAATATAATCAGTGTTTAAAGAGTGCAGAGAGCAACAACAGTGAGAATAGGCCAGCGTTTCTATCGATGATGATGCTGGTAGAGTTTAGCAGTGGGCAAGAGGGATGTAGAAAACTGTTCTTCACGGTTCTTGTGTTGAGCGGCTGTACTGGACGATAATTGTTAACCATTTTCTTGCCTGATGCGTATGCGAGGCTGCGTAAACACTCTATCTGCAACGAAGAACATAATTATTACGCCAATTCAATATTTATTTGATAAGCTGTTAGCTCAGACAAATAGTGATTTTATTAACCGAGAAACTGAATCTTTCATTTTATTTGCTTGTGCGAAGCTAAAGCCATCCTAAGTTTTCCAACTTATATGTGTAGACAATGTGGGCTGTGTTCTAAATTCAGTCCTGTTGGATTAGAAGACCTCTCTTTGTTACCTGTTCACGTGAGATCTGCACGGAGTCGTTGAAAAGTGTCCAAGTGACACTCTCGTCACAACCAGGAATTGTTAAGGAACCATGATACCGGAAGAACTTATGAAGTGTGGTCCAAGGCAACATAGGTGCCAGAGCAAACGTAGTAATGTTACGTACTGACGAGCCTGTGAGAGTAACGTAAGTCACGTCAGGCAATTAGAGAAGCATATCTTTGTGAATAAATTAGCGTGAAAGATAAGTAAGTTGTTTGTTCTCCTATTACTTGTTCTCCCTCCCCCACAGCGGGTAAAAGATTGCCTTGGAAATCAAAATTCTAAATGGGAAGAATAATGACAAACTTGATTGAAATTGATTTGACTATCACTGTACAGGGGGGGGGGCTTACAATAACCAAGATTTCTCTGTCGAAGGACCCTACACTAGCATTGTACTGGCATTACAATGCATGCTGGGTTGTTTCGTTGCTTTAAATTATCCATATCTCTATACAAAGAAGGGGCTCAAATGCCTCAGAGAACCCCCGCCCTTTGTTAGTCTCCCTGACTTCTTCATGTGGGAGTTAAGAGGTTTCAGACGTTGCTTACGTTGCAGGTTGTACCTGTGGGATCAAACGCTTTTAGTTTACATCACACAGGTGATTGGCTGGTTGGGAAGTCATAAGCAAGTTCTATTCACCTCCGAGTAGCCGATATGAAACAAAGTCACACGTTAAGAGTTGAATTTCCGACCATTTTTCGGTATATTGACTGAAGTTTGATGTAAACAAAAGTAATTGTTCGCCTCAATGTCGGTGAAAGTTGTGGGTAATGACCTCCACCGGTCAATTTTTCGGTGGACAAAGAAACAAACAAATGTACAAGAGACTGGTATACGTACTGCTGTTCACGAGTTTACCAAGATACTCATCTAAAAATGAAAATGCTTGATTTTTTCTATCGCCAACCTGGAACAAGACATGATAGAAATAGATCACGTTTTATTGTTATGCATTTAGGTACATTCAAATGAAGTGACAAGTATTTTTGCCATACCTCGATGAACACTCCAAGCACGGCAAGCCCGTCTGATTTGTTTTTTGCATCCTTAAATTCTGAGTACTTGGTGTTGTAACTGACGAAATGCAACTTTTCAAGCAAAACGAAAACTTCGAGTCAATCAATTTTGAAAATAATTTTAGTTATCCAAGCTTTCAAGCGGGGTTACCCAATTTTTTTTAATTGCACGTCGGATCAGCTAAGTTAAGCGCTATTGGACTCTGCCCTTACTTGGAAAAGTAAATTTAAAATTTTCTTTGTAGTGAACCTTTCCTTTTTGGTAAATTTATTTTAACGTTTGTTTCAAGGACTTTAAGGAAAGACCAAAGATTAACATTTAACGAGCTGTGGCTTTCTTTAAGTTTGGAAAACTTCCTCTGAAGTCTGGAAATTAAATTTTAAAGGTTTTTTTCTTGCATCTAAAGGATCGTGGTGTACATGTAACGAAGTACGTTTAAAATTTCATGCAGAGTCATAAAACAACGTGGTACCCAGTGTTCTAGTTGGAGTAGAGCATTTAGTCCTAGGCTCATTTTTGGATGCCCTGAGAAGAATTGCCAGTGAATTAGACGCTAGCCCATAACGACGAGAAGCCAGCTCACCAACCATTCCTAGTCCCTTTCTTTCCGCGCTCACACTCCGTTGAGGTTAATGTGCACATTTGTACAGACGGAGTACGTTCTTTATTTACGTACCTCAGCAGCGAACGCTTTCCCGTCCAAAGTGTGTTCTGATCCTATTGAATCATTTGACCCCCAGTGAAAGTGGAACTGAACGGTGGTGAAAACACCTTTCAGTCCTCCGCCACTAACGTTGTAGATATTCGGAGGGACTTTAAATACAACTGTTCCAATTTTACCGTTGTTTGTAGCCGTGAACGTGAGATTCAGAGAGGAGGGTCGATCGTAATTCGTGAGTGTGAAATCAGTCATCTTCTCATACTTAGTGTCAGACATTTTTATGTTGATGGGCGATTGTTTCTTTCCAGATTTGCAGGTACCTGTCCAGTTTTTTGGGCCTGTAACACATCAGTTGCGTTGAGACGGCAGAGACAACATTAATACTAAAAAAACAATTGTTCTAAACAAAGAATTAAAACAGTAACCACACAGAAAATTATCGTGATTTGCATGTGAGAGTCGGGAGTTCCGATAACGCTTTAGTAGACGAAATGTAGTATAGAAGCAATATAATAATTTACAGAAATTTATGTCGTATAATCTAAGAAATTGGGAGTATGATTAAAATCTTACCATCTTGGTCTACCTCAGTATAAGACCATGAATCTATGAAATACAATAAAAATATTATTAATCATTTTTTAAATTAAATAAAATACAAATTAGATATCGACTTAGTGACGTGGCTGGACGAGTGCCACTCTAATTTGGTGGTGCTTTAAGAATCACAAGCAGCCAATGCTCTACAAGGCTTCACAACAACACCTCACAACAGAGGTTTAGAGTTAAACTTCGAGAACATCATGGAAAATACAAATCAGTTCTGATATTCTCCCATTAGCTCATTCTCATACACTTTCCTTTGAACTAAATTCAACGGCTAATCAGGACAGGAGTTTTTTTTTTTACTCACCAGCGGCCGCGAAAACACCCAGAGTTAACCAGCCGACACAAAGGAGAACAAGCAGCAGAAAACTATTCATAGCTAAATTTACCTGAAAAAAATTCTTTAAAGGAAGAACGATTGATATTAATAACTAAGTTACAGTTTCGTATCTCTTTTGACAAGTATCTTGTTTCAGAACTTTTCTTGGAATATTAAATACCTTTTTATCGATTTTCAAAGAGAATGCTTGGTTCGACGTTAATAGCTCTTGCCTTCACTGGAAAATATATCATTTGAAATAAAAGAGAGCTCCAGCCCGATCATATCCGGTGACTTATAGTCCCCTACTATAAGCAGAGGTTGGAAACTAATTCCTGTAGGTCAACAGATTTTTTTTAAACTGCTCAAGTGATTCGAATCTTAGAACTAAGGTCCGATGTGCATTTTGAGGGGCGAAACGAAAGCACAGTTGTTACTTCTGCTTTCTACCTTTGTGAATGGATTCTCCTGGCACTAGCTTATCTCGTTGCTAATCACTCCACCGATGAACAAATTTAGATAGCGAGACATGCAGCCATGTGTGTTCCTTAACATTAGGCATCGTCTATGACCTCATAAACAGCCAATGAAATATCATTTGGATTTCCTCGAAACCTTTACTTTGACTTACTTTTTCAAACAGGGTTAGGAGGCTGTAAAACTTAATAGGCTTGGCTCTGGTGTTTGGCATCAGCCTTGACAGTTAAATAACGGCTTTTACCCTTTTCAGCCAAATGTAGACAGCTGTCTAGAGTTCACTCTAGTTTTGAAATCGAGTAGCAAGGCCGTAAGAGCGATTTCAAGGTTCGGTCCTCGCTTCGACACGTGTAATAATGTCATCTAGCACCCTAAAATCTGCCAGCTACGCAGGCTTATGATTAAATGTTAGTTACCTGTGGAATTACTCACACTATCGTTGAATTGCTCAAAAATAAGAGGTTTACCTTTGAGACGAACTCTGTTTTGGTGTTCCTTTTCTAGTATGCGAAGTGTTTAAGGTACAAAGAGGAATGCGATAAATTGATTCATGTAGACGTCTTTTATTTCGGATGGTTCCCACGTCATTTATCTTGTTTAGTCAAACAGTCAATACTTAAGAATGTTAATAGCATCGCACCCTGAAGAGTTGTTTTGCCAAACAACCGAAATAATTTGAATGGAATTCAGTGCAGAACATTATATCAGTGTTCTCATTTCAGGACAAATTGGATTTTTCCAAGAATTACGAATCAGCTGTTGAGCGGAGCGCAGCTCTCGAAATGTAGATTTAATGCAATATAAAGTAGTGGATGAGTTCTAGCTCTCATACCTGGCCTCATTTCCTGGTAAACTGGTCAAGACGACATCCATATGATGATGAATTTGTCTATTCTTTTTAATATTTTTCCTTGATAATGTGTCAAATTTGTGAAGAAGAGGTACATGTTTATCACCTGCGGAAGTTTAACAGCTAAGTACAGTGTTTAAACTCCTACCCTGACTCATGCGTGTTCGTTATTGTTTTTGCTCCAACGAGAAACTTCGACACAACCCAAAGCTTCCTAACTTCCGCTAACTTTTCAAGTTTGAACCTTGCAGCCAGGTTCGCACCTATCATCCGGCTGTCTATGCGCGCATGTGCGAGTGAAGTCACACTGGGCTAGTCAAAGCAACCTTTTTTACGCCAACGTTTGACCTCTTACCAACTTATTAAACTTTGGGAAACATGTTACGGAACTCTACTAAGCACGCAGTGCAAGAATCCTTCACTTATTCCTGCTGGTCAGCGACTACAATTAAAGTGTTGTAAACGTTTCTATCGGACAAGTGTTTAATTTGTTGTTAATAATATCGCAGATTGTGGTTAACGAAGGAGTAGTTTAAAGTAGTTTTCCCTCAACGTTTTCAAATGAGCGATCATTGATGCTGTTCCTTTGCGGCTTATTTGAAGGCATGATTTCCGCCAATTTCTCGGGTCAAGTCTTCGATCCTCCCTAATAGAGGAGGAGAAGGAGGGAGAGCGGGAATAAGGTCTCTAATCCTTTTTCTACTGGTCTACTTTTACGTATGTGGAATATGTAACAGCTCTCATCAGGTATTGTAAGGAAAAGAATGAGTTGCCCTAATATCTAGAGATGAAGTTGACCGAAATAGTACATCAGTTCTTTCAAGGAGGATAATCGAGAGAGTTTGAGCAATTGTGAGGGCATCGCCTACAAAAACGCCAATTTCAGATTTCCTCCGTCCAACGGCTCACGTTGACAGCATCCTGTTATTGTTCTCGTCCTTTAAATGCGCAAAATATGGTTATTTCACGTTTTTATTGTGCAAGGACGCCTCTAAATACAAGTAGTCTCAAAACACACGAAGAGCTATCGCTGCTTCTAAAATCTTTTGATTCACCAGGATTTCTTTGCCATCACTGACGCAATCTGTTCAAGCTCTTTTAGGAGATACCACTCAGATAACTCAACGTCAAAATCTTGTACGTTCAACAAAATCTTTACTTAAAGTCTAAATTATTTTCTTACAAGTACTGTGACAGAACTACAACATTTAAAAAGCACGCAAAAAACGTCGCACTAAATCACCCGGTGAAGGAATAAAATATGGAATCCTGGCATTTGTTCATATTATCCTTGAATGGAAAAATGAGCTAAGCGAGTAGTAGGCGGTCAACAGCATCAGTGAGAACAGACCAACGCTTATGTCAATTTGTTGAAACAGCAGTGGTTTTCGTAGTTTCCTGGAAACTGTTTTTTTAACTACGCGGCCATTGAGACCCTGAACTGGACGGTAATCGTTAACCATCGTTGAATTGTCTGTGTACTTGACTATGCGCAGATAGTTCATCTACAGAAAGAAAAAAATGTTATGCCAATAGTAATTGAATTTCAACCACTGCTAAAGGTCTCCCTTTCTTCCCCACCCCTTCCCCCACACCCTGTCAAGAAGGAGTCACGGGAGTCATAGGAGTCATAGGAGTCATTGGAGTAATCGATCACTCCACCGATGAGCAAATTTAGATGGCGAGACATGTAGCCATGTACGTTCCTTAACATTAGGCATCGTCTATGAGCTCATAAACAGCCAATGAAATATCATTTGGTTTCTCTCAAAAGCTTTACTTTGACTTACTTTTTCAAACAGAGTTAGGAGGCTGTAAAACTCAGGCGGTTTGGGTCTAGTGTTTGGCATCAGCCTTTACAGTTAAATAACGGCTTTTATCCTTTTCAGTCAAATGCAGACAGCTATCAAGAGTTCACTCTAGTTTTGAAATCGAGTAGCAAGGCCGTAAGAGCGATTTCAGGGTTTGGTCCTCGTTTTCGCAGCTTCGACGCGTATAATAATGTCATCTAGCTACCCTAAAGTCTACCAGCTACGCAGGCTTATGATTAAATGTCAGTTACTTGTGGAATTACGCACACAATATCGCTGAATTGCTCAAAAATAAGAGGTTTACCTTTAAAATGAACTCTGTTTTGGTGTTCCTTTCCTAGTATGCGAAGTGTTTAAGGTACAAAGAGGAAAGCGATAAACTGATTCATGTAGACGTCTTTTATTACGGATGGTTCCCACGTCATTTACCTTGTTTACTCAACCTGTCAATACTTACGAATGTAAGTAGCATTGCACCCTGAAGAGTTGTTTTGCCAAACAACCGAAATAATTTGAATAGAATTCAGTGCAGAACATTATATCAGTGTTCTCATTTCAGGACAAATTGGATTTTTCCAAGAATTACGAATCAGCTGTTGAGCGGAGCGCAGCTCTCGAAATGTAGATTTAATGCAATATAAGTAGCGGATGATTTCTGGGTCTCATACCTGACCTCATTTCCTGGTAAACTGGTAAAGACAACATCCTTTTGATGATGATTTTGTCTATTCTCCTTAATATTTTTCCTTGATAATGTGTCAAATTTGTGAAGAAGAGGTACATGTTTATCACCTGCGGAAGTTTAACAGCTAAGTACAGTGTTTAAACTCCTACCCTGACTCATGCGTGTTCGTTATTGTTTTTGCTCCAACGAGAAACTTCGACACAACCCAAAGCTTCCTAACTTCCGCCAACGTTTCAAGTTTGAACCTTGCAGCCAGGTTCGCACCTATCATCTGGCTGCTTCTGCGCGCATGTGCGAGTGAAGTCACCCTGGGCTAGTCAAAGCTATTTTTTTACGCCAACTTTTGACCTCTCACCAACTTATTAAACTTTGGGAAACATGTTACGGAACTCTACTAAGCACGCAGTGCAAGAATCCTTCACTTATTCCTGCTGGTCAGCGACTACAATTAAAGTGTTGTAAATGTTTCTATCGGACGAGTGGTTAAATTGTTGTAAATAATATCGCAGGTTGTGGATAACGAAGGAGTAGATTAAAGTAGTTTTCCCTCAACATTTTCAAATGGGAGATCATTGATGCTGTTCCTTTTGCGCCTTATTCGATCTTTTTTCGTTAGTCTCCGACCAGACTGGCCATGAATGAGTTTACCCGCACTAAGTAAATTTCCTGTGATAGAAAATTCAACAATTACTGAAATTTTTCAACGTAATCTTTGATGGAAAAGTTATGGCTTTCAAAATTTTCATGGCGTGTTTTTACAATTGGGCACTGATTATAAGTGATAGTCAATTAAAATCCATATTGGCCCAGAAGTAAGTGCTGAATGGGCTTAACCTAGCGGTAAGGTATGCGAACAACTATCATATCAACCAAAACACGCGCCAGGCTGATAATTACAGAGCTTGGTTAGATTAAAAGATACATCTTTAATTCAATTTTTAGAGAATAAATGAAGCTTTAGAGAAGGCATTATTTCCGCCAATTTCTGGCGTCCAGTCTTCGATCTTCCTCAAAAAGAGGAGGAGAAGGAGGGAGAGCGGGGACAGGGTCTCTGTTCTCATGATCATCCCATTTTAAAACTTGCCAACAAAAGCCCGATGCAGCTAATCATTTTTCCACTAGTCTACATTTACAATATGGAATATATTACAGCTCTCATCAGGTATTGTTAAGAAAAGGATGAGTTGCCTCTAATATCTAGAGATGAAGTTGACCGAAATAGTAAATCAGTTCTTTCAAGGAGGATAATCGACTGAGTTTGAGCAATTGTGAGAGCATCGCCTACAAAAACGCCAATTTCAGATTTCCTCTGTCCAACGGCTCACGTTGACAGCATTCTGTTATGGTTCTCGTCATTTAAATGCGCAAAATATGGTTATTTCACGTTTTTATTATGTAAGGACGCCTCTAAATACAAGTAGTCTTAAAACACACGAAGAGCTATCACTGCTTCTAAAATCTTTTGATTCACCAGGATTTCTTTGTCGTCACTGACGCAATCTGTTCAAGCTCTTTTAGAAGATACCACTTAGATAACACAACGTCAACATCTTGTGCGTGCTACAAAATCTTTACTTTAAGTCTAAATTATCCTCCTACAAGCATCGTGGTAGAACTACAACAATTAAAAAGCACGCAAAAAACGTCGCACGAAATCATCCGGTGAAAGAATAAAATATAGAATCCTTGCATTTGTCCATATTATCCTTAAATGGAAAAATGAGCTAAGCGAGTAGATAAGTCTGTATGAATCAGGTCTATCGACGTCATCTCTTTCAAATTAGTTTACAGATATTGGGCAAAGGTAAAAGGTTAAAAGTTACAAATCATCTCTTACCCAACTAATTGCTTTTTCCAAATACCGAGAAAATCACATTTCATTAGCAAAAGCACATTAAGTGTACCAACTATTGCCTAAAACAATAGTGATGATAATAAAATTTGCCAAAACAATTAAAAAAAAAAACAAAATTACATCAGAGCGACGCGGAAAGTTAACGACCAAACAGGGCGGTCAACAGCATCAGTGAGAACAGACCAACGCTTATGTCAATAATGCCTGCACCAGCAACTGGTTTTGTTGTTGCTTTTGTTGTTGAAGCACTAGTGGGTTTAGTAAGAGTTTCGTTGACACTGTATTTAACTTTGCGGCCATTGAGAGGCTGAACTGGACGGAAATTGTCAACCATCGGTTCACCGCCTGTGAACTTGAGCTTGCGCAGATACTCCATCTATAGAAAGAAAAA